CTTCCTCGCTTTCCTCGCCTTTTGCGGTATTCGCCAAGGGACACAGCAGTAGCTAATCCCACTACGGCGTTTGCCCATCGACTTCCTCGCGTCTCGCCCTCTCATCCTCTTGCGGTATTCGCCAAGGGACACAGCAGTAGCTGATCCCACTACGGCGTTACCCAACGCCTTCCTCGCCTTCCTCGCCTTCCTCGCCTTCCTCGCCTTCCTCACCCTCCTCGCCTCTCGCCGCATTCGCCAATTCAAACAGCAGTAGCTGATCCCACTACGGCAAAATGCCTCAACCTCTGTTCAGCAAAGGAAGCTCCACCGTCAAGTTCCCGGTCAAGTCCATTAAATATCATGGCTCGGACGAAGAAACTACGATGGCCGAAGAGATCGCAACTGATCCCGCAATCAGTCTGATGCTGTCCTCGGCATTCATCAAGCTCCGGCAGGGTGCCTCCACCGACCAGGGCCGCAGTCGCTCATTCTGGAACATCACATTCCATGTGAACGAAGTTACCATTGTGTCACTTGAGACGAAGGAGAACGAGCTGGTGTACACCTTCAAGTCCAACCTCGGTCTGGTGGGCGAAGCCGACACTGAAAAGGCAGGCAATCTACCACAGGCATCTACATACCCACTGGCAGCAGCGCCCTTGCTGAATAAGGTTGTTGTGATCGCCCTGGGTTTGCCCAGTGCCAAGCTATGGGCAAAGCAATCTGAGTTGGTCTGCCAGGCCCTTCGCGGCGACAGATTCACGCTTTCCGAAGCGGAGACTGCCTATATAACTCTCAATCGTGATGCTATCAACAACGAGGCTGAGGAAGAGCATAAGTCCCTCGGTGTTCGTGGCTGCCTAGTCAAGAGTGTTGCAGTTGCGGACCGAATTCTCTTGGGGATATGGCCCAAGGAAGAACGTCCGTTTCGCCTGTACAGAGGGTGCACTCTAGTACTCCGTGGCGAGGAATGGTTTAACCAAGAAAAGGCCAAGGACTATCATATTCCTGGCGAGAAGGGCGCCCCGGAGGACTGGATGGCATCAGTGACCGAGACCTCCCCTAAGTGGACAGGCTTGATTGATGCCCCAGTCCATGCCGTCCTCCTCAATCAAGTGGATATCAAGTTCATCGGTCAAATCGAGGAGGACGACGTTAAGGTCCATCAGGTGGCCAACCCGATGGTGCAGATGCAGATGCTGAGCGCCACCAGAAAGCTCTCTGAGCACTGGGGGGAGGAAAGCTTCGATGCCATGTGTCGTGAGTTCGAGAACCAAGAGGCGACAATCCCCAGCGAGAGCAACAAGAAGCTTCCGCTGAGGTCCATGTTCCTTGCTTCGACCCCCCGGGTCAATACCCACGACCCATGGGACACCTCGCTCACTGATCTCAACTCCCTGGTGCCAGAGAGCTGGGGTCTGAATGAGGCAGAGACCAAAGCAGCTACTCAGCTGCTGACGCATTCCTTCTCCCTGGTGGTTGGGCCTCCAGGCACTGGTAAAACAAGGACAATTGCCGCAGCAGCTATGCTCGTCACCCAGATCCTCGCCCGTGGGTCGGTCGGACAGGTCAAATTGGCCGTCCTAGTCCCGACCCACGCAGCAGGAGCCGCTGTGATGAACCAATTGTGCACTGCATTCGACCACGAGAAGTACCGCATGGACATGCTTGTACGCCTGCGTGGCAGAGCAGACTCCGAGGCCCGGCTTTTTGCCGCCGTCACTGAGCCCAGCGACGATGTTGAGCGAATGATTGCTTGTGCAAAGAAGGCGCCTGGCAAATACCGCGAGTTCCTTGCCGGCATTCAGGATATTAAAGCCTCGGGCCGGGTGAAGAGGAAGTTTAAGGAGTTCAACCACCAGCGCCAGGAACTCATCAGGAACATCATGAAAGATGTTCAGATCGTGGTAACCTTGCCGCTGAACGTGCGGGAGATGGTTCGGCGCGAGTTCAACCCCGAATTCGTCATCTTTGATGAGGCGAGCTTTTTCCGAGACCCTGAAATTTTTTACATCCTGGGTCAATTGAAGATTGATGCTCGCGTACTCTTTGTCGGGGACCACAGGCAATTGTCGCCTCCTGTCTTTACTCGCCAGGGTGAGATGGCATGGGCGATATCCGCCTTCGAACGTCTGATCAACAAAAAGTATCATCAGACGTTGCTGAACGTGTCGTACAGGTCCCACACGATCCTGTACCAACCGACCTCGGTCGCCTACTACGACGGCCAGGTTCAAGCCTTGTACGCTGCGCCCCGTGTCAACGTCGGGATCAACCCGCGAAACCCCTTGGTTGTCCGACAGGGCAACAGAACCTGGACTCTGCCAGGCTTGTCGCACTTCCTTCACCTGGCACACGTTGAAGGTGATACGAAGAAGGATCCGTCGGGATCCTTATCCCACTCCATGGAAGCCGAAGTTGGGGTCGCCCTGGCCCGAAGCCTCGTCGATAGAGGTTGCCAGGAAATTCTAATTATGTCCCCATACCGGGCTCAAGTGGCCCTGGTAAAGAAGCTTTGGGAGCAGAGGCATCCCGATGCTGCGCCCTGCCCCAGGGTCCAAACTGTTGACGCTTCCCAAGGGTCGGAGGCGCAGGCCGTGATTGTCCTAATCACGCGCAATTCGGGCTCGGCCGGCTTCCTCCAGTCCGTGAAGCGGACGAACGTAATGTTGTCAAGGGCACGCACCGTCCAGTACGTGGTTGGCAACTGGGACTGGGTAGGCGGGCGCAGCTTTACAATGGATGCCGGCAAATTATACCGGTACGTCGACGTGGCCGGTCGCTCTCTGGGCAAGCGGGCCAAATATTATACTGTCAACCCAAAAGTGGGGCAGTAAGGTCATCGTCACCCTGGTTCGAGGCCATTTGAATCTCCCCGAGATCAGGGGCTGCAAGACAAATTATCCAGAGCATCCCAAGCTTTGTCTCCCGCTCTGCGGCACAGCTCAGACTCACCGTGAATTGGAAGAACTCGTCAAAAGTTTGTCAACCGACAGCCAGCGTGCTAAAGCAGCCGCTCTAGCTATTTTCCAGAGTCCAGGGTCCAGGAACAGGGTGACGCCAAATCGGCCAGCTTAGCGTTGCAAAGCCACCAGATCTGTGCCATCTCAAATGTATTTAGACTTGACAGAGAATGCACTAAGTTTCCTTTTCAATATCTGTTTTCCCAGTCCAGGAATGAATATGGCGATTTAGTAATAGCAATGAGGCACTTCACTGCTTCAAGTATACGAAGTGATAGTTTCGATCAGGTACCAGCCGATTGAGGTCCCAGTTGACCCATCGGCATGGACGCCTCAGGCAGAACACGGGTATACCAAGGTTTATTCCATGTCTTACCGACTTTGTCGGGGGCGTCTGGTTTATGAACACTACGTGAGCCACCACAGTAGTGGTCAATATCAGCAAACGTTCTCTTTGGCTATCTCATCGAATCCTCTCAAAATTCCATGCTTCTAGAGCGCGGCCAGTTGCGCGATTCAATGTATTTAGCCCAGGCTGGAGGCCGGCTACGTTTTTAAACTCCTCAGTCTCCACTACCCTCATCTTACGGCTCTGTAGGCGCCCCATGATCTCTAGCAATGTTTATATGTTGGCCTGATTCTACCTTGTCTCTCCATGTAGTCTATGGAACCTCTCTTATGGAATATGCGCAGTACAGCCGACCCCTACTGTAAAAGTGTGATTGGGGGTTAGGGTAGTTTTAGATACAATGGGAAGCCCTTTGCGCTACATGGACGTGTGAATAACCTATTTGGGTAAAAGTACCCATGTAAGATGGTCGTTTCCCAGTGCCTTCTTCGTTGATACCCACGGCATAGCCCGATTTGAAATCGAACAACTCGTGTATGCGGATTATGAAACGACCTTTTGGTGTATACGAGGGGTCGATTATGAACGTTTTTCCCATCCTTACGCAACCTTGATAGTGGTGCTGCATCGCTGTCATCGACCGTCCAATGAGAATACCTTCAGGTCAGTTTGGAACTACTTTTCTCAGAGGAAGGGGTGTCTGGTCGATGTCATATTCGATCGCAAGAACTTCGAATAACCTGCGCTACTCGCTACAATGGTGTAACATACATCCGGGCTCGTCGTGATTAGGCCAGTCGAGAGCACAGCCGGTACAGGAGGAGGGGAAGCATTGCTGGAATGGGAAACGATAGTTATGGCTCTCCATTTGACTACGGGGGAGTCCTGAACTCGAAGATGATTCCAAATGGTAGTTTAGAACTATCGTGGTTACATTCGCCTTCACCGACAGCTTTCCCCGGATTCCGATGAGACGTGGCATCAGAGTAAGAAAGCCAAGATGTCATAGATTCCCTTGGAAAACCCAACGTTCTCTTCTAGTACGTTGACCATCATCTTTGCTTCATGCAGCAAGGATGCCAGTCGCTCTTGACAGTAGTCGAAAGATCCTGTGGACCGAATATATTCCACGGCGTATTTCTTCACCGACTCCTCCTCGCTGCGCTGCCGGAGGATATTGAGCAGTTGTTGATCGCCAGGGTTACTATTGATGCTGTGGATGATCAGAAAAGAAAATTTACCTTCCGTGAGGTCTTCACAGAACCCTTTGTTTTTGCTGTACAAGTCACTTTGAAGATTCTGATAGTCGTCACGGATCTGAAAGATGATGCCCAACAGATCGACAAGGCCGAGGAAATCGCTACTCTGGTCAACGATCCTGGCAGTTCAAAGAATATGTAGAGAGAGACCCACCTCGATATCTCACTCTCCAGCTGCATAAGCTTGATTGCCAACCGGAAAAGACCGCCCGTCTTGTTCGAAATCATCTCGGTGTACTCTTCCTCAGTGGGACAGGTCAAGGAGTCTCGCCAATATAGATCCATACCCTGCCCCCGATGTAAGCGGAGTAGCTCTTCAGTAAAGACTTCGTACGCCTTGGGGCGGTTGAGCTCTCTGAGCTTCTCCTGGGCGGCAAAGTAGGCGTAGTTCGCGGAGTTAATAGTTTGTGCGACACCGAATATGGAATGGGCTACAGGTATCCCTCGTCGCAGCTTGGATGAATCTTGAATGTCATCGATCCTGCAAGAAATCACATATGCAAGAAAAGGTTAGCAGGAGTGCGACTGACAAGCCATACGATATTCTTTTAGCAGTGGACGGACACATACAAGAGTGACGCTGTGTGCAGTAAACCAACAATTTCCGCGATGATGTTTAACCTCTCCTCTGGAATTCGTAGCCATTCATTGAAGGCTTGCATGAACTTGCGACGGATATCCTTTCCAGGATATTTTAATAGATAGTCAACAGGCCCCCAAATAATCTGCATGCCTCGTTAGCTTGTCACATCTCTAGGAGTAGTATGGGTGTCCGCACTTTCTCTTTGTCGACCGGCGTAGACCCCGGCATCTGGGGGGATGAACCTCTAGTATCTATGGACTCGGTTGACAATGGACTCGGAGTGGGATAGCTTGCATTGAGCGTTGAAGAGAAAGAAGGCGCAACAAGCTTCCAACGATCTGGTACGCCTGAAATCATCTTGACAAGTTGGGGTTTGGCAAGGAGGGTATCGTAGCAAATGATATGAATTCGTGGAATGCAGGGTTAAAGATGGCGATAGTACCAGGAAATACTAGGCTGGAGGAAAGCCCTTTGGGAGTTGAAAGGTAGTAAAATCCTATATATAACGACTACGCGGGGTGGATTAAGGGGAAAGCGCAGGGTAAGATTACACCGTCACATCCATTATCAGCAGTCTGCTATTTGCCTTGTCAGATATGGGGAACCCTACCGGCTATCTCTGGCCTGCATCTCGTTGGCCCAAGGATCATTGTACTAGACTACGGTCGACAGGCTCTCCTTGCCCGGTCGTCAGCTGTATGGAACAGGTGACGGGATATTTGACTCCTGTGGCTTCTGCAAATATCTCGGCATATGCGGGCAAGGTCAGGCTCCATGGTCTGCTCTAGTGAGTCTCCTTTTTGTACGGTCCATGTTTATGCCCTCCTCGTGACAATAGAATGGCTGCTGTCTTCTACATGGAAATAACGGAGCCGCTCTAAGTTGTGGAAGGCAGTAAAATACAAGTCACTCATTCCGGGCTTGTTATTGATAGACTAAAGCAAAACACCTATCTTCACTACCTGCATACTGCTGAACTTTCTGCCTACTAGCAAGGATTACCCCGTATTATTTTTCGCTCTTCATGTCCATCTTCTCGTTTCGTCCCCAGAGTGCGAGCCAGTCTTGGATCGAAACTGCAGATTTTTTCATTTCAGTGAGACATGCATGTCGGACCTGTTGACTCTGAATCACTCGTAGAGCTTGTCGGATATTATGTGGCGATCGAAACTCCAAAGCTCGCGCCACATGGTGTCCCTGAGAAGCATTTAAGGCGACAACAATTGGGTAAGTAAGCTCGCCATTGCGTAGGTCTTCGGCAATAGCTCCCTTGGCTTTTGCATAGTCGGAGGAGTACACGTTCTTGCAATCGTTTTGCAGTTGTGAATACCATCTAGGAAGGCCATAAGTTAACGATGCATGCACAGAACTAGCTCTCCTGATCGACTCACGCTACTGTAGTCAACGTATCATCGTAGGATGGATTCTCTAGTACAAGCTGCCCTACTAGGCGGAAGAGGGCACCTGTCTTCAAATATGCCATTCGGCGATATGCCGCCACTCGCTCCTCTGGCTGGACGGGAAAGGCAGAGAGGCCGTCCCGACGCCAGACAAGTGAGAGGTCTTGTCCTTGTAGGATCTCTTCGAGGCATTGCAGCAGCCAAGGTGCAAGCTCTGGGTACTCGTGCACGGTGCGATTCAGTAGTTGGGTTACCCGATAGTACGCTCGGTTTGCTGTCTCTGAAGGACCATAAATGCGATGGGCTGCGGGACGCCCTTTCCGATAGTCGCTGTTGTCACTAATCTGCGAGCCCATGTCAGTGAGGAAAAGACTTTTTCATGGAGTTATCTGGCATACATCATCAACAAGCATCAGGCAAAGATGAATTCCATCCATGATCTCGAGGATCATGTGGTACCTTGCCGGACTCTCTGCCTGGAGCTTGGGAGAGAGTTTGTTAACGAAGGGTGCCCAGTGATGCATTCCGTATATCTCTCGGATGTAACTATAAGGGCACTCCATTGAGGTTATCTCAGAGGGATTCTTTTTGCCGACCAATAACCTCTTTGCAGAAGGCAGCAAACCCGGCAGCCTGTCCCACGCCAGAGCTGTGACCGGAATAACCACCAAGGCCAGTATAGCATAAGTTGTCGGCTGGGAGAGAAAGCCATGAAGGAAGCCCATGATGGCAACGATACTAATGATTGTAGTAGGATCGCCGACACCAAAACCAAAAAGAAAGGATATTCCAGTTCCCCTTGTCTTGCTTGCTTGCGTGGTGGGTAGCGCTGGATATACTGCAGTATCTTGATTAGATGTAACGTCAAAAGTCGGCCAGCATGGCGTCTTGCATATATCATAATGCATTACCAATCTAGACGTATAGCTGTTATACTAGTAGTTGCCTGAGCACATTGGCGTCAGTGGCACTAAGATTCAGGCACCGACTGGAACGTGATGCGAATAACACGTAGACCTTGTATAGACATGAGGTGATATTCCATAAGCTGAGCCAGCAGGGTCAGCTCGCAACATGGGTACGATCCGCATGGTCACACATCAGTATATCTCGTCCTCTGTGAACATCTAGGAATATCAAATCTAGACATACTACGCTGTGGTCAAACAAGGGACCCTTCCATTATCATCGATCGTTAGGATGTCACCATAACTACCTGGCATTATCCATGGTTGCCGAGAACCTATCGCGGATCCTTCCATCACTAACAAACTATATCATCGAATATACCTTTTGCTATATTTCAAGAAATACCAGGGACGTATTTGGCAGGACTTGGAGGAGCATCTGACCACGGGGTATCATAGACAGGCGATGTCTTCGTTATCTGTATGGGAGCTGAGTGGGCCACTAGCTACGTGCGAATGATCTACAAATTAGTCCAAGGCCCTTCAGATGGCATTACGAAGACGTCACTATACTCCAATATTACAGAGGAACTGCATACGACGTTATCTGCATACCCAGAACCATGAGCTGGAGTGGATTTGCTATAAGCTTCACAGTGATCTGATTGGTAGTCTATCGCTTTCTCGATAAGTAGGCACATGGCCAACCCTAGGCGATGCCAAACTTCCTTATTATTTTCGTATACAGAGATATCAGGTGCCCGATTGGGAATCCTGCCTCCGCAGTGGAGATTGGTCCAGAGCTGGCGTTTCAGACTCCCATGGCTCGTCAATGAAAGTACCCGTGTGGGCTCGTATACAATTTGGTATGTGTAGCCTCCATCATGGCACACTTTCATCTCACTCCTGACCAATGTTGGCCCAGATTTCCCAATGCCTCAATCTTGTGGAAGTATGGAATTGGTGGGATTCTTCCGCCGCACTGGTGACGGGCGTTCGCTTGGCGAGGAATCCTCCTATTTGTTTCTATTGTATCTTTTCATCGTACTCTTGTCTTATCTATTCTTTCCTTTTTCTGAACGGATAGACCGTATAGTACGTTCCTCTATTACGCCGGCAAGTCCGGAAAAGTGAACGGTGGGAACAATGGGCGCATGGATATCCGAGCTTGAGTCACCCGCTTACTGTTGGAGATTGGGCGGATTTAGAAGTGGCCAGGTCACTGTCTCACCCAAGATATCGCTCACATCGTGTCAGTTTGTGGTGTGGGGAGTTAACGGTTAATAGGATGTCCAACATCCGGTGTTGTACAGGCATCACCATTTGGACCAGGGCTGCCTCACATGCAACCATTGGACCCGTATGTATACGATCCGTGGTAGCTAAATGGCGTTTATTGGCTTCACCGAACAATTCAGCTTCAAGAACTTCCGCGGTCTCCTAAGACCCAGGAGAACATTCTCTTGATCACGCCAGACCCGTATTCCAGCTTCTCTTTGTAGACATTGGGCTGATAGATGATGCATAAGACGTAGTCGTATCAAATGTGAGTTTGACATTCTCGCCTAATGCGCCATTGATAACCTGATTTACCTAATATCTTCATGGTGACCCCTTCAACAAGTGCGGATACGGAAGTCCTGAAGTCCAATGACAGCTCATCCGTGCATCCAATCCAGTGACCCCGTGCCGATGCGATTCTCCGGCAGCCTGGTTTGCAATAGCTATCTCCTGGCGAACGTAAGAGTCCTTTTGTTGGCTGAGGACCGTGGGAGCTGAGATACACCACATAAGTGGTAAGCTGCCATTTTACCATCGGTCCCACCACAAGATCCACAAAAACGACAGTTTGAACTTTGCAATTTGTGTTAGACTTGTAACCATCGTGTTACATATCGCATACATTCTATACCCTGTGAGGTACAGGTAGCCACTAAGTCACGGCTTGGTTAGCTCCTTGTCGGCTGTCTACCCTCCTGTTCTTCGCTGTCACACGCAGCTTGGCCCTAGAGTATTTTCTAGTCTCGAAAGCCATTTATTTCTACGCTAGTACCTACACGTACCTTCCGTTATGTGTGATAAAGATCAATTCAGAGTGATCATTGTTGGAGGATCTGTCGCTGGACTCACCCTGGCCCATTGTCTCCAACAGGCGGGAATAAACCATGTTGTCCTCGAAAAAAGTCCAGATCTCTCACCACAGGTGGGGGCCTCAATTGGTATCATCCCCAATGGGGCACGTATCCTTGATCAATTGGGACTCTTTGATGCTGTGGAGAAGATGACCCATCCTCTCAGCATGGCTACTATCACATACCCTGGCGGGTTTTCTTTCTGTATCAATTATCCTAAAATTGTCAATGAAAGGTCAGTGATACACAAAGAGATGTGGCCCAACGCTTTTAAATCATAGAACTCGCTGACAAGGTATCTCGAGTGGAATTCAGATTCGGATATCCCATTGCATTTTTAGATCGACAGAAATTTCTTGAGATTCTGCACACATCGTACCCGGAGCAGTCAAATATTCATACAAATTCCCGGGTAACACATATCCGACGGCTAGATAGCCACATTGAAGTTGTCACAAGCTCCGGACAGGAGTATATTGGGGACCTAGTGGTCGGTGCTGATGGTGTCCATAGCGTCATCCGCTCTGAGATGTGGAAATTGGCAGACGCGCTGGAGCTTGGGCGGGTGTCGAAGCGGGAAAGGAGAAGTCAGTAATACTGTGCTGTATACCCTGGATAGCTTCATGACGCTCAATCACTGACTACTTCACTCTATAAAAGGCATGAAGGTCGAGTACGCCTGTGTCTTCGGCATCTCCTCGCCCGTTCCAGGGCTAGATGCCGGAGACCAAGTGAATGCATTTCATCACCGCTTGACCATTATCACCATCCAGGGGAAATGTGGACGGGTGTTCTGGTTCGTGATCAAAAGGTTAGATGACACCTACACGTACCCGGACACAGTGCGGTTTTCTAGCGCCGATGCTGTACGTACATGTGAGAAAGTCGCTCACTTCTCACTGACGAACGGGGCCACTTTCGGCCAGGTCTGGGAGAATAGGGAAGTTATGTCTATGACAGCATTAGAGGAGAATATTTTTAGCACCTGGCATGCGGACCGTATTGTTTGTATTGGGGACAGTATGCACAAAGTAAGGGCAACAACCCTGGTCAAATTGGCGAGCTCCGAATAACATTATAGCAGATGACGCCAAACATCGGACAAGGAGCGAATACTGCCATCGAAGACGCCGCAGTCTTAACCAATCTGCTGTACGATAGGCTCTCGAGGAATGAATACAAGAAGCTCTCACGGCCAGCGCTGGAGCAACTTCTTCGTGAATTCCAGTCTGAGCGCTTTAGCCGTGTCAACAAGATCTACAAGGATTCCCGATTTCTAGTTCGGCTCCATGCACGAGACGGTATCGTGAAGTCCCTTTTTGCACGATATATAGTCCCCCATATGAGGGCTCTACCAGCAGATCTAGCTTCAAAATCCATCGCTGATAGTCCCACAATCAGCTTTCTCCCAGTTCCTTCGCGCAGTGGGCCCGGATGGCAGCAGTGGAGTCGGAAGGAAAGAAGATCTGCTCCCTTGTGGATACTGATGCTGCTTGTTCTTGTTATCTTTTTCGGTCTGCACTCGCCCGGGCGTCTTCTTCCATGGTTGTGGAGTAATTCACTGGTTTCCAGATCGACCAAGTGATGCTAGTTAGAGCTCCATAGGCTTGTTGGTATACTTATAAATATACCGTCCTCAAAAACACAGGGACTTCATAGCTTTTATCCGATCCATAGACGCTTCGATGATCCACGGATGGTAGGATAACAACGCAGCGTCTTCTCTCATTTCCTACAGTTCTTGCCCATGTGAATATTATCTCTAGTCTCACAATAAGGCCTAGAAGCGAAATGGAATTGGATCGTTGAGCAACGACCATATGATGTGAGTTCCTCTATTGATTAATTAGGTATTTCCGAGGAAGCTCCTCGCTGTATATACATGTGGTTGGCGGCAATACCCATGCCACCATGGGCCAGACGCGTAGCCCAGGCATCTTTATTGAATCGGGCCGGCGATGAGCACAGACGGTCGCTTTGTTCTGTCTGGTCTGAATACAGCGCCGGTGGTGATGTCGTTGGAGACGGACAGAGACAGGCATCCCTAGAAATCTCCTCTAGATCATGGTGTGTGAGCACGATATGGTTACCACGAGCACCTTTGTTGCGTGAGTGCAGAACTGCCAAAATTGTCTGCATTTTATTGAGGTCATGATTATTTGTATCTAGTGGGTTCATAGCATGTGTGGCATGCCCATCTCAAACAGGGCTTTCGCTGCTCGTGATGTGAAAGTCACGCCGCACGTTGATCTGATACTGGTAGTCTGCTGAATCCTTGGGTAGGATCAATTCGTGATCTGAAATATCATCTTCAGTTGCAACACTCGACGACGACATCCCCGGTCCAGCCTCGATGGGTGTACCGGCACGCACATTTCCTTTCAGCCTATGCTGTCGCTCTTCTTCTGTCGTGAGAGAAGACAACGGCAGGGCGTTGCTCCGCTGGAACGATGAGTTGTGCCACGTACGTGATCCAGGAGTTGAGGGGGTATTTTTATTATATGATCGACCAGTTCCCGGGCGGATCATTCGTAGTAGAGGGCGGAGGGTTGCCAGACTACCGGCAAAGATTCCCAGGCCGGTCTCAATGTTGGACCACACGGCGATACCAACAGTGGCGTCTGGATAATACATGTCAGTGAGTGTTCTTGTCAGATTGCTTCAGCCGTGCGACAAGGCACGGCAAGACAGATTGAAGGAAGTCTCACATAGGAAATCTGGGTCCCGAAGTGTCTCGACATATGCCATCCGGACCAGAACCGCGACGGAAGCACTAAAGCAGACGTGTTAGAAGATTCTGTTGGTGGACTGTCGAGGACCTTGTGGTGACATACATGCAAGCCATGCCGAGAAGACCGGCGACGGCATACTTTAGATCGCGACGCATCTGCAAATTGCGCACGACGAAGACGGGCAGAACCCCCACAGTGAGGTCAAAGATAAAGGACACCGCGCTGAAGATATACAGAGCCACGATGATTACAGTCATGTTGATGCAGGACCCGGAAACTGGGTTTTCCGTGGATAATCGCATCCAGAAAAACTTCACCGGTTTACACTGGGCGAGAAGGAGGATCAAAAACATCAACCCAAATACCACCGCCAACGTGGTTACCGCATAAACCACCATGCGATGAACTTTGTGCACGGTGACACGCAGGAGGAATATGCCGACGGAGATCTTGCATAGGATAGACGAGAGGCAGTAGGCAACGTCGCATAAGAACCAGTACTACTGATTGCGTTAGCACCATAAAATACCTCTCAAGGTAAGAAGCTTACCTCCATGGCGGTTGTTCTCTGATCATTCGTAAGTTCCGTGAGGTGCCTTCCGGTCCCGTATAAGCTTCCTCCGATCATGCACCCGGAAAACATGCCAAAGAATCCCTGTTCCACATAGACAAAGGTTAGAAAGACATTTTGAACCTCTTGTCCAACTGTTCAACTACGGGGACCACACGCACCAACGCCAATAACATGATGGCATCATCCCAGCCGAACGCCTTCACAATCGCCAGGCGTACATAGCATCGGAGAGCCGTAGCCACTGTAGCCAATGCGAGGAAGACCGCCGCAACTGCTCGCACCTCTAAGCTTCGATCTTCTGCCATGGTGGATTTAACCGACGGCTGCTACACACAGTTGCTTCAATATCCAGAGCGCCCGAAAGGTAAACAACTGCCGAATACCTAGGGTTCTAGGAAGTCATTGTCCCTGGGGGGGTTCATCAACACAGGTGGTGCCTAGGAAGAAAATGGCAAGTGGAATTGGGGTCGTCTTAAAGTCTGACTGGGTTGCTAAAAAATTGTTCGTATGCAACACTTCCGTCTCTTGGGACATGACCCACGATCGGAAAGTTCTCACCTGGCTCCACCTCATCAGCTTCGAGACCATGTGGCAAGTGGAGTCCGTGGCTCAAAGATGGGAAGCTGATTGAGTCAATCATGGAAGCCGGCTGCTCGCTACCGTTGGCCGTTTGAATCAATCCTGCGTTTCCGAAGCTTGGGCCTAGGCTTTGGGGAGGCATTCACGGCAATGCCGAAGGCTAATACCGGCGCCCTTTTGGCCGTGATTTTGTCTCTTCATCCTTCAACCGCGAAGATTTTGCCAAGTTGCCGGGAGTGGCCCTCGTTCATCCTGACTTGACGGAACCCATACTCTTACCAGCCAGGCCAAGGTAGGAGAAGCAATTGGATTTCTCGAGTCCGTCTCGACAGCAGCAAACTCGGATACCTCACGCCTCATTCTCGAGCTGAATCAGGCTCATTTTTCAATCCTATTCGCCGAGGTTGTGCTGGTGCAAAGTCTTCCATGTGGGGCCGGAGATTACCCTACTTCCTTCGGATGGAGTCATCGAGTTCAATCCCAAGAGATCTGAGATCGTGGGACGCTTTGGCCTCCTGTCCGCGTGCTTGGTATCGGCTTATCACCTTGATCTTGAGACATGCCATGCCTTCCAGTCCATGACTATGTATACCCTAGATTTCCCCAGATCAAGTAGACCCCCTTGTGGTGGCAGACTACAAGATTTTTTGTTCTCTCTCACTCCTCCCTGGGCGGGACAATTCTATTGCAACCACTTAAACGAATATCCCCCGTATTCTAGATTTCATAGACTCCAATTTCAATCTCCAATTCATCGTACCACAAGTCAGGGCACGAAATAAATTGAGACAAATCTCCGAAAAAAAATTCAAATTAATTAAGGTCGTGCTATGACCAAATCTACCCACGTGCTGCATCCTACCCTACTTTTTGCTCTCCTTCTGGCCACGTGTTCGAATCTCGGAAGTACCTCGGCTTTGGCTCAAGTCTCCACCAGGTTGTACGCTGCTTCGTTGCACATTGGAGTCCATGGCAAGATGTTACGATGTTAACGTTATTGGTCATGTAATAGCGCCAAATATATACCTATTGGTCTACTATATGATGTTCACATTCTTGTCGGCGTCTATGATTTGCGATATCGAGGAGAACATATTTATTCTCATGGATCTCATCCAAGTGTCAAGTGTAGCTTTCAATATATTTTCAGAGTATTTAGGAAGACATTATAGAGGTATCCGTGTTTTGAGGTTGGGCTTGTGTTAATTTGAACTGGGAGGATATCGGGGGCAGGTTCAGTCGGTCATGATGCATTATATATATCGGGGTAGCACTCAACCGAGGATCGGTAAACAGTCCCCATAAATGAGGCATAAGATACCTGCAACGTCGCTTGTGACCGTACTACAGCGACTGGTACTCAATTCGTAAATCCCACTTATATCTTGGGTCGTTTCCCTGCATCCTGGTTGCTGACAGGAATGAATCATCCTTCCTGGTGACCCATGCAGATCGCACGCACGGACTGTGTATATAGACCCACTAGATCAGCATCCGTTGTGGATGTCGATCATACAAGCACAAGAAGACGGCCAGTGGGGCATAAAAGACTCTATATATCTTGGATTTTGTGAGACCGTCTGTAGTAGGGGAGTATGACGAAACTTGAAGGAATTATTTGGACTGAAGCAAATCGACTACCGTCGATAGCGCTGCATAGCACCGTCTCTGGGCCAAGACCTATACCGCAAGGAGGCGAAATGGATCCAAATCAAGCTTTTGCCGGCACTGACGGCTGCATTCAAGGCATTGGAAATAGACTAAACATATGATGCGATGGAGTCGGAAGAGTGGTTGATATAGGGCTGACATACATACAAGAAGACAAAGACGACAAAGGACATGTGACGAACGATACCCGATGGAAAAGGAACATTGATCTTCCGAGGCCCACGCTAAGGCTCCTGCGGCATAGCCCCACGCTAAACCCAATGGGCCGATGTCAACCAAACTTCCATCGCAACGCGAATCAATAAAGGCTCCAATGTTCACCATTCAACCCGAAGCATGTTCAACATCCACTCTGCAGAATGTCGAACATCTCCTCTATCGTAGGCTTCACCCTCCTGGTGGGCCTTCTGGCTTCGACGTTACTCTTCATCCAGCGAAGGAAACTGGATCCCCGTGAACCACCCTTGGTCTCCAGCGCAATCCCGCTCGTTGGCCATTTGTTGTCATTTCTGTACTATGGCCTCGAGTACTTTGCGACGACGAGGTGTGTTACTCCCATTTTTTTTTTTTCAACAGGAGAAATCGTATAACTGATGACTGCGACAGCCGCAAAAACCGTCTCCCCGCCTTCACGATGGACATGCTCTATGCGAAGGTCTACATCATTGCATCGCCGGAGCTGGTCTCCGCGGTACGACGGAGCCGCAACGCGATGTCATTTGGTCCTCTGTTCGACAATGTCGCCGAGAATGGGGCCGGTGTCCACGGTCGCGGGATGCAGCTTCTTCGCGACAAAGAGTCTGGAGGTCAGGGACTGGGGCAGCGAACCGCGGATTCCATGCACCCCGCTCTCTTAGGCGGCGGACTGGATCAAATGAACGGAAAGATGATCACGGCCCTCAATACCATAATTAATCAGCTAGCATCGCAGCCAGACACGGTGGTGGATCTCTACGAGTGGTGCTGCCATGCCGTTACGGTCGCCAGTACAGATGCCATTTATGGCCCATTGAATCCTTACCGGTCCGAGAGCAACCGACAAGCTTTCTGGTGAGTTCTCGTGTTCTCCACGGTATCGTTGGGAATTAACCAGTCGATAGGGCGATTGAGTCGAATCTAAGTCTGCTCATGATGAACACCCTTCCCTGGATCTCCGCACGGAAACCGTGGAAAGGCAGAGAGCAACTGACCCAAGCTTTCGTCCAATACTACCAAGCGGATGGGCATCTGGATTCTTCGCAGCTGGCGTACACTCGATGGAAAGTTCAGCACGAGGCGGGGGCAACTCTCGAGGACATTGCGCGCTTGGAAGCGTTCACAGGTCTGGGCATTCTGTCCAATACCGTTCCGACCTGCTTCTGGGTCCTGTTTGATATCTTCTCTCGCCCGGAACTCCTTCATAAGATCCGAGAGGAGATCCAAACCGGGGCCCTGTCGATTGATTCCGCAGGCGTTCACAACCTGGACCTAGCGGAGATCCGTGAGAAGTGTCCGATCCTCGTCTCAACGTTTCAAGAGACGCTCCGTACTCGTTCAAATTCCGGGCAGCTGCGTGTTATTCAAAGGGACACCTTACTTGATGATCGCCTGCTCGTCAAAGCCGGGTCCATTATTCTGATGCCTGCGGCAGTGATTAACAAGCATCCTTCCGTCTGGGGCTCGAACGCCGATACATATGATCCAGAGCGGTTCAGCAAGATCGATCCGGTGGAAAAGCGATCCAAGGCGTCTGGCTTCATGTCTTTCGGTTCATCCCCACATATCTGCCCAGGGCGCCATTTCGCATCCGGCGAGATCCTGGCGCTGGTTGCCATGATCCTGGTGCGATTTGACGTTCGTCCCGTCCGGGACACATGGGTCGAACCCAAGGGAAACACGAAAGCAGTCGCTGCATCGCTGCCTCCCGCGGCGGAGAAGGTTGAGGTCAAAATGTCCGAGACGTCCAAGTTTGCAGGGGCGACATGGGGATTTCGGCTTACGCCCGGAAAGGGAACTTTTGGCCTGATCACTGGCTAAGTGGATGTCTCGGTCCCTTCTAGCAGTCGCATCACCTGAATGCTACGAGCGGACCATACGATGGAGCTTCGGAAGTAGATCGCCATCTTTCTCCGTTTCTATGATATCTCCGATGTAAGGGGCATATGTACATGTCGCCAACTATGTATATAGAAGAAGCTTTGTCAATGTATATAGGTCGAACCCAGTCCTGAATGTTGATCATTCGGCACCTGTCAGAGGCTAACACAGGCTCGCAGAGGAATCGGATGCCCAATACATGACGCTACTCATCGTACCTGATTCTATTCAGTCTAACGTGCGTGGCAATCGTTCGGTCGCAGCAATTGCTAGGACTTCCACCGATTGCGTGATCCGACGTTCCTGTCTCTCCTGCAGGTACATTTTCACAGTGAGTAGGCGCCAACAGGTGGACGCTGATTTCCTCGGTGCTATTGGATATCGCCCTCGTGTCGACTGCCAAGGTATTTTGCCGCAGATATATTGTATCTGGTGAGGCGCAGCAGGTTGAGAGCCCCGCATTTAAGGCGGGCCATAAGATGAGCGTTGGTTGGAGACATTCTGTTCCTCTCTGGAATACAACGATCCTTCTTTGAAGTCACCGTTCTACGTCTCACAAAATGGTCCATCGGGAAACACACTACTTGCACCCATACGGCTGGGAGACCAGCCCGCAGGAAGAGCGGTACAAAATCTCGACGCTTGACTACCTGACGGGCCTTTGCTACACCCACTTCGCGATCTACTTTCGCTTGGAGGATGGGAGTAAGCCCAAGGCCGCTGCAGTACTCAAGGAGGGTCTCGAGCGGACTCTGGGCCAAGTCGGCCACCTTTGTGGCACCATCGAAAAAGACTCCGATGGGGGTCATTCCTTTGTGAAACGAAAGGAGAGCACGGTGCAGTTTGTTGTACAGTGGCTGGACGCTGCGAGCGATGCGGATCGGTTCCCCTCCTTGGATGACATGGAAAATTCGAGTTTTGCTGGGATGACACTGGGTGATTTCAACCATTGGAGCATCGAGCCGATGACATACGGCGAGAAGCCAGAGGCGCATCCGGACTGTTCTCCGGTCACCTCGGCCTTCTTACTCAACTTTGTCCGTGGAGGGTTTGTTCTGATCTCCCACATGCACCATTACGCCAACGATGTCATGGGCTGGAGGGGGTTTGTGCAGCAGCTTGCTGACAACTGCTACGCCGTGGAGCATCAGACGCCGTTCCCGACCTGGTACCCAGTCTGCAATGACGTTTCCATCGTCTCCAAGCCAGATCCCCCCGTGGAGGAGCTCGTTGACGGACCCCATCCGCCGCGGCAGCACCCGGATCAGAAGCCTGGACAATGCCTGCTCTTCCACCTTCCCAGGAGCAAGGCTGCTGAGCTAAAGCGGCTCGCGACACCGCAGGATGGAACATGGATCTCAACATACGACGCTTTCACCGCCTTTATATGGCGGACCACAACCCGCCTCCGTCAGCCGGTCTTTGGAATACCGCTCGAAACCCCTATGTTCTGGTGTGAGGCCGTGGATATGCGTCGCCGAATGACGAACCCCCCTGTTCATCCGCAAGTCCAGCACAATGTTCTCTGGGCTGCACTATCGGACCAGGCGCCTTTCCCGCCGCTCACTCACGGGGACGTGATTTCCGACAAGCCCCTCTGGGAGCTTGCGGCCTATATTCGCAAGATTACCAGTACTCAAACCCAGGAGAACCTGGATGCTGCGCTGACTGCGATCTCGCACATCAAGGACAAGACGAACCTCAACATCCGCATTAACTCGAAGCCACCAATGTCCATCATCACAACGGACCACCGCGACGCTCAAGTGAATAATGCGGACTTCGGGTTCGCCCGCCCGCTTTGCCATCGTCACTTACAGCAGGGGCCGGGTGTCACCGTCGGCGTGCACCTGGTGTACCCTCCCAAACTCGATGCGAACCCAGATTCTGACGAGGGTAATATGTTTGCGCTAATGTATGAGAAAGAGCTGGCGCAGGACTTGATTAACGATACGGAATTTGCCCAGTTCTTCGAGTATCGGGGTGTTGATAGTGAATAAGGGATATGATGGGTCTCTGTTGATGAGGGTCTGGATGTGTCGGTATTTACCCTGAGCCGTGGGTGCCTTCTTGTGATATGTACCCAGACTAAACTGCGACAGCGGACGGAATGCTGGTCCTGGAGGATATAGTGGTATGAACTTCATGATAGAAGAAGACTGCCTTCATCGCTAGTGGTAGTATGTCCTCTGACCAGTATGACGCTGGGTAATGCTGCTGGCGATGGACTCAACCACGCACGAGCTGTGGGGCAGTGGGATCATCTCACATTCATAATTGAACATACAAAGCAGAAACTGAGCCTCATAGTAGCTCGAAATGAACTCGATAGCACATCATTCGGAACTAAGTCCCGGTTGCTACCGGATATCCTTCTGCACATCTGGTAGGTACGGCTGTTCAGGTAAGGTTGAAGATTACTCCAAAACAGGAGAAGATCCTTCAGGCTACAAGCCCCAGTCACCGTAGGCCCACTCAGACATTGTATATAGATTTCACAGGTTTCCCACACACGAAGGATCAACGAGTGGATGGACAGGGCCCCACGCCATGGCAATCAGAGTACATCTTCTGCCGGCGTTTCGCCGAAGATAAGCCTGAAGGGATATGCGTTGAACAGAGGTTGCTATTCTCACTGTGGATGAGAGCTCCGGCATATCGTTACTGACTTTCTCTCGCATTGTTTTGACCCATGCACAAGGTTCGTCGGCGTATACAGGTTACTACGCGGCAGCAAAGGTATCTAGAGAGTCATATTGATGACGGATTAATCTACCTAGAACTGAAGAACAGTTAATAATCCCTAGAGGGTCTAGGGTCGTGACCTTTCTAAGCAACTCAATCACCACATATAGTGGTGGTGCAATGCACGGTTAGATACGTTCAGCGTTTGAACTCAATTCTAGTCCCCACGTCTCATGAGGTATAGTTTCTCAATCTAAACCTATACCAGAGTGGAGACAGCGATTGATACGGATGAACCGGCCTTGGCTTCTTTCCGGTTCCGAAAGTGATCGGCAGTACCTGCATATGCTCATGCAGTTGCCTGGTTTCAAGTCACTGCTGGCATCTGCTAGATGACGAGGTGTGTTACTTGGAATAGGCAGATGTCTAAATCCGGACTCCAGTACATTAGGCCGAGTAGAACACTTGGTTGGAAGGGTTTCGGGGTTTAATATGCTCGCCTTGCGAAAGTTGGTTAGTGGTTACCCTAAAACCCAGACCCAGAGACTGAGACTGATGGTGATTGAATGTCGTGATCAAGCTAAACTGCGGGAGGATCTGCTAGTAGGCATGTAACCATGGCGGAGGCTTCGGTGCAGCCGGCATTCGGACATGCTCTCGCCCGTAGCAATTTAGTATCTTAGGCATGATCCTTCGTTACCTGATGAATCTTGGCAGACGTCGGGAATTGCGTTCTATATAAGAGGCGGGTGTCTATGGAAAGGTATATAAGCTAGGATTCTTCCATCTTCCCATAATATACAGACTCAGGTAATCAAATCAGTGTCTACACCCAGTCAAGAATATATCCTCCTTCCCAGCTATCAAGATGGTTCCCAAAAACATCCTGGCCATTCTGGCTACTGCCCTTGCAGTGCAGGGCAGCCCCATGGAGAAACGCGAAGTCGTGAATCATGACTCTATCACTCCATTCCCCGAGACCGTCCCCAATACTCCCACTGGAAACGCCTATAAGAAGTTCGAGCCGTATCTACACATTGCACACGGCTGTCAATCCTACCCGGCCGTCGCCGAGAACGGTGATGTGAGGTAAGCCAATATTACATCGCAAGACACAAGGCCCAGGTGAACTGTGAATAAGACGAAAGTTGCGAATTCACTAACCTCTGTTGTGTAGTGGAGGGCTTCAAGACACTGGTAGCGCAACGGGAGGTTGCCGTGACCAAAGCAAAGCGCAGACCTACGTGCGCGGTGGCTGGCACAATGGGCGCTACGGTATCATGTACGCATGGTATATGCCAAAGGACATGCCCAACAGTGGAGTATCGGCGGGTGCGCACCGCCACGACTGGGAGAATGTTGTTATCTGGGTCAACAATCCAGCCAACGATAACCCAACCTTGCTGGGAGGTGCCGCATCGGGTCACGGCAGCTACAAGAAGACGGACAACCCACCGCGAGAGGGCGATAGACCTAAGGTGGAATACTTTACTAGCTTCCCAACCAACCATGAGCTGCAGTTCACTAATACGCTTGGACGCGATCTACCACTCATTGCCTGGGAGTCTCTTCCCGAGGCCGCAAGGCAGGGATTGGAAAGTGCCGAGTTTGGCAAGGCCACCGTCCCATTCAAGGACTCAACTTTCCAGGGAAATCTAGAGAAGGCTGCTCTGTAGGGAGATTGAGCTATCATTGTCTGGGCAGTGATATCCACTGCTCCTGGCAATCTAACTGCAGGAACATCGGCAACTTGGATTGATTATGGTTGAGAAATAGCATAGCGCGGGATAAGCCCAGGGCATTGGTGTCAGAAATGTATATATGTCTCTAACAAGCTGTAATTGGGCTGGAGAATGGCTTAATTAGCCTGATATTACTCGATCGCATAGCAAGAGATATGTTTGAGAGTTACCATATGCAATCAGATCACTACTGAATACCACAAATAATATTCCGTGAAAGCAGCGAATTCCCCTCATATCTATAAAGCTTTTTCTCTAGCCATTACAACATGATGGTGGGGCGAAGAGGTTGAAGCCTCGTCGATGCACTATGTATGCGTGCCAAGGCGCAGATCATGGTATCTGAGCCAATAAAGCTTCATAGAAGGAGGAGAAAGGCTGTCCTATATCAGCCCGATGGCGACCACAAGCAAGTCGTGCGACATGCACCATGGCCCCTGACGGCCGAGACAGCGCCACCTGCGCCTTTTGCACGTCTATTGAATGCAGCTCGCATGCCGGCACTGCAGTAGGGGGAAGTGTATATCACGATGAACTATTCCACTCCCCGTGCGAGAGATGCTTCGAGGCAGACAGAGCCACATATCCTGATCTTTGTCAGTTCTGCCGCCATCTGAGGCTGCCACACTTGGGCTTGTGTTTCGAGTTCAAACCGCCCTGCATTGTAGAGATTAAACTCAGACGTCCAGAGGAGTTGCACGCCAGGAGGTCATGTTCCTTCTGCAGGTTTCTTTTTGACGCGATCGCTACCCACAGAAATGTGGCGAGGTTGAGTGAAAATGATCTTTGGGGAGTTAAGCCAATCCTCAAACTTTCCTCCCGTTCTTTGGGGTTACGCTTGTGTAGCAGTGATGATGTCCTGCTTTTTTCTGTCTCCATCTCAATTTTCAATGTTGGAACCACCCGCGCATCATCCATGTGGAGGAAATTGCTCAACCTTCATCGGCCACCGCCAGATACGCTCGGAGGCCCAAGCCGATATATCGATTGGACAAATGCTCGCGTATGGATCGAACAATGTCCTTCTCCCCACGGCTTGCCACGCAACCTAAAGGTCATTGATGTCCTTCAGAATCGCGTGGTGGACGCACCGGCAGGGTGTAGATACCTGGCCCTCAGTTATGTCTTTGGAGGAGTGAAGGTCGAACATATCACACTCCCAGATGCCCTTCCTGCCACCATTGGCGACGCCATAATTGCCTGTCAGAAGCTTGGAGTGCAATATCTCTGGGTTGACCAGCTCTGTATCAGCCAGAAAAACCCGTGTGTATTACAAGAACAGATTAATCAGATGCATGATATCTATCAACACGCTGTATGTTCCCTGGTAGCATTGACAGGCGAGAATGCAAATTGCGGGTTGCCTGGCGTGACTAGGGGTCGGCCACAGGTCCAAAACGTCGTCGAAATAGCTGGCATCATGTTCACCACCCTGATGCCGAACATCCATGACTGTATCAAGTTCAGTAAATGGGCCACTCGCGGCTGGACACTCCAAGAAGCTATCTTTTCTGATTGCTTTCTTTTCTTTACCGACTATGGCTTGCATTTTGTGCAACGGAATGCTGTCGGTATAAAGAGAGCCCAGATTAAATCAGATGTGACCTCTGGCGTTCCGGCAGAGTATACACTTCCTTCCAAGGACAAATTCTGGACAATGCTCGGAAAGTATAACGCGAGAGATTTATCATATCCGGAGGATGCGCTGCGTGCCTTTTCAGCTGTTCTGCGGTCCACATACAGCGACAATACCTACTACGGACATCCTCGCGAGCAGATTGACAAAGCGGCTGTATGGCATATAGCAGGGGATAGAACCGCTTCTAGGATGCGCACTATGTTTCCTTCGTGGTCCTGGGCTTCCAACTCTGGCCCCATTGGCTTTTTGAAAGCAAATGCTGCACTGGCTGTCTGGGCCACGCCAGAAGGATCTACGGATTCTGGGACCAATATCATCCTCTGTACGCCAGCTCCAGATGAGGATTGGGGGGAAAGAGGCATATCCAGAGAGAGTCGAGGCTTGGTCAAGGACCACCAAATTGCCCGGAGGCAGAACCTATTTTTTACCATAGATGTAGCCTGGGAGGTTGGAAGCATCAAATGCTCGCGTCTTTTTGAGTCTGGTTTGCATTGGTCAAGAGCTGCCACACTGGCTGAGCGATGGCCAACCTATGATGCTTACTGGCACAGCACGCTGGGGAACTATGATATTGATACTATATTCCCTGAGCGGGACCGTGCGACCGCTGCCTCTGCTAAGGCCGGATTCTTCTCCACGGCCAGACCGCGTCTTTCCCTTTAGCAGGTACAGGAAGCTCTTTGCATAAAACAGGTAAGCTTCGCATAATGTCGGAGGACGGCATGGTTGCGGGAGTGGTTGTCGTGCCGTCGTACTGCGAGCCAGCTGGCGATGGAGAATTTGTAGCTTTGTCTATAGGCGATATTGATGGCCTCAATTTTAGATACGACCTGTATGACTTTGCACGTTCGATGGGGGTAAGCATCGATGAGTTTATTGAAGGCCTTCTTTTCTATGACAGTACGGGCAATAGTATCCCACCTCCATGGGACGCCAGCTTCTTGGCCGTGCGGCAATGCGTGATCGTACTCAATGTGTTGCTGATTGAACGGGACGAACAGAGCACCGTTGCCCGCAGATTGGGCCTCGGATACGTGTTTCTCAAACGATGGGTCGAGGCGAAGCCTATATTTGAGACTATAATTCTGGAGTAGGAGCACTTTATGCACTAGAGAATACCGTGGCTGGTTTGTGGAACGTGTGGTACGTGTACCAATGGTCGTCAGGCTATATGTCTTTCTTGATATAGGGTTAAGACATTTAAATCCCTGTTCAACAGGCCCCCCACCTTCGTGCCCCACGTCTAGACGAGGCTGAAACTTGATTCAATCTCTTGTACACGTTTCCTACCTCTGGTTGGGACACACAACCTCTCAAGACCAGACATACATCGTTACTCGTTTGAATCCGGCAGAAGCAAAAATGTCACCCATCACCAAGCTATGGCTCAGCACAGCCAAGACCAAAGATTACATGGACTCGAGTGGCTTCCACGACCTCCTCGCCCAGATTCTGAGCCACTGCTCCTCCTACACTAACCCTGAGTCCAATCCCGAACTCCCACCTATGCACGCCTTCTTTCAAAGTGTCGATAATCCAGACCTCCTCCTGATGGTCACGGGCTATCCTTCCCAGGAGATGAACAATGCGGCGGACGACACTTACGCAGCGACCTTTCTGCCTCGTATGTTCCAATTCGTCGAGCATAAATGGCTAAAGCAGTTGGACGTGGATGTGAGCTTGTTGCCCTTAGGAAATGATAATTTAACACTCCAATTCTGTGACACTCCTGTGGATACGGCCACAGGCCAGGTAATTGGGGGATGGGATGTGTGGCCAGAGACGGAGCAAGGGATCAGAATGAGAGAAGCTGGTAAACTCGAGGAGCTACGGAAGATCTGGGTAGGCATTGGGAAAGAAACTGGGGTAGACCTCACCCTGGCCAGAGAAGTGTTCCATTTTCGCAAGGTTAAAGCCGCGTAACTGGGTCAAAGGATGTGGTGGTTGAGTTGAAGACACACAAAGGCTGTTACCCACAGACTGACGTACATCGATGCTGAGGAATATTACTATCCTATTTATATAACGTCCAGGGCAGGAATAGTCGGTAGATGTCTACTAAGCGTAGTCCAGAAACTGAACGGAAGTGAACTTAACCCCATTTTCTGCCTTACTCCTGCGCAAGCTTGCAGCAAAATCGCATCCGCAACCCCCTTTGCGATTATAGCTAAGGGCATAGGCGCGTTATTTTGCTGTACTAGGTTGTTGTGCTTGCAACAAAATTGCTCATGATTTTTCCGGGGCAATGTAGAGCTTTGTTTAGATAGAATAGTTGACATATGCCAGCAAGGCCTGTACATCTACCAAGACTTCCAGACCGTTCTCCTAGCCACATGGTATTTCTTCAACGGCTTCCAGATATAGGAGTGCCTACAATCTCTCCACCGCCTCTTTCGAAGTTCATGTAACTATGCCTGCGGTAGCAACGACGCTTACTCTTGCTTGCCAAGGCAGCGGGCGGTTATTGATGCGGCCTTTAGCAGGAGAGTTATGAAGTCAATCAGTATCCGCCGTTCGATCGCTACGGCAAGGCCTGGCTGGCATTGGGCGTAATTGGCCTGAATACATACCATGCAACGCATGGAGACAAAAATCGTGACAGCTAAGGTGCAAAGACCTATCGTATGTATGCAGGTCGAAAAGGTTATGTCTTCGAAAAAAGTCTAGGTTGAGCTTCTGCCTGGCCACAGTCTTCAATTCTTTGTTATCAGCGTCTTGGCAAGAGATAATGGGCCACGTCAAGGAGTCGTACTGGGGCACACTTTCTCTTTGAGCCCCATCAAGATATAGCTCTACTCCGTCTTCTCTCACCATACAAACTAAACGCCGAGGGAGACACTCGAAAGTCACCGGTATTCAACGCTGTTCCACAGATAATGGCCAGCCTGTCGATCTCATCAAAGTTCGCATGATAAGTGGTACAGCTTCACCGAAACCGAACCCAGGAGTTCATGAAAGGCCGCAATTAGGGTAGCACATCCTAGCTATAGAATGTATTCTAGCCATTGGCATGATGATGAGAGATGCTACGATGTAGATGATTAATCTCGGAAAAATGCAGTGGGTAATGCACCAGAGAGGATATTTAATGCGACATTCCGTTAGATTCGCCCTACTTGGCGTGCAGAGCTCTAAGCCTCAATTGGGCTTCACCTACAGGTTGACCGTTAATGAGTATAGACCCATCCGTGTGAATGGAGCAAGATTGGCTGAACATTACTTCAAGGAGGCCTCAGCGGGTAGCGATATAGATGTGATGTTGCATGCTCATACATGTCTGTGTCAAGAGCGCCCTATGAAACAGATAGTCCACCACGCCGCTAAGACCTCTTATACGTTATATTCATTGAATGGGGCCTATTTGATCTCAGTGTTCAATATCACGATGATCTACCGGCAACGGTACTTTGCACAACCACACGGCTTCTAGACCATTTGAATCAACTCCTTGGAATAGACAGTTACGCAGGCTAACTTAAGTCTCAGACCCTGACACTGCCACCATATAGAAGAAGTTCAGCTCAGACACTCTGTGGCCTGTCGTATCACCAGATTCATGTATGCTGTTTCATCGGTGCGCTTGACTACCCACACATAACTAGAGACTTCGGATGCAGACCTCTTGCTGAAATGTAGCCACAGAACATAGCAAATGCATGGACTGAGGACAAGCTTGCCAAGGATTCAGCCATCCCTGTACTACGCCTATCGAGCGGCTGAGGTTCTAACTTTAAGTGTTGTACAGGGCGCCCTAAGCCTTTGGACACCCTTGCCCCAAAAGTGCATTCTGTCCTAACATACGCGCCTCCTGTCCGACGAAGTGCGACAATGGATGGAAAAGTCTGGCAAAGTCTGGTATCTACTAGATGTCGTTTCTTGGCATTCCAAATATATAAATGATCCCTCCGTCCTGCACCAAGCACTCTCCTTCCCAATCCAACTCATTCATTCATTCAATCATTCAATTCGTCTAGTAGTCTGCGGCCGGTTCGCAATTCTGCTATCTTAAACTTCCCCAACAGTATATATACACAAGTCTATCGTTTTACCACTCATTTCATTTCTGTGCTAGTCACATATCCAACCCCCAGTATCTCAACATGAAGTTCACTGTCATCTCCCTCCTCGCCGTCACCTTGCTCTCCGTGGGTCCTGCAGGCGCGATTCCCGTCGACAGCATGCAAGACCCTACCACTACCGAGGCGATGTATCGGACCGACGATGCCATGCCGGCAGCTGCCGGTGCAACCCTGATGTCCCACAACCTGGGTCATAACTGTACCGATGGCCATGCCCATGGACATGGAGAAAACGAAGATGTCGATCCAGCCACCGCCACTACCGCTCCAGGCAGTGACGATGAGGTGACAGCGTGGGTCAAGAGATCTCCGCCCGCAGGTTCGGGTGGTACTTCAGCAAGGGTCTCTTCCCCCGGTAATCAGTTCAGTTCCATGTCACCCCAACCGGGTACCGACCACGGGGACGCTGATGACGATCTAACTTGGATCCATGGCGTAAGTGTCCACTCTGCAGAATAGTAGCCGGTCGTGAAACTAAGCAACAAATGAAAGACCTGTACTAAGCGAGATCGCAACGGCGTTTGCCATGTCACCTTGCCAGGTGAGAACAAGGAACGCGAATTCATCTGTTCTCCGTTTCACCCGGTAAGATATCTCTCGTGGTTTGATATCATATCATGTGTGCTGATAATAGCAGTGTGAACATCTTGGTTCTTGTGTTGTTTTGGCGACGGGGCCGGAGCGGAGGAGGGCAAGCTGCAGTTAAAAGAGGTTTAGGGAAAGGACACATGAATATGGTGACCTCTGCGACTGTACATCAGGTTGGATACCTTATCAGGTGGAGGACAGGTGTAAGATATATGGATTGGGACTGGGAAATCTGTCAAAGTCACTGGTTCTTAGTTTCTTCCCTATACAGCCCTTCAATACATATACTTTCCGGACCTCCCAACCATTGTTTGGTGCAGTTTCCAGCGCATGGCTGCTGTCTGTGTAGACAAGAACCAATGAATGCTACATGGTAAAAGAATATAAGGTACGGCGAGCCTTTCGGTGTCGTGAGTATGGGTAAGAATTATGGCATCGTAAGTACTCTTCGACCAGCTCTTCAAATAGCCAAGACATGGCATTGACTAAGTCAACTTACTGCCCGAGCGCTGTTGCTCATTGGAGTTGCTCCTCCAGTGAGCTATGGTTGCTGTAGGGTTATTCAGCGTGGATACGCCGCCTACATGGGCCTTGGCACCACCATCCATGGTTCTGGTCTTGAAGGATGGCACCCGAACAGTGGATAGGGCAACACATAACCAAACTGAATTGTGGTCTTGACGTCAGAAGCATTGGATTGAGTCCACAGAACACGAGCAATGGACGAGGGATGAACCTTAACTTGAACAACAAACGTTGGCCGTCGTCAGTAGAAGGCCTCTGCCGCTAATATTACTATCTTAGTATATTGAACGATACGGTGGTTCGTCTAGCGTTCTGGAAATATGACTAATAGTGCGTATGCCCGTAAATTTATATAAATCTATGTTTCTCCTCGGACATCGTCCATCAACGACGGCGATCGATATCCTGACATCCTCACCCCAACACTGCGTCCCTTTTCACCCACCTCTCCTACCTTCGCTCAAATGCTCAATTCTAGAAGGTTTTTTTTGCTTTCATAACCATGTCCTTCCCATGTCTCCCGCCGAGAGTCCCGTCACCCAGTTGACACACCAGGAACTTGACCAGACCCAAAAATACGTCATCGCAAGCTTTGCAGCCATAGTCTGGTACAACTCGATTGAGCTAATAGCACTGTGTCTAACGACGTTCAAGCGATACAGGGGCTGGTACTTCTGGAGCTTGTTCATCGCGTCCTGTAGCCTCATTCCGCATGGCCTAGGCTTCATCTTTTTTATTTATCCCCTTGGAGTCAGCGCTTATATTTCCGTCACATTGATTATTGTCAGCTGGGTCTGTATGGTAACAGGACATTCGCTTATCCTCTGGTCGCGTCTACATCTGGTCGTGCAGGCACGCAAGCTTCTCCGGTTCCTTCTGGTGATGATTCTGGTCGATGCCATTGCATTTCACACCCCTACCATTGTTCTCTTGTATGGGGCACTCGAGCCTAACCGAGATCGGTTTGCGAATGGATACAAAGCAATGGAACATATCCAGCTCATTGGCTTCGCTGTGCAAGAATGCGTCATCTCCTCCATATACATATGGGAAACATCGAAATTACTACGGCTGCGACCAGATCGCCTGCACTATACAATTCTCACGCAACTTTTGGGCATCAATATCATCATTTTAATCCTCGACGTGGCCGTGGTAGGGATTGAGTATGCAAATTTCTACGCTCTGCAGGTGATGTTTAAACCGGTTGCATACAGCATCAAGTTCAAATTGGAATATGCCATCCTGGGGAAATTGATCCAAATCGCGAGGGTATCCTTATCGAGCGATGAGCCGTTATCCTCCAATTCACAAGGGGCCGATCTCTCTTCCTCTACCCAGGTCAGCTCACAGAGACAGAGGAATGTTGCTCCTGATCATGAGATTCCTGTTCTCCGTTCGTGCTCGTTCTGTGCCTTCTGTACGGGCTTTCGGAAGCATGGGCGGCATCGGTCGCGTGTGTGATAGAGTCGAAATTTGTGTTATATGTTAGCTTAGCAACAAGGAGTGATACCAAGTCATTGGAAGGCACATTAGCATGCTGCCTTCTTTGAACGTTTCTTCCACCAAGAGTCCATCAATCCAGATGAGTCATTTGGGAGCTTTTCTCCATTAATATGGTTCCGCTTCAGTTGTGCTCGAAGACGATTGCCCTAGACGACATAAAGAGTGTCAGAAGAAGGCCTTAGGATGCACAGGCCAGAGCTATTGTCCTATAATCCGGTCGTAGAAGAAAGTAATTCTTCAGTGACCAATCGGCCACACCAGCGATAGTCATGTCCGAGATAGTCGTTCCAGTGCAAGGGTAGACAGAATGAAGGCGTCGTCAGGAGGAAAGGTTGAACTTTCATCAGGGATACGAACCTGCGCCCTTTCCCATGTGTGTTCTTGTTTTTTTTTTTTGCGAGTATTCCTTGTCCGCTATTTGCTTCACATCCCTTGCGCTTGCCTGGGCACCCCCGAGCCGAGCCGATCTTATGGAGATCTCGGAATGCTCTCCCGAACCAAGTACCCGGGGGCGTCTTTTATACACGGCCGATGCCTTGTCGGGCTTAGGCAATGACTGTTCCCGATGGCTACCTGCCTGGGCAAACAGTCTGACAATGGCTATGGTGACACTATGCAAAATTGCTATCTCAACGCCCCCGTGAGTTCGAGAGAGCTTTTGTAAATATCGTATCCGTGGACACTCGAACGCAATTCAAGGAAATGGTCCATTCCGAATGTACGATAATAGCTCTGATGAATACTTGTAGACGCCGGACGGTCTGAGAAGAGTGCAACGACACGTAGAAGAGACGACAAGGCTGGAGAGCCCGGAACTTGGAATAAGCTTGTGGACAGTCCGCCTAAATCTCCAGCGACGAGCAGACCTGGGGAGCCGCTCAGAGTTATAGCGACCGGCAGCTGGAGCCCCAGGAAACGCTTGGCTTTACTCAGAATAGGCAAGGTAATCATTCTTTTCAGTCAGGGTTCTCGGGAACCCCGACGCGCGACAATCGAATGAACCATAGCCAAAAGCTGTATTGCGACCATAGGCCATGTACCCAGATGACGAATCCAGGGACTCTCATCTTTCTTGCCGTATTCGGATCCACTGGTCTGTGCACACATTCCATATTCGCGTCTATAGCGTCTCAAGGGATCCGCAGCGCTCGGGACCTGAACCCGATCCTCGGATTCGGGATTCCATAATCGCGGATACCAACTGCATGTAAGCCATAGCTAGGAGTCTTGATCTGGAGAGGTTTGAGTTTGGGCAATAGCTTGGATGTCCGACGTGATAGCCTAGATCCTTGGCGTAGTCCAGACGGCATCCCCGACGCGGTTTATGTGCTTAGGGGAGGTGTTCATGAAGATCCGGGGGCCCGATGCCTCCCGAGAAGCGATCCACCTGTCCAGAAATGGTCAATATCTGGAGAAGGGGAGTCGCTTGACACTCCGCAGAAGAGATGATCGACCTTTAGTAAGGGGTCCTGCCTATCCTCACTGACAACTTTACATATAAAGAGGGGTGGGGATGGCGATGGGACACACACATGCCACCACGCAGGGGCTACTATCGAATCATTCCACCCCTGTTGCGACAAACTCGATCCTCCCTCGAAAAGGCTATTCCCAAGCAATCTCAACAGCCGGGACCCGGTGAGCGATGTCCCCGATATCCCTTTTCCAGGACGCCGTAGGGCGTTCTCGAACTAGAGAGATCACCGACTCAGGTAAGCATTGTCATCATCGAAAGCCTGGCAAACACTGACGGCTGCAAAGAAGACGAACAGATATCCGATGAAAACCCTATCACTGTGACCTGGGATGGAGAACATGACTCGGCAAATCCGTACAACTGGTCCCTTGCACAGAAATGGACATTGACCCTGCTCGCCGTATTTACCACATATATCACAATGATGAATGGCACGATTATCACAACAGCACACGCTGCAATTACTGAGGAATTTCACGTCTCAGAGCACGCCTTTCCCCACTCGTACTGGCCTGTGACATCGTGGGCGCTGGGAGGATGTTTTTCCTCGCTGTTTATTCTTCCCTTGATGGAGGATCATGGCGTCCGACCGATATTCCTGTCAGCATATGTAGTATTTATGTGCTTTCTCGTCCCCCAGGCCGTGGCACAGAAATTCGCAACCCTCATCGTCACCCGCTTCTTTGCTGGCAGCAGTGTCGCGGTGCTGGCTAATACATCTGCCTCGGTTATTGGAAATATCTGGGAAACGGAAAGGTCCCGGTCCATCCCCGTGAGTCTGTACATCTTCTCCTACCTCGCAGGTAGCAGTACGGGCCCCGTTCTTGGCGCCACGATCTTTGAAGGATTGACATGGAGGTGGATTGGCTACCTCCAGCTGATTTGGTTTGGTGCGCTACTTCCGGTGTATTACTTCCTGTTTCAAGAGTCGCGCGGTGCCGTTATACTCGCTCGTCGTGCCCAAGCATTGCGAAAACAGGGAAAGCCAGCGTTCACTTTGGTGGAGATGGAGGGGCAGACGGGTTCGGTGCTCAGTCGCTTCGTTCAAAGTTCTACAAGACCCCTAGTGCTGGTATGTACAGAGTCGGTGGTCCTGGTTTCCACACTATGGTCCGCGTTTACTGTGGGCACACTGTTCCTGTTCACGCAGTCGGCGGAGCAGGTGTTTGTGGAGCTGTACGGCTGGACCAACACCCAGGCGGGATATGTCCAAGCGGCCATTGTGATCGGGGAGATTTTAGGCTGGCTAGCCAACCTATTCTCTGCCAAGCTCTATTTTTGTTCTGCCTCGCGCAACACTGAATGCCCTGGAGTTCCTATTCCGGAGGCCAGATTGTATCTGGCGGTGATTGGCGGCGTCCTTGGAATTTCGGGTGGCATGTTTACTTATGCCTGGACCTCCTTCGCCCATATCCCCTGGATAGCCCCAGCGATTGGCCTGGCGATGGTGGGCGCCGGCAGTGTGATAGTCGTGGCAGGGGTTTCGGATTATGTGGTCGACTCGTACAGCAAGTATGCGGGCAGTGCGATGGGTGCTGTCGCCACAGGGGAGAACCTGTTCTCGGCTTTGCTTCCCCTCGCGACTATGAGTATGTACACCAATCTGGGATTTCAATGGGCGAGTACTACTTTAGCCTTCATATCCCTCGTACTCTCCCTGGCGCCAACTTTGATGTTCATCTGGGGGAAGCAAATCCGTGCGCGAAGTCCGCTTATCATAGAAGCAACGCTGAGCTCTGAGCGCAAGGACGCTGTTGCTGTGTAGCGAGCCACTCTACCCGTTAGAGCAGTACGTGCTATGAATCATTAGACTTAGAAACGATAGATAGACGTCGGAAGCCTTATAGAAAACGAAATAGATGAACTATTTCCATGGTTGCCAAAATATGATACAGCGTACATGCTGGCCAAAATTATGTATGAAATCTTCGTAGCCTAGGGCTGTAGGCAGCCAAGGCTCGCATCCCATTACGGTGGACTAATCTACTTGTGGGAAGAAGAAGAGTCTTTCAAGTTCTAAACGAGACCACAAGACACGGGCCCAATATCAAGTAGTCTATGTTGCTTAGACTAACTGGCTTCAGGGGTCTGCAGACGATAAACACTAGGGACCTTGCAATCAACTGGGGCTTCAACTAAATGATAGGGCTGGTGAGGTCCATCCTGCAGCAGGAGCACCCTGAAGCGACGAGACCAGGGCTGCTCAAGTAGTCAACCCATCCGCGTCTGCACGCCCTAGGTATTAGAATAAGCTACAAAACGTCAGGATATCCCAACGTCGTTTGTATTGAGGGTATCAGAGATGAATTCCATCCGTCTTGGCGAGAGGCGAAGGTTGTATATTAATCGGAGTAACAGTACAAATATAAGGCGCCAGAGAAAATGGTGAGTTTCCCTGGGAAAACAATGGAGACACTGCAATCACGCTCAGCAATCTCTTTTATTATCCTATTGCTTGAATGACTGGAACTCCCTTGTACAATTCACCCAAACGGATATGCGATAGCGCCGCCGTCCATCCAGTCCGGGCCTACGTTCAAGACGAAGGGCATTTCAGAGCCGCCGATCTGATCCACAATAGAGAGGAATTCATAGGATGAGATTCCGATCACATTGTCGAGGGGATCGACGCTGGCCGTCAGAGACTGATTTACGGATGGTGACTGGGCCGATGACTCTGTGAAGGTTGGAGGCTCTGTCGCGGGCGTTTGTCCCCGGCATTCTTGACTAGGATTTTCCTCTGGTCCAGCCTCCACAAGTCCCCGACCAGACAAAGTGAGAACTTGCAGGCCTTCCTGCTGTACTCGTTTGGCGAACTCTTGGAATAGCCCCTCGATGCAGCGCAACTCATCCTTTCGAACCTCTGCCACCTTATTCCCACACAGAATCATCTCATCGAGGATTGAATGTGCAGACTTACTATACGTGTCATCGTTGGTGTCGGGTGGGTAGAGCGTGTTCGCCATGGTCAGATGTAGAGCAGCTGCGTAGGTAAACTCGAGATCGAATGGAAGGAAAGTTTCTGGCATCGTGTAAGTCGAATAGCGTCACCCCCGGTAAGGGGTCTAGATCATTTAACGTACCGAGGTGACCATTTTCGTCCGACAATATCTGAAGCGTCTTTTCGGCAGACTTGATCCCAATGGATATCAAGGATTTGGGGAGGGCTAGAAACTTTTGCCAGTCTTCCTCTGCACGCCCTAACTTCTCTAGCCGTTCCTTCAGAACGGACAAGAGCAGAGGCCTGGTGGCGACGATCACGCACTGGGAGAAGATTGATTAGCATGTTTGGGTAGTGTTCGAACGCTTATGATGTGACACCATTCAAGTACCTCATGGTATAGTAAGATTATATGACGCATCTCCTGAGGCACGTTATCCATGGAGCTCTGGAAGCTAATCTGCATCATCTTCTCGATCTCCTCAGCATGTTTAGCCATGGCGTGCAAAATGTTTCTCGTAATCTCTAGAAACCTTCCGAGCTGGGTCTTCTCCGTCTTATAGATGGCTATACGCAGGCACGTTAGAGACAAAACGGATTCTAAACCGATGTAGGTCGGAGCTTACTGCTTAAAATAAAGGACAGCATTTGCGACAGCCTGACTTGTAGGCTAAATGTGATGTCATGGAAATCCATGCTCGGGGTGTTGATCAGAGTGCTGATATCGCTGTCCTTGGTCGTCATCGGGAGTCCCAGCGACGAGGAGACATGTCTGTCCATGATGTACAAGGTCCACCACAGGTTTCGGCATCGGGCTACCGTGGCAGTACCTAATTCTGTTTCCGGAAGCTGGGTGTGTAAACCTTCCATGTGTGCTATGCGTACCGCATGACCGACCTACAAAGCACAGCGCGTGTGTTAGCGAGGAGCATCTAGCTGATTACCCATGCTTACGTATACGTGAGCCGCCTCTCTGTGGTCTATTGCATACAGATATAACCCGGCCAGGGCCAAGGCTTCGATGGCCAACAGACTATCTTTTCCTGTGGAGGTATGATTGGGCATGATGGACATCGCACGCGCAAAGAACTTGGCGCCAGGTGGGCTGGAGTGGCTTCGAGGCCGCGACACGAACGCATTTCCAAGTGCAAGGACCAGCAGAAATTGTAGGAACCAGAAACGAGGTTTGCTGGCCTTTTCAACCGCATCGCTCGCGTAGAATTCATGCATCTGAGAAACAAAGGTATTTTCGTCAAAGAATCGGTACATCTGGCCCAGGTGGAACTTGACAATATTGAACAGGTATAAGGCATAATCAGCCGACGGCAAACCACTGGTATCAAACGGTTCGGTGGCCGTGGCGCGGTCCCACGCGAACGGATAGATATCTCCATCCAGATAGAACTTCGGAATATTGTGTGTTGAGTTCAGGTCGAGTTTCTCGGTCATCATGACTATCAGTCGAGCTGTGAGCGACCAAGCCGAGGTCGGGGCCAGCCAAACTGTTCCCTGTGTCAGCCTGAGCTATACGATCAATCCTGGATGGCGGACGAACTCCAGTTTCGCTGTTCCATATGTGGATCTTTAATGACCGTTGAGGGTAAGGTGAAGGGACTCGTCCAGATGTTGCATGTAAATTCGCTCCCCTGTGATGCCGCTGATCCCTGGGATTGGGGGGCTACAATTTCTGCGGCGACCTGGTCATCATGGACCGTGGTCTCCTCGTGGGCCCCATCCCCAACCTTGAACGCTGAATCCCACGAGCGTTTGACTCCTGAAGCACGTTGCCAGTTGTAGGCTTGCTTCTGCAACTCACGAAGATACCTAGTCCATCGTCCCGTTACGTCTTGGCCACTCGACGGGGGCTTTGCAAATGACACACCTCTCTGACACGAGCACTTTGCTATTTGCTTCTGAAAACTGACAAGTCAGTGATCGTCGGATACAGTTGGCGCAGGGTTCATCGCCAGAGCATTTTACCTTGCTCTGGCGGCAGGCGATACACCTAAGCACACTTCTCAGTAACACGGCATCCTTTCCAATATCCGGGGACAGGACTGCCTTACGCAATTGCAGTTCGTCTCGGCTTATGGCTCTGTTCTTGCATGCCTGCTATCCAGATACCGGGGGGGGGAACTGGCAGACCAGGAGCTCTGGGGTCGCCGGCACAACACCGTCACTCAGTTCACACATATTTTGGGGTATTATTATCAGAGTAAAAGCACACCCCGCACGACGGGAACACTTTTCCCTTTTCAGCAGCCCCACGTGAATGGTCAATTCGCGTCGGCGCCACCAAAAAAACATGGAATTGGCTTCCATCATTCGTGCGTTACCAGTTTCCCTTCCAGGGCAACGCTGCCTCACGTGCACGTGTGCCTCTCTTAACCCTTGTGGAGAACCAACCGTTACGCAGTATACAAACTTCAGAAGGGCAACTGAATAACCGTATGTGATAGATACAGAAAATAGTGCAATATTCCGGTAGTACTAGATGATCTCCAGTGAGCCACTGTGTAAATAACTAGTTAATGCAAGTTCTCTGAAGGGAAAGAAAAGAGAAACGTTATAGAGTTCTCTCCACATAAACTATATAAATATTTCCTACGCAATAGGTCAGCACATCAATCGACAAGAAGGCGGACCAACTTCCAGCCAGCTTCTAGAAATTTCGATAGCGTGCGATGTCAGGGTAACGATAGATCTGCTCTGTATATGAGAGGACATTCTAGACCGTCTACAAGCATTAAGATAGTTGAGAACACGCTCAGGGTTTGGGCAAACAAGGGAACAAGTGCGTTGGCAGGGAGTGGGTCCCTTTCGGAAGGCCTTCCGGTCCCTGACTCGGACGCGCCGACCACGTCCGCAGTTCAGTCGCCAGCGTCCACTGTGTCCTGATGTTTGTGAACTGATTTGACTGGGAATCAAAGTAAATGAAGTACGGTAGACTCGACCTACTAGGCCAGTGCCTTCTGTAGACCGTAGCTAGCGATGTGTAGCGCAATAAACGCCGAAGGATCTTCTCTTTCTAAACCTCGGGATCGTCAGCGAGATATTTAATCCACCCGAACTAGATTGCGATGTGCGGCGAAGTACGGAGTATTTTTGTTGGAAGCATTGAACATTTCTCATTCCTCGCCGGCCTCCAACATTTTCACAACATCGCTAATTCCATCGTTGCTACGTGCGGTTGACACTTGGGCCACAAATCTCGACTGTGATCAACGATTAACATAATGGTCGCAAATACATCGAACGGCCACCCTGCGCTGGCGCACTGTCTACGATTTGCCGCGACGACCGGTACGTGCCGCATCTCCTCCGATTCCCCCTATTGTGTGAAAACGTTCTGGGTTTCCTACATGTCCTAAAAATAATGCGAATAACCTCTACCAACTCCCAGTCGGCCGGGATAAGCTGCTACGGACAGCACAATACTTCTCACGGTTCTATATCTGGCACCTATACCGCAGAAACCACCAAAAGTCCGCAATCGATGCCTACATTGTTCTCCGGAGGCAGCTTGGGACCACGCGCAAGATCTTACGGCTTGGCAACTTCCTACAGAACCTCCAGACCCTCGCCCGTGTCATGAGCGACAAGAACCACAGTGAACCGGTGCTAAAATTCTTGGCAATTGGGGGTCAACTCGGCTTTGGTGGATATCTGGTTTTCGACAATATCACTGCTCTCAAGGATATCGGGATCTACAAGTTGCCATCGTCGGAGCGCCTAGATGTCCTAGCGGATAAATTCTGGGCTGCGGGTTTGGTTTGTAGCATCATGACATGCATCTATACCTTACTGCACTCGCAGACTCAGCAGAGAACGAAGCCCGAGGAGGGCGAGCGAGAATCCAATAATAAGATGCGTGCCAAGTACGTTGGATCTTCACATCTGTCGCATGCAGTTCAGAGTGCTAATTGGTTTGATTACAGGGAGCGATCCGCTGCTTGGATTCAGCTCATCTCGGACCTATGCGACTTGACGGTTCCGGGGAAGAGTTTGGGTGTTAATGCACTCGACGATGGCATGGTTGGCATGGCCGGTACCGTGAGTAGTTTAATAGGTGTCTGGAACCAATGGAAGACCACTGCGTAGATAGAAGTCTATTCTCAATGCTGTACATGTGGACTACCCGTATGTCCCGAGGCAGGCGGTATTGAAGTAAAAAGATCTAGGACTCCATAGACAGTGTGTAAGATAGAAATGTGGCAGCTCAGTCATCAGCACAAGTCTTTTCCCAGAAAAGTCAAGTTCTTCTCGTAGATACAGAGCCTTAGCCTATTTGGATGATGGAAATACACGTATTGGTATGGCCATTGGGTGCATATTCGTATGTCGCTCAAGACGGAGGAAGACACTGTTAGAGATATCTCATTCACACAAAGACCCTAGACCTTGAAGCCGAATGATGTAAGCTACAGAAGTTTAATAAATGAATATGTGCCATCATTGTTGAGGTAAACACACGACAGCGCTATGAAACCATGAGAAGGCACGGCACAGCGATATGTCCCTACCATACCGCGAAAGACATCAATAGATGTACGGTGTCAGCAAGCATCCGCGTCTTGGCCCAGCCAGAGAACACACTACTTTTGACTAACATCCAGACATGGTGATAGCTAGGATACGTCGACAGAATGCCATCGGAGCCGTTACCGACGAGGCGTCGGCTGGCACACGGTGGCTCCGGAAAAGAGCTCGCCAGTAAGATCGGCAGATTTGGCCGACGGTCTCCTATACAGAAAACAGCTCATAGAACATAATAGCCTCACCGGGAAAGCCGAAGCTGGCTAGAACTTCAGTACTGCCGCCGACAACATTTGCGGGGTAGATCCTATTAGCATCAATGGTTATATATACCTGACTTCTCTCGCGCAGGACATCACAATTATCCAGAGATTCAAGATTGAACAAACATTCAACTCATAGAGTTCCGAGTCCAGCAGCATTCCGTGTATTCTCCTCGATCACACAATGGCTCCAGTAGCAGTCGATGTCTCTACGACACCACCCAGAGTGGTTGGACCAGCAACAAAAAAGGCAACACGTCCGACCAACCAGCTGCCTCAATCTATGATTGATGAAGCACGGAAGGTCAAAAAGGAGGCATTTGACTCAAAGGTTCACCTGAACTACGAACCCCCCACAAGAATTTATACCATGAAGGAGATCGGACTTGAGGGTCATGGGATCTCACCGAATGCCGCATCGGAGCCCTTTTCACTCTTTACTGAGGAGGCTATCAGGCAGATGAGAGCGGAGATCTTCAGTGAAGAGGCCCTCAACAGCTGCCAGTACACTTCAACCTTTATCAAGAACATGGTTCGAGGCATGGGTCCTGCGTACGTACAATCAGCTTTACCATTTGCAGCCACATTGCTAATCACTGTGCGTTTTCACAGGCTAGCTCCATTTATATATGCTGCGTGGAATAGTCCAGAGGTTCTAGCGAAAGTCTCCGCAGTTGCCGGTGTGGATCTCATTCCTTCGATTGATTTCGAGATCGGCAATGTCAACATCTCTTTTGGTGATGGTACTACGGCTACGTGGGATAGGGGGCTGGATGGCGATGACGGAACATCTGCTGTGGCCTGGCATTATGATAGCTTTCCATTCGTGTGTGTAACGATGCTATCGGACTGCACTGGCATGGTTGGCGGAGAGACTGCGCTTCGGAGACCCGATGGCCACATCATGAAGGTCCGGGGTCCAGCAATGGTATGTCCCTCACGTCTATCCAAGACAAGTCAGGATTACGTATTGACTGTTACAACAGGGAACCTCTGTAGTGCTACAAGGGCGATACATTGAGCATCAAGCGCTCAAAGCCCTCGGCGGCCGTGAGCGGATTAGTATGGTCACTTCCTTCCGACCACGATCACCCATGGTCAAAGATGAGACTGTGCTTACTGGTGTACGGGGGATCAGTGAGCCGAATGCCCTGTACAGTCAGTATACTGACTACAGGCTGGAACTCCTCGAGGAGCGCCTTAGAATTATGCTGAAGGAGGAGCGACGCCGCCAGGCAGCAAATCGCCCATTTGATATCCCTAAGATCAGGAGGTTTTTGGCTGAGCAGAAGGATTTCTTGGATTCGATGCTCGAGGAGATCATTGAGGTGGATGATTAGGAAGTGCCTGAGGTCATGACAGGGCCAAAATCGATAGATAATGCAGCCTGTTTTGTATTTTACAGCAGACAAATAGACAGGCTATACAGAAAATCAATTATATCCACAGATCTCTTGTGTCCACAGCGCGGGATAAGATGCATTCATTCCGTTTTCTCTGAGTGTTACACCGGCCTCCTACGAAATCAAGTGCTAAGGATATATTGTCGCCAGCTTGCGTTCGTCTTTGCCTCGACTTCGTATTCGCCTTTCTTCATACGGTGCTTTCCTATACCTTGGTTCACGCGAGCAAAGTAACTTCCTATGAGAGAAAAAGAGAAGAACCGAACGGGATCAGCTCAAACGGCATAGTTTACATCTCTCCTTATACTCTTGAAACTGTGCAAGATGAGTTACGGAAACCTTCCAGGTTAAGTCATTGTTCCCTGTAAAAAGTGATGAAGCCAGGAATAAATAAGCACTGCAAACTTGCAATTGTTTCACAGTACACTACTTCATTTGCAGACTTGACGGAGGTACTTGCCTCCTGAAAGGACTGTTCTCACAATATGCAACCTTGTTGGTTGCCGCTTAGACCAGACGTCGACGATTGTAAATCACACCTACGTGCAGACGATTATATGGGCCAAGGAACTCAACAGAAGAGGTTCATGGAGTGATTCGATGTTATTTGTGTTCCTCTCCTAAAATACAGCGCTAATATAGATAAGGTCATAATTTGAGCGAAACCTCGGGCCGAATCAATTCATCACAGTTTTGCCGGTACCTTCTGCATGGCTTCCACAACCTCATGAACCCCCCTTTCTCCTGAGCAGAGCGCTCCCTCCATGTATCCTTTCCATTCGGTGCTATATTCCGTCCCGACGAAATGAAGATTGCCGACTGGCTTCCCATACACGGACGCATACTTGGTGAGGTGCCCAAGCGCAGTGACAGGAGCTAAGGCGCCTCTGCTAAATTCCTCATGCTTCCAGACCTGATCGAAGATCTCAATTGGTCGGAAGGCCTCCGAGTTGGCATCAGCTTTGAAGACCTTTGCTATCTGCTTTAGGACCACTGCGCGACGCTCATGGGGGTACAGCTTGCCCCAGTCACGCCCAGGCTGCCCATTGATAAAGCATGTCAAGGAGTAGTGGTTTCTTTCGTCAACGCTGGTGTCTCTGGCCAATATAACGGGACCTGTGTAGCTCGCAAAATACCCGTTGAATCCTTTACCACGCCACCATGGTTGATCGTAACAAACAATAGCCTTGTTATAGTCACCGAGCACAGTCCCATCGGTAACCTCTTGAATAGGCTTAGGTAATGCAGGGGTAATATTGAGTTCCCTGTACATAGTACTGGGAATTGACAATATACATTTTCTGGCATTAAACGTCCTGCCATCGCGAGTGACGACGCTTACATGTGCGCCGTGCTGGTTGATAGAAGCAACCGGTGATCCCAAATGAATATTGTCCGCCCCAATCAAGCGAGCAATCCCCTCGGCAATTGACTGTGCGCCTGCAACTTTCGTTAGTACCAAGATCACTGCGTTGGACTACCAGGGTGGGGCTGTACCGTCTTTAAATCTCATGTATTGACCGCCGGTAGAATCATCCGCTCTGATAGCTAGAAGACCCTTATTGCGACGGCAGTAGTCGATAAACCAGCCCGCTGATTCTTCTGTTGACTCTAAGCCGTGCATGACTCGTGCCCACAGATTCACCATGCTGGCAACCTTCGGTAGGGCACCGAGATTACGGACATACTGATCCAAGCTGACATTGTCGTCCTGTGCGCTTGGCAAGCCAGGTTTTAAAGATTCCGCTTGGATGTGATCGCGGATATATGCTAAGTTCTTTTTCTCCTCCTCAGACCACTGTATCCATTGATTAGCGCAGAGCCATTTATTGAGATTGGCGGGACCGGGGATCCATCGTGACTCACATCGGGCGTAACGCCAAAAGGAAACTCCAGTCGACTGTCTGGGCTTTCCTGCATGACGGCTTTCCCTTCCAACCGCTGTGTCACCACCTCCAGACCAAACCTTTCGACATAGCTCCAAACGCGAGGCTGGAGGCTGTTGTTGATCCATGCTCCGCCCAGCTCAGCGTACCCACGGCCAGAAGCGAGTGGCACACTCCAGATCTTTCCACCAACGCGATCCCTGGCTTCAACAACAGCAACCGAGAGACCAGCCTTTTGAGCGGAGTAGGCTGCCTGAAGGCCGCTGAATCCAGCTCCAATCACAATGGCGTCCAACATGAAGGCGAAAAGTACGTATCAGGGGTTCGCACAAAAGGTAGAAAATTTCAGACGAACCCCCAGCGAAGGGGGTACCGGGAGATATTTAATTCGTACGACGTAGTATTCCCTCTCACTTGCCTTTCGGCTTGGGTAGTTCAAGTATGGCACGCATCGAGGTGGGTCGCGAGCCTCGGGTGCTCATCCGATGCTTTAACGCTCGGCTGATCCGAGCCCGACTTGATTTACCCGATCCAGTTAGAAAAATGAGAGCATCGTCCACAATGAAGTCAGTCTTCTCCAGGTATGATCATGGAATGGGACATCTGTTCTTGGAGGTGCTTTCTCGCCATACGAAAAACACTCTCTCACCCCTTCACTGCAGCCCACAGCCTACACCAACCCGGGGTATTACCAAATATCAATTGCTGGCCCTGAAAATCTTTGGCTATAGAGGCTCAGCGGTAGTCGAGGTATTCTTGTGATACTATGGAGCATCGAAACTTGAATCGCAATAGACTAGATTATCAGAATCAAGGCAAGGACCTCGCCGGTCGTTTTCAGTTCTACCTGCCACCTCTGGTGTTGTTCAACCGACTTGGCTGATGTATAAGCTCACGAAAACCTAGACACAATGCCAGAATCGAGATTTTACTTCCAGTGTACTGAGAGTTAGATGTCAAAGTTGCGGAAGGTCCAAGCTGATGAGGCTCTCCTATGCTACAACTACGCTTATGTATGCTGATCTGAACGATCTACTGCTACGTGCCCATTGTATGGTCACAGCGTGGCGAAGCTACCGTCATTGCTTGTTTGCATTCACAAAGCTTTCGGCGACGTGGCATATGGCGCCATAGGTATATACCAAGACCATGGACTCAACGAGACGATCTCAGTGTTCAAGTAACCCTCGATAGTAACTTCGTTCTTGTTATCGCCTTATCGGCCGGATCCTGTAACGGGGATAATTATACGTGGCCCTGTCCAGGGATTAAATACAATTAGGGCTACATGGCCCAAAACCATTACGTGAGAGAAGAGCCACCCTCGACGCCCTTCTCTTTGTTCAACTTCTTCTCTCATATGATACTCAACAACCGTATGCTGGGTTTGTATTCGACGTGTTACATTGCCAACAGGGCGGCGTGCGGTCAGCCGCATCGTAGTTCGTAGGGACGCGCCGTTGCCAAAATCTATCGTCCCATTTTTCCCCGTCTTCTGATTGTTTCATCCTGGTCAATGAGCATGCCACTCCATCGGTGGCATTCAGAACTTTGGACCAAAACTACTAGGTCTTGGACAGCCTTAAATACAATCAGATCCCCTCGTTCAGTGGGATGTACCTCCTGGTGTGGGCTTCGTACTTTGCCCGCGGTAGACGCCTATTCCCGGGCTCGTCCACGGTACTCCACTGAACTGAAGTGAGCGTTCCGGTTATTACTGTTGATACTCAAAGAACCTCAACTCGGTCGGCAACTGAAGGAGATTGTCCTCGATCGAGCTCCGCTTTGCCCTTGGCGTGGTAAATCGTCTTACCAAATCCAACGAACCAAGGCTGTCGTAACCGCCGACGACCTAAAGCGACTTCAGCGAGCGATTAGGGATGTTGGCATCGAGGACTGGGAAGAGCAAGCCAGAGTGATGAATATAGTGTTCCAAGATTTCGATTTCTTCGAGCGGGTCGCAGTCTGGCACACCCCTTGAATGAATACTCACGATGTAGGCGCGGGACTCCCGGCCTTTTTTATCGGGCGCAGGCGCTTGCTACGTGGCTCATCTCTGTCGGCCAAGTGGAGAAATTAGCATTCGGGCCTTGTGGTCAAGACGCCACCGATGCGAACTTAGTATTCGGCAACTACCTGCACCGCATGGCTGCCAGTCGTGAGCCCACTGCCCTGCACAGCATCCACAATGTCGACGACGAGGGGGTGCAAGATGAGGCCTACTAAGTAGGCTTCTGTAGGTAGTCCAGGTTACGGGGAGCTTGAAGCTGTCGGAAGAGAATGATCATGGCAGACTTTCTATCCTTGATGTAGCGGGTCCTGATACCGACACTCTATGCAAACACCCACCCGACCCAGCCTGTATGCGGTCAGGATGCCAGTGCAGCCACTGTGAATGTAGACAGCGGAATATCGTTGTGAACGTTCAGGGAGTTGAGACAACTTTAGACTGCTAGTAAAAGGGGCCTGTGTGATAATCGAGAAGGGTCGATGTTGTGGAGAGCTGAACCACCGTGCCCAGCGGATCTGGATCAGTGCGAGCCAATTCGCACCGGTCATATTTTATGGCTTTCCTATTTGTTATCGGGGTCCGGTGGGTCAGGAAGCTCAACATTTCAGCTCGCTGCGCGCATACACGAGATCGAAAGTATGATCGGCAGACCTCATCGGCGCTAACGTGAGAATATCGCCACGACTAGCCATCCTTTATGCTGTTCCGCCCGACTGCATGGATTCTCCACCCCGACGAAAAGACGGTGACTCGTTGAAGGCGACTGGCCCTCCTGTATCTGGCGGTCAGTGGCAGAGTCCTGTATAAATATGCGTGCGGAAAGGTCATGCAGCCACACGATGACTATCTCGGATTTTCCTTCTCGATTTGAAAATAAATATCGACAGCTATTATGTCTTCTTTACTGTCCTACACGCTGGTTTTTGCATTGCCCATTATAGCAATGGCTATGATTGGGACCTACCGGCGATGGCTGCACCCATTGGCTTCGATACCAGGTCCATTTCTAGCTTCCGTGAGCAACTGGCATCAAGGCTGGTGCTTTATGCAAGGCGGGTCCCAGGAGTATTATCGTCGTCTGCACGAGGAATATGGTATGAGCTTCACCACATCCCAGTAAAACATCAAGGGAATGAACCACTATAGGAACGGAATGGTAACTTGGGTGGGGCAGGGCCTGTGGTTCGCTATGGACCAGACTCTGTGATGATCAACGACCCTTATTTCCTCCCTCACATCTTCCACCGTCGCGCGGAGAAGACCTCTTTCTACGCGAACAACCCCGGACTATTTGGTGTCCAGGAATATCAGGATCTGTTGAGTATTAAGCCCGGACTTGCTGCGATGGTGAGTAAAGACTGGTATGTAGATCCTCTAAGGCCGAAATTCATTCTACGCAGTTCTGCATGGCATCCATCAAGGCGTATGAGCCACAGGTAAACAGATGCCTATTGGCATTACTTGATGGATTGAAGGCAAGTGGGGCATCCACTCCCTTAGATGAATGGATAGGGTACGTGAGGGAGGCCATACGCCCTATTCTGCCACCTTCTGTAAGACTGATGGGATTACGTATAAGATGGTTCACATACGATGTCGTTGGTAGTATCCTATTTGGGGACCCAATTGGGTTCCACAAGAAAAGACAAGATATCCAAGGCTTAGTTGCTGCAACGTCGCTGGCTTTCGATACGATAGACTATCTCGCTCGTGTTCCCAAGCTTTCCTGGTTCTACCGGGAGACTTACCTTGGTCGCAAGCTCTTCCAGTTCCAAGCTGAGTACCAAAACGGGATACATGTTCTGCATACTGTATAACTGTCTTCCGAAGTCGTCCAACATCCTGAATCCGTTGCTAATCGATGGCGAAGGTACTCGAGAAGGAATACGACCGTCACCACAGAGGAACAGATGCAGTGCCCGGAAAGTCCCATACCATCCTCCACCGGTACGGAAGCCACTTGCCTTGACATAAAGTCCGAAGACCACCCCTGACAGCATGAGCAGTCTCATATCCTCCAAATACGCGAATGGCACGGCACTTACTGCACAGGACATAAAGGGAGAAGCCATGCAAACGATGTATGCGAGTATCCCCAATTCGCTATCAACTTCAATAACACGACGACAGGATGGCAGGGTCAGCAACAATTGCTTCAGCAACAAACCGACTTCTCAACAACCTCATCGAACACCCCCAGGTCCTTGCCAAGCTCCAACATGAAATCGACCAAGTCAGATTAACCCAAACATCCCGTCCCATTCCCTTTGAACAAGCGTATGCCCTTCCCTACACCCATGCCTGTATCAGAGAATCGTTTCGCTTAACTCCAACCATTCCATTATTCCCCCGCAAAGCACCAAACGGCGGACTCACATACAAGGGGATCTATATCCCAGAAGGGACGGCGGTGGCATCTAGTCCATGGATCACGATGAAAAGCACAGTGCTATACGGGGATGATGCAGCTGTGTATCGGCCGGAAAGGTGGTTAGAAGCTTCACGGGAGAGGTTGAGGGAGTGGGATCGCTATGAGTTTCACTGGGGGTACGGGAATCGATTGTGCACTGGCAAACATCTTTCTGTGATGGAAATTTACAAACTCACGTTTGAGGTCAGTTATCTATGTCATTCACTGGTGATGACTGTCTATTGGGAGAGCTTTCTAGCTAATAAGTGTCATTATCTTAGCTGATTGCGCGTTTTGACTTGTCTTTTGCAGATGACGGGTCGAAAAGGGTGCAGATGAGAGAGAGACTATAGAGATCTACGGGATTATTTGGACTATACACCCTATCACCCAACTCATATGCTGTCCTGAAAGATAGCAACATTTGACATCCGACTTACCGGTCATTAGAAGCCTCTGGGGGTGCACTGGGAGAGGAAGAAGAACATAGGCATGTCCTAGTGATCTTGGTGGTGTGTATTATGAAATATAAGAGAGCAATACACTTCTAACTTACCGCTGCTGCAGCGTGTAGCTAACCAATCAAGGTTCAAAACGGTCTAACAGATGAATAACTACAAGTTCAGTGGCAGTGTATTATGACATTGCAGGGTAAAGGTATTGAAGTCGATTTGACGCAAGAGGGGGTCGTTGTCCGGAAGCTGCAAGCGCGTGAATCCAAGAGACAGTATGATTCTCCTATATCTAACTACGGCACTCCCGTCCGCTCCCCCTTTCTGACTATAGATACATTACACCGGCGGAAGGGTGGAGGGTGGATACAAATGGCGGCTCTGGTACTTGCCAGGGAGGCTAGTACTACATGACGGACGGTAGGTTTGCCGCTTTGAATAGGGGCTGGAAAGGGCGTGTTAGTTTTGGTGTTGGCCGGTAAAGCCCACGGAGATCGGAATAGATGTATTTGGGATTCATAAAATTAACAGTTCAAAGTGTGGGGAATTTGGACTTAGTATTGATTGGATTTGGACGATGTGTTTCTCGGCAGAGACCGCAGCCGAGATCCTAACTCCCTTCCGCACATGAACGGTTTTAATTCCATGTTAAAAACGGTGATGGGGGTGATGAGTAGAATATCGACATTGTTTGAGTCAACATCTTGGTAGGCTGGGCCTGCGACCAGGCGATCAGTCAATTGCCGGCCACTGCCTAGCATCCATGCATCTGAGGTGTTGACATTGCCACAGCATGCCCAAAATAGTAGCGGCGCCTCTAATCTACTACACCTTCCTCGATGACACTCGACATGCGGCTGACATCGGTCAGAATCTCCGTCATCCTGCTAATGATCTGATCGATAACAAGAACTGGACCACGCATCAGCTACGCGATGGATGCCAAGATCGACGGTGGCAGAACTTACCATAGGCATACAATAGGCTGTATGTCTCTGCAAGCGCCGATGAAGACGTTTCGTCCCCAGTGCGATAGAGGAAAATCGTGGCCAGAAGCCGGTCACGTGAATGCTTTGCCTTGGAAAGGTCGATATGGTTCGGTCGGCATGCATGCGTGATTGACGAAGCGATGACTGAGATTTGGCGTCAATGATGTCTCGTCTACTGCAAGGCACGCTGCATTGAAGGACGGATGAACTTACCTCCCAGAAGCTGACCGATCTGCCCTGACAGAGTCTGTCTCTCTCTCGACGTGTACCGTAGCAAAGACAGTTGTGTCTCTGTAGGAGGGATACCTTGCAGTTGCAAATCCAAGGCATGGAGATCGTCCACGATGGATTGAGTGTGCTGGATCATCTTGCCATATGCGGTGTCGGGGAAGGGGGAGTTCAGTTCGATCTCGTACCGGGCTGCAACGCGAAGAGTCTCTAAATCCGCCAGCATATCCTGCATTTTGAGTCGGTCCTCGGGCGTCATATAGAAAGCAGCAACCGCCGGATTCGTGGTTCTTCTAGTCAGGGGGTCTGATTCCCAGATGCGACCTAATCGGAGCCAAATCAGCTTCAAGGTGGTCCTGAGCTTCTTCCGAGCACTAATCGGCCAAACACCTCGAGTGACAATAATACCCCAGATACAGCCGGAGAGGACTGCTGCGACTCGGTGAAGGGTGATTTTAGTGATATCCGGATTGTTACCACTTCTCTCATCGGGATCCTCGTCGGCGCTGCTTTGGGATAACGAGAACGAATAGAGCACGGAAAGGTTATAGGTCAGCATTATAAATCGACCCAACGGGCCCTGGCCTTTGAGCAGACTGATGTAGAAGGTACATGTGGCCATGATGAACCCCAAAAGTGCCAGTCCAAAGGCATTGCTGCCCGCAATCGACCAGACGAGAATGGAACAGAGTGCTCCAATGCACGTTCCCAAAAATCTAGCATATCCAGTGGTGTTTGACGCCCCGATTGTCATCGAACAAACTAACATGTACGACACCAAGCCCCATTCCCCCTTCCAGTAAAGATAGATGGGCCGTGTGAAAGAGAGGAATGAAGGCAAGGCAAAGAGTGCCGCGCCAATACCGACCTTGAAAGCGAATATAGTTTCGTCTTGTCGGAAGAAGCGCAATGCTTTCCAGACATGACGGCTAATTGTATCTCCAACTGAATGTAACCGGGATGGTCTGTCGAGGCTGGATGCTCCGTGTAACTCCGTGTGATCGACCGGAGCGACTTCGGCCAGGGAAAGTCTGGGACCTGCGCCTGATCAGTATTTATGAATATGCCAAGCCATATGACGCCTGGTTTGTGGTACTCACCAGCATTCGGATGCTCCATATTTCGACTTCTAGATACACCTCGTCGCCAGAACTTGATCCAACTCCACGATTTCTTTCTGTGGTACCCAGCGGTGGCAACTTCCAAGTCCGTGAGAATCGTCAACACCTCTCCCAATTGTTCCCCGAATTTCAGTAGCGAGTAGCTGAAATGCGCGCAGATAGCGGCCACCTCTTTGAAGCATGCTTCCTTCTCGAATGTGCCATTCGGCATGTCCTGTTTCTCTCGGTACAGCAAGCCAAATGCATCCCTCTGGGCCGCGCGGTACTCGTCAATCGCTTGGCTTAGGATGGCAGCGGAGTTGGGGCTCAGAGCAACCCTGTCGTCAAGCGATAGTCCCAATGGGATTTCCGCGCATATATTCGTTAAAGTAAGAGTTAGCGATCGCTGTCACGGGTTAGTAAGGACAGAACTTGGGAAATACAAATAGTAGTAAACCAGGGGAAAATACCACAGACGGACCCAGTCGGTCAACAAAAGAATCGAAAAGTTCCGTCACTAAGAAGCTATCCAAGACTCGCTGGTTGATAATTCGATCTAGTTGTCCTGAGACTGGTTGACCGTTGCCTGGCGCATTCGTTTCCAACATCACCAGGTCCACCGGCTGTAGTGTGGCAGCATCGGCGGCGGATATCGTGCTTTCCTGGTCGTTGCACGTAGCCGCGGACGCATTCGCAGTTCGACCATCAAGAGGATGGTCTTCGAACTTCGGTCGCTTAAGCGTCTCCAAAGCTAAAAGTGCCGAGCTGTGCAGAGCGCCCGTAGTATGCACGATGCCATGTGCCCAGTGAACCAGCTTTGCCTCATGATCGTGTACTCTCTCCCAGCCTGCTACGTACTGCTCCAACTTTGTCTCATATAGCAGCTTGTCTAGCTCCCCATGGGCCTTCTTCAGACGCGTAGCCGCACCGGTATAATCGAATCCTTGGAACTCGTGTGCTGTCCTGCGGAGGAATCCCTCGGTGATGGTAGATTGCATGATCGCCATTGACCTAGTGGCCACGGCCAGATTCGACCGGAGTTTCTTCTGTGCAGAGACCGGGAAGACCAGAAACGATACCGTCATCGTCGCACCAATCCCCATGAGGAGCATCTTCAGGACCTGCGACACCTTTGCGAGCGACACACTACCCCGCTGGATGGCTCCTTCTTTGGTGAGAACTACAATCAGTGCCAGCGATGCGAGCGAGCAGGCCACGTTGACTAGCGGGTCGCTCATCCTTTGCTTTGTCCACGCTAGAAAGCCGAACCCAAGGCCGACAAAAATGATCAAAACCAGGACATGGCCCAGTTCGATCATGCGCCGTTGGTTAAAGTATATGGTGACGTACATGCTTGTGAGCGAGATGAATGCGGCATAGATAAATGCGAGTGCGGCGCATATCAGGGCTTTATACATGCTGCCTTTCGACCGCGCGGGGTGGAAGTACACCGTGATGGTGGCGACGATATGCTTTCCTTCCTGAGGACCTAGCAATGCCGCAACCGCGGGGATGAACGTGGCCAGGGACCCGAGGAGGTATGCCAGACCACATTTGAGGACCCCGATCCCTTCCTCCGATGTCACAAATTGCCGCGTCTGCCGCCATCTGTCGGTTAGATGTTCGATTACTACTGCGACGATACCCGGCTGCCTCGGGTGGAGGCCGTCAAGGAATGGCTCTCGTTCGTCATCACCAGGGCTCGTGATGGGAAGGAGAAGGTCATTATTGGAGCCGGGGAGGGCAGAGGGACGTGAGGCCTATTTATCATGATCTGGTATCAGTGTAGGGATTCGGAGAATATATCAGCTGGAAATATGGAGTGGACTCCTCCAGTGGAGCCGCTCGGTCGCTTTCTAGGGAAGCTCAACGTTACCTCCGGACGCAGATCAGCAGAGCTGGTCAACAGGGACATCACATGCGCGAAAGTAAAGCGTCAATTGTCAAAGTCGTGTCCGATGTGCAAACCAGGACATGTATGAGGGAGAGGCGCATCTTCACGGTTGGCGCGGACAGTTTCTTTGAGATGGGCAAGTCCGGCAAGGAAAGTAAGTAGTATGACGAATGCCTGAATCTGCAGGACGGAAAGCGCGACAGCTGACTCAGCCACGGTCGGAGTCACCTGACCGGTGTGGACGACGATCGCCAGAGATAAGATCATTATCTCATGCTGACGAGCAGCTTAGCAAATCGAGACACCAGTCGCAGATGTCAAACCAGGGCGATCATGCAACCCAGCTGGTCTCCATATCGGATGGACTCAGAAGTCTTCTAGTATCCAGCGTTACGTGCGGGCGTGATTGAGAAACCGTGTTCGGCCTCGTCCGAAACTCTCACCTCAACTCAGTAGAGATATATATATACGTCGGATGGCCAACATGGGAGAACGTTAATCATGCTCGAGAGTTGAACAATCTCCGGCCACATTCGACTGCATTCCATGAGAGCCCCCGGCGAACAATGCATTTCTACCCCAAAGCGCGCCACCAACCGCATCCCAGCATCCACGACCCTTTCGTTCGCCGGCGTCGATTGGGATTGCTCAAGGCAGCGGGTCTGAACTTCATAGTACTGCAACTCCTCTTTCTCGGTCTGTTCTGTTACCTGTTCGGGTCTCTTTTCCAGCAGACCACGCACATTCATAACCTACACGTCGTCTTTGTCGACTACGATGGGGGAGCGGTGGGAGGCGCGGTACGTACCGCGTATGAGCAGCTGAAGGGCCCAGGTTTCCCCACGTTGAGTGAGCAATCAGTGTCGGCCTATCCCCAGCCGAGCACCGTGAGATCTGCCGTGTGTAATATTGATTACTGGGGCGGGTTGTACACGTCTGTGAATGCATCGAATCGCCTGGCGGCCGCATTCGGAGGAGGTTCCGCGGCAGCCTCCTACAACAATAGCGACATTCTCACTCTGGTATGGAATGAAGCGCGGTACCCCACCACGGCGGATTCTGCCATTGCGGCTAATATGCAATCCCTGTCGGAAGCTGCGCGAGTGGCCTACTCCCAAGCAAATGGCATGCAGGCACTTACGGATCTGAACGGCACGGATCCCGCCGCCATCGCGGCATTCACCAACCCCTGGACGCTGGCCTCAATCAACATCCAGCCCACCACTCAAGGATCCCGACTCATCTACAATACCTTGGTGATTATCTTAATTCTAATCCAGGAATTCTTTTTCCTGGGTTACATCAATGGCCTGTACCAGCAGTTTCAGCTCTATCTCTCCATAGCAGCGCCTCGAATTGCCACCGTCCGCCAGCTCATATCAGGGTTATACACACTATCTGGATCGCTCTGTACAACTGGCGCCATCTGGGCTTTTCGCCATGGGTGGAACGTCAATGGTGGTCAGTTCGCATTGACCTGGATGGCCTTGTGGCTGTTTGCCCATTGCAACTTTCTCGTCCTCGATGTTTTCACCATCTGGCTCCCGCCACCAGGTGTGCCGATGGCTCTCATCTCATGGATCGTTTTGAATATCACTTCGATCCTGCTTCCCTTCGAACTATCCCCAGGGTTCTATCAGTGGGGTTATGCGCTGCCAGCACACAGCATTTTCCAGGTGCTGGTGGACATCTGGTCCGGTGGCTGCAACCCGCAACTCGACTACGCGTTGCCAGTTCTCTTTGCGTATGAACTGATCGCCCTCACCCTAAGCTCTGTCGGGGTGTACCGGCGGGCACACTATGCAGTTCTTGCGAAGGAGACAGAAGAGAAGACGTGGAAGGAACGCGTCGCTGCGGCAATATCGGAGCAACAACAGCAACAGATGCTGGAGGAGACTCCCACGCCCCCAACATCGGACTCGGCGCTCACGGAGGGTGAACAGCAACCAGATCGCACGCGACGGCGCAGTACGGCTGCCGGTATTGTCGATCAAGAAGCGCTGACAGGGCAGCTATGGCGAGAGATGTCCCGGCTCGACAAAACCCCCACTGGCCGACAGAGTACTGGCCCCTGTTTCGACTTGCCTTTTACCGACTAGGTATATACTCATTGCATGTTGTATAATTTGTTCTACCAGATAACAATTTACGGGAGAGCTTCCATCTTAGGTGATATATAATGGCCACTGACACTTTGAAGATCATGGACAGCTATGCTGTTGCTTACCGGAGGAGTAAAACTAAGATTGAAGGTGAAAGGAAAGGGAGTTGCTGAGAAAAAGACCACAGGGAGACAACATTAGACAGAAAAGTGTCGCGTATTGGCATCTCGCAGTTGTAGAACCGCAAAAACCACATCGAGCCATGTTTAAGAGTCCCGCATGTAGTTCTTCAACCAGACAATCTTGTCAATCCTTGCCCTGAATCTCTTGCCGAAGACCCTAGATATTCAAGCTGGTTAACGTTGAAAGGGCCCTCCTGGAGGTTGGACTTACCAAATTGGTATGGTGAGAAGACTGGTGAAGATAAAAAGGCTCCCCAGGACGACAAACACCTTCAGTGTTCCGTCCTTTGCGAGCCATTCATTGATCACATAAAGGATTCCGAAACTGAGGAAGTTACGAGAGTTGACGGCCACAAAGGCCTCCTCACCCAGGGCAGTATAGGCGTCAATGATGTATCCGAAGACACACGTCGAGCAAAATGCGAGGGAGGCATTGACCAGCCCGTATGTGATGACGGGCCCCGTCCAGTGTGTCTTGTAGTGGACGGTAGCCCCAAACCCGTAGAACCCAGCTACACCCAGGACGAAGCCCACCAGCATCAGGACCAGCCGAAATTCGGGTTCATAGTACCCATTGTTTCTCTTCGTCAGGTACAAACAGATTCTATCGCACAGAGGCCCCGAGATGATCTCGGACACCACGCTGAGGACTAATGGTGAAATATTGATGAGGCCAATCTGTGAAGTGGTAAAGTTGTATGGAGGCTCGTTGAAAATCACCCCGTTGACGTAACTAAAAGCAATGGTGAACGTGATTGTTGTACCCCAGGTTAGGAATGCCCAAAGGATACCAGGATAGAGAAACCTACTGCGCTTAGTCTATGGTCGAGGAGTCCAGGTAACAGTTGGTGCTTACAAGATAAACGGACGGCTAATGACCTTCACGAGTGAGGCATTCGAGTATCTGCCCGTGTACACTCGGAGGGACCTCCAATAGGAATCCTTTCGCTGTGTGATTCGCGGAGAGTGGCTTGTCTCCGGTGGATCATGTTGATCTTGGGGTTCCTTTTCAATATCGTGTAGTCTCCCAGAGCCCGGCTGAGGGGCGTCCTTGCCTGGCACGGCATACGTGTCCTGCTGCTCGATACTCGAGGCCTCATTCGAGGAGTGAGGAGGGCTAACCACGCGGATATATGCAGTTTCCGGGGCAAGAAAGAAGAGGGCGATGGTCAGGACGCCGTAAAAAATGGCGCATACGCCAAAGGTCCAGCGATACCCTGCATACTGGATAATATACGCACTCACAATCGGCCCGGCCGAGATCCCGCTCACCAGGAACAGGTTCCAGAAAGCTATGCGCGAGGCGCGTTCATGCACAAAATACAAGTCTCCTATCGTACATTGCACAAGAACCTACAAGGTGTGAGTAGGAATGAGTGAGGCCTTGCGATAGCCCCGAAGCAAAGGGCAAAGTCCCAGCGACGTGAGTTACCATGTAAAGCAGGACGTGTACTAACCTCAAACGGACCCATTCCTAAGCCTCCCACCAGCCGGCACGCCAGGAACGAGCTATAGTCATGTGTCAGGGCAGCCCCGATGCTTGATGCGAACAGCAATAGCCCAGAGACCAGATACACGGGCCGTTTCCCATAACACTTGGCCAGCGGGTTGCTGAACAGAAGAGCAATCCCGATCGCCAACACCAGGTAGGAGGTAGCTTGTGATATTTCATTCACGCTCACATCAAGCTCATCAGAGATTTCGACAAACCCAGGGCCTAACATGGGTCCATATGCTCCTACAATCGCGGATAGGAGACTGATAATGAGCAAGATGAAATCCTTTCTCCTGCAACACAATGGCTGAGCATCAATATGTATTCCGAGTACCATGGGGAAAAGGATTGTCCTTTACCACTGTGGCCACTGAATGGTTGATCCATGTTAGTATGTTGATATATAGATGGAACGACAGCACCGAACCTACATTTAAAGGGTCATTTGGAGAGTCTGAAGGTTGAGGAACCTGCCTCGCATTGTAAGCTTAGGTTACAAACGGGAAATGGGTTGCTACGAATGTACCAAGACAATTCCACGACGTTGATGGGGGCCCTTCGCTGAGGAAGAGGAAGCATCGCTGCTACTTTCCACATATGACTGTTGGCTGAGAATCACTGCTGCTATCAGCACTAAGCAGCAGAGGGAAGACAAGGAAGCGTAGGCACCTGTTCCAGGAGGTGATTCACCATCTTTGCATTCTAACATTCCAAACGCCATGATGGTATGCCCTAGCCTCAAATATGCGTGGGCTGAAATGATCAGAGGAAGGCCTTGATATCTGGATTGCAAAAGAGAATGCACGAAAGCAGCTGGTGCAGTGTTCATATAAGGTTGTCGGTGAGACATTCGACCCTAGTGCTTCACCCGTTCCGATGCGTCAGGCCTGGATCTAGAGAACACTTCATGAAACCCGAAAACCAACTGAAACTCCTGCTCTACTTCCTTACTCGGCTGTCACTAAACCTAGAAGGTTAAAGCTTCCCCCACACGCATGGACACCAAGATTCTTGTGGGGAACAATTTACCCGATCCCCCACCTGGATTGTCGGTCAGTCCAAAGTTATACAGATCACATTCAGACTATGCACCTCTCAGGCCGTGCTAGATACATAGCTAGAGTCGCTTGATTTGACGCCGAGGAGTCGGACTGGATTTGACACGGTTGCATCTATTCGTGCACACGCAAGTGCAGCTGGACGTACCTGTGCGCCCAATATAATCAGATGTGCTGTATCAGTTATAGCTTTCCGTAGTGGGCGATAATTACTAGGATGCAATGTAAAGTGTTTGGGAAGGACTCTGCGATGGGGACTCGTATTTGGCTATAAGAGACTATTCTCGCCACTACATTATACACAGAGCTATGTTATTCCGAATCCGAACAGCTACCTCATAATCTACTTTCACCCCTGATGGCACCGAAGATTTGATCACACATATTGTTGGCATCCTGCTCGGCATCATGGTTCAATATCCAGTCTTCTCGCGGCAGTTCGATGGCCTTGGGATCGCGTTTTACATTATCCCAGCTTGCATTGTGCCATTTATCCCGAGTGGTTTTACCTGTTTCTTGCACCTTGCGCACGCGATCGTACCTGCATTACCGAATCAGAGGGGCCCATGTGCAACCTGAGGGTTTTGGTCTCACCGAATCTTTTCGAAGGCATGGAGAGCATCGGGAATCCTGTATTTGCCAGCCCGGCTCAGACAAATGGCGATCGTGACACCGTCCTCTAGCGCCTGGGTTGCTCCCTGAGCGGATGTCGGGAGGAATGCATGAGCGGAATCTCCAGCAAGCGCAATACGCCCGTGCTTGCTAACCCAGGTCGGCAAAGGGTCTTGCCAGATGAGCTTCCAATCGATCAGAGCTGACTCGGGGGTTTTCGAAACGATCCGGTGGCAGATCGGGTCCCAACCCTCTAAAACCTTATAGACATCCGTAAGCTTACCCGGAAAGGACCAGCGATCGCTGATATCAGATGCATCCTACGAATCCAGACGTTTTCTCAGGATTAGTTTGGCCACGACATAGCTCACGATCGTCGGAGGTGATGTGGCACCCACCTTATGCGTGAGTACCCAACAGACGTCCTTCCCCCCTTTCAACGTTGAAACCAGTAGATGCACATCCGGACCAATCCAGCCATTGAACGTATCGCCATTTTCAGAGAGATGTCGAGTCAGGGGATCGGCCAGGATATCCTCGTTTGAAAACCTTGCAGACACTCAGCATCGTGTGGCCAGATGAGTAGAATGGGTGACAGACCAGGCGCGATAGATCGCATAGCCGCTAGATTGGAGGCGTGTCTCACGTCCTAGAACTAAGGATCGAGCTTGAGAGCGGACACCATCGGAGCCGATGACAACATCTCCATAGACCTAGCATCTGTCAGTGGACGGCACTGCACGGATCATGGTACATGTGCACTTTGTCTCCTGATGCGAGCTGGATCCCTGCGCCACTGGCGCTCTCGAAGTACCCGGTAACCTCACAGCCTAGATTAATGGGAATATTAAGCTCATTTCGAGCATAGTTGAACAGAATCTGGTGCAGCTCTCCCCGATGTCCATTGATCGTGGGAGCCTGTCGATCAAGTGGCAAGGAGTCTTGCGTATGGACGTGCTCTCCCGTGTACTTGTGAATGCGAAACCCGTAGTCCTGGAGCTTGATGCTAACAGGTAGCATGCGGTCAACCACCGAGCCCCAGCGTGCAAAGATCCGGCCCCCATTGGACCCGAACGAGACTATATCACCAAGTGGCTTCAGTTCGGGGAACCGCTCATAAACTGTGACAGAAAGACCCCGACGACGGCATTCTATCGCAGTGCCGAGACCCGCGAACCCTATTCCAACGATCTTAGTAACACTAAAGATGGCAGCGCGGAGGGGGCTTCACCGGCTCCAACAACTATGATATGAATTCGCGATTCCTCGGATAATAGGGGCAAGGGCTTGGTAGTAGGGTCCATCGTATAGACAGCTGTAGTGGTCTGATGCCGACCGAAAATGGTAGAGGAGCAAGAATATCCCCTATGACGGTTTTACAAGAATGCCATTAGAGAGATCCGTCATTATAAAAGAGAAAAGCATTGTTCATAGCGTCGCAGAAATAGGGTCATGGGCTCCTAGCTGCCGAGGCAGTCTGCCATCTCTCGATGTCACTCCATGAGTTTGTGGGGTAATAAAAATGTGGCGGATGGGGGGACACACGCCATAGCCGAACAAACAACCACATAATATTCGATTGCTGATCCACAGTATTGCTATAATTGTACGACAAATGCATAGGATGGTAAAGGTCGGCCGAGAAAGCGTATCGCAAAGGGACAAGTGTCCCCACGTGAGGATATCTACACCTTATCCAAATCTTCCGTGACTAGGGCCCTGCTTCCGGGAATATTCATCAACTGGTACATGCTATCACATACACTATTACGAAGGGACTTATTACATGAATGACACATTCATTAGCCCTGACAAGGATCACAAGAAGATTACGGCTTGAGGCGTAGCGTCCAAACGCTATACAAGGTCATGAACACTGTCCCGGAGTTATGCATACGGCTTGAATTGTCGATGATGTTCTGATATGAGATGCTTCAGATCTGCCATTGGGGGTGAATCACATCTCGACGGCGTATATGGTCTGTCAATAGCCAGGGTGGCGAGTTCAACATCGGATTGAACCGACTGATCATGTCGGGCTTGCTGCCGTTCGTCAATTCTTCGAATCAGGATATTTAGCAGTAACCAATATTCGGAAGCATTCTGGAAAAAGCCCAAGCGTCGCCAATCGTCCTCATTACCCACCAAGATAGTATCCTCCTCCTTTGGTAAGCCAAAACTATCGTGAATCGTGAATCGCTGGTTCCAGGCTAATTTCCAGTTGTGGATCGCTCTCCGTATAGGCTGGAGTTGTGTGTCGACGCTGATAAGTGAATTGATCTGAAATGCCTCGGCACAAAGTGCTGCATAGATTATAGTCAGTAGATGGTTACATACGTTGGGCAAGAACTGAGTCGAAGGACGTTTGAGAGGCCGTATGGGCCAGATCTAGTTATTGACCGCGGCAGTGTTCTTACCGGAGCACACAATCCAAAGGTTCAGTATTCCCAGGTGGGAGATGTACTCGCGTATATCGAGGTTAATATCTCTACAGAACATGACCTGCACGATCTCACGCATTGTCCTTCTGCAACCCCATAGTTGATGTCCCGTCCACGTTCGAATCGCCGTGAGGCACTCTGCTGCGGTCTGTGCTTGGAAACAAGCCTCAGGGCATGCCATGCTCAATGACATTTCTTGGATTCTCATGCGGGGTGGGTAATTGCTGAAGATTGCAAACCCAGTGTCATGTATATATATGAATAGCATAGTGCTATTCATGACGTTAGCAGGCTGTACGAGCAGGTTGTCCCTTGCTTGCACCTACCGAATGCATTCCTCGGTTGCAATAAAAGTGTCCCAACAGAAGTCACCTCCCCGTACCGAGTCAAGATTTCTGTGTGTGATACTGAAGAGGTTCAAGTCTCTAGCGAGCTACCCTGAGTTAGTGACTGAGACACGAGAGCCTAAGACAACTTCTTACTGAAACGAGCATACTAAAACGTTGACGCCGAGTCCTCCGCCGGCTAATATGACTTCCTTCGCTGATTTGGAAAGTACAGACACAATATGCTGCCTGGAGGAGCTGTACGATATCCCGAATGTTCACGGTGGCCGGATCCTGCAGCATAAGGTCTCCAAAATATTTGTTAGTGAAGACCATCTCTTCCACACCATTGAGCCATAGCTTCGCACTGCGATTATCGTTTGCGTTTTGCGAGAAACACGCCCCCATGACGGCCATGGCCGCTGTAAGGTGCGCGGGGGCACTGCTGATGGAAAATGTTGCCTTGTGAATAACTGGGTAATGAGGGTGCCACGCTGTCCAGTAAACCTTGATGAATCTCTCGATGTTATTGGGACTGAAGAAGCGAATACAGTCCTTCTCGAGTTGTGGAGACCATGTATGCATAATTCTGGAGTGCTGGGAAAGGTTTCGGATTTGATGTACGATTTGGTATGCTGGTTGTGAAGACAAAGGGGCCTGCGCAGAAGATAGCCATGCGTGGTACCACGACTCGCAGGCGGCACCTACAGAATTGTTAGATATACGAGGCAAAAAATAATCTTTGACTGTGATGCTACTATTGGGAAGGCCAAAAGAATAGTGAAACATACTGCCGGACGAGGGATCAGTGAGAGAATAGGGAAGATCTGTCGGTGGTAGTGCTCCCTGTCTCCCAGCAGTACCATCGGTCACCCTGGATCCTTCCCACCCTTTCCTCTGTAATGCGCTACAGTCATAACGAGTTTGCAGCGAAGCACTCTCCTGGCTGGAAATTCGGGCGAGGAAACTGAATGTGTCAGCCGGATCAATGTCAATGCATGGAACACCAACACCAGATGGCCATTGCAGGCAGTGGTTGTGCTCCACTCGATCAAACAGCATCGGGTCAAGCAGCAATTGTATGTCTTCGAACTGGCTATCACTCCACCGGAGCTCAGCCAAGGAATTGTCAGGAAGAATACATGATTGACTGGCTTCCGTTCCTTCAGGGTCATTTTCCTGGGCTATTAACTGTGGGTGGCTCCCCTCAGACCTTCGGCTATGTTTCTTAGTTGGTAGATTATTGATTCCATTCAGGGTACCCTGGGCAGAAGTATCCATGGCATCCATATTTGGCATGATTACTTGTCTGTCAGGTACAGGGGCACCAGTCGTGGTAGTTCCTGCTTCTTCCACGAACATTGTCCGCGGTTTGAGTTGGCATTTGGCGAGGTGGCGTTTCATCACATCCCTTCAGTAGAGTCTCATTAGTTGCTGTGAACCGGCTATGTATTAATTCAGTAGCGACGTACTTGCGCATGAACTCCTTTCCACATTCGGGGCATCTTACAGCTTTCCCTACGCCGTCTGAATGCGCTGTTAGCAAACAAATGCCGCAATATATCCATTCTCAATCACCCACGTACGGGATCCAAGATGTCTCTGTAGGTGCTCTGTACGAGTGAATGATTTGGGGCACAAGGGACACGGGACCCTCCGTGGCTTCGCCCTTCGTATGGCTTTCATATCGTTGGGGGTTGGACTTCTTCACAAGACGTTGAAATTGATACTGAATATGGGATGGGTGAGCGTTCATGGATATGCGCAGTATGGGACGCCATGAACGAGACTAGGCCTTTACCCCGGATGCGGGGAAACCCCGCATCGCATATCAAACCGTGGGCCTGTAATTCGTTGTATAATGCACTCCACCCTTCATCGAATATCTATTTTAGCCATAAAGAACATATGATTCGACATAAGCTTGAATTAACAGCTCGCCTTAAACCACCTTAGTGTACCTCAGCAGGCGAGGATTCGTTGGGGTACATGTGCCATAGAGCTTCTGCTACAGAGGAGTATCCATCGAGCAAGGTGCTACTCACCTGTTTGTGCGTAACTGGTGAACATTAGCCTACGCAGGCACCTCATTTGTGAGGTAGAGTCCATGCCAGGTGCCCCTGACAAAGTCTGAAGCTCATGTTACACTCGCAAGAGAGCAATATTTAGGTTTTGTGGTATGTGCCATGTTTCTTGACCACTTCGGCATTCACTGTGATCATTCACTTCCTTCACCCAACTTCCCATTTCTGCTTCACAGCGCAATACCATTGGCCCGGCATTTACTGTTAGGACCATTGCCGTGAACGCATCTAAATTGGCTCTTTGCCTAAAAATCATGGGTGAACGCCGTGTGGGGGGATACCGTAGATACCGCCACATCATGATGTGGGGAATGTGGGTTGGAACTCGTTCTCACCGGAGATTGGCGTCAACAGCTAGTCTGCCGAGACGAGCGGATCGATCCTGGACTCTTGGGGGTTATCCAAATCATCAGTCACCGGAGGGGAAGTGACTATCACCTGGTTGTTGGTCTTGGAGCTATAAAGGTGGGACGCAACAACAAAGTGGTTCAGCAAATCGTTATAAGAATAGCGAACAGAGCATCAAGATGTCATTCCTTCAGCCTGCACCTGAGCCTGCAACGCCACTGGGGCGCTTACGACCTCTCTCGGCGTCTGCCAGTATCCGAGTGTCTCCTCTACAGCTCGGGGGCATGTCCATTGGAGAGTCGTGGTCGAGCTTCATGGGTAGCATGTCGAAGCCGAAGGCCTTTGAACTTTTGGATGCATACGTTGATGCAGGAGGAAACTGTATTGACACCTCGAACAACTACCAGGATGAGCAATCGGAGCGATGGATTGGCGAATGGATGAAGGCTCGTGGCAATCGTGATAACGTGGTGATTGCGACCAAGTACACCACGTCCTACCGCGACTATGAGCTTGGAAAGGTCTCTTATGTGAATTATTCGGGCAATTCCCGGAGAAGCCTACATATGTCACTGCGAGACTCGCTTCAAAAACTGCAAACAGACTGGATTGATATTCTCTATGTTCACTGGTGGGATCAAACTACCTCGATCGAGGAGGTAATGGACAGCCTTCATGTTTTAGTACAACAAGGCAAAGTGCTGTATCTTGGGGTGTCTAATACCCCTGCTTGGGTCGTGTCTGCGGCAAACTATTACGCGAAAGCAAAGGGAAAGACACCCTTCAGTATTTATCAAGGCCGATGGAACGTTCTTCGCCGTGATCTTGAGAAGGATATTCTTCCAATGGCGCGGCACTTTGGTATGGCAATTGCACCATGGGATTCAATAGGCGGTGGGAAGTTTCAATCGAAGAAACAGCTTAAGGCCCGGGAAAGCAAAGGCGAAGCCCTCCGCGCAATCGGGTCTGTGACCCAGAGTGCAGAAGAAGCTAGAATGAGCGAGGCACTTGAGAAGGTAGCAGCTGAGCATGGGGTGGACTCCGTTACGGCCATTGCATTGGCCTATGTGTTATCGAAAGCGCCGTATGTCTTTCCCATAATTGGTGGGCGAAAGATCGAGCATCTCCGAGACAACCTCAAGGCGCTGGAGATCCGTCTCACCGAAGCCCAGATCGAATACCTCGAGCGCGTCAAGCCACTTGACGTTGGATACCCAGCCAATTATATTGGGCAAGATCCAAGAATCACCGGGAAAGCCAGTGGGGTTTTGGCAACTACAGGTCCCCTCGCGTTTGTGAAGTATCCAAGCCCTATCAAGCCCAGTCTATAGTCCTGGTAGTGGTAGTTTTCATTTATTCGGTTGTATCTCTTCGGCCTTTGTACATACCCGTGGCATTGTCATTGTCAAGAATATAGCCAGGGAAGAGCAACGTAGCAAGTGCGATAGGGCCTTTTCCCCCACATGTACCAACGCCATTAGTAGTCCCGCCGCCACTTGCCTCACTCCCACTGGAATTTAGAAGACAGCCTTGTTGTTCCCCGCAGTACTCAGTTAAATTATCATCTCTGTCACTGGGGACTGCCGAAGCTGAAATGTCTTTCTAGGTACAGTCTGTGCCAGTAGCTTGTAAGAAGTCTCGCGCGTTTCAATACTTGCTCAGTGACAGAACATCAAACTGTATCATGGATTATATACACTCCCTCCTCTCTTGTCCAGTCTTGGGGATCAGCTGCGGCGCCATTCTCATCTTCCTTGGAATTGTCGTCCACGATGTGTACTTGTGGACGTGCCTTCCTCCTGGTCCTTGCCCCATTCCACTGGTTGGCAACAAGCTTCAAATCCCGTCGAAGCACCCCTGGATCAAGTTCCAGGAGTGGTCGAGGATATATGGCCCAATATATACTATATGGCTAGGTCGCCGGCCAACAGTGGTCATATCTGACCCGTCAATTGCCTCGGAGCTGCTCGAAAAACGGTCTAAAAAATACAGCACCCGCCCACGGTTTGTCACCATGGGTGAGATATACTGGGATATGGCCAGCATTCTTGTTCAACCTTATGGCAAAGAATGGCTCATTCGCCGCCGGCTCTTGCATTCTGCCCTGACGCCTCGGGCCCTAGAACACTACAAAGTACTGCAGCAGGCCGAGTCAAGTCGGCTATGCTATCAGCTACTAGAAGGTGCAGCCGAATGGGAATCGCTATTTGACCGGCTCGCGTCGTCGATCGTGTTCGCCGTCTCGTATGGTCACCGTGTCGATAGCGCTAAGTCACCCGTGATCAGACAGCGACTTGAATTCATGCAATATGCGTCCAGTTTAAATGTTCCAGGAGCATACCTGGTGGAATCCTTTCCCATGCTGAAGTATCTACCCGATTGGATTGCCCCATGGAAGGCGGAAATTAAACGCCGTGGTTGTCTTGAGGCTGAGGCCAATATGGCACTTGTTCGTGTGGTGCGACAGGATATAGAGTCCGCGAAGCAGTCCCCGGGAGCAGAGCCTCTTTTTAATAGTTTGACCAAGCAGCTCCTCGAGACCAGAGACTCAGATCCCACGGTATTTCCGTTGACTGAGCGGGATTTTAGCTACATTCCTGCTTCACTTTTCGGTGCTGGATCCGACACCACATCTTCCACTTTATGCTCAGCCATGCTGGCGATCATCACCAACCAAGCAGTGTTGGAGATGGCACAGGCTGAGTTAGACTCTGTGGTGGGCCCTGGTCGATTCCCTACATTCGAGGATATACCCAAGCTACCGTATCTACGCGCACTTTGCAAAGAGGTTCTGCGCTGGCGCCCTGTAGCTATATTGGGTGGAACACCGCATGCTTGTTCTGAAGATGATTATTATCGCGGGTACTACATTCCTCAAGGAACGATCATGTTGGGAAATTCGTGGGCAATTAATATGAATCCTACGTATTATCCTAACCCGGATCAGTTCAACCCTTTACGGTTTTTAGACATCGACCCGCATCTGCTACCTTATCTTCCGAAAGAATACATATCATCGGTTAAACAAGAAAAGGGATCTGCGCATCCAAGCAAAATCGGTCATAGTTCATTCGGCTGGGGTCGTCGTATTTGCCCAGGCGCAGATCTTGCGACCAATACTCTACTCATCACGCTCAGTCGGCTACTGTGGTGCTTCGATATTCGGCCCATCCCTGGGCACGTCTATGACACGCTAGATTACACGAATGGCTTCAACGTCAGACCGCGGGATCTGCAGCTGGGCCTGCAAATTCGATCCGATCAGCATCGTCACGTCTTGCAAAGGGAATACGAAGTTGCGACCGCGTTTCTTAAAATGCTTTCGCCCTTTGACGAAAGTATGTTGCAAGGCACCGGTCGACAGGTTTAACTCTTTAGCAAAGGTTTCAGGCAGATGGTGGATTGCATGGATGCTAGTTGAAGCCCGAGGAGTAAGCCATCAGTCACGAAGCTTGCCATGAGGCTATGAGGTGGGGCCTGCTCTCTATAACAAGCAGGAGCTGTCAGTACACTTGATGTCGGCCGCCAAAAGAGCACCTTCGTGTCGATCCAATATCAAGGTCACACTAGAAAACAATCCTTTCGAGGCTTACTATAACATACAGTCTTATCTATACGGCAAGGAGTACGGATATATATCATTTAGCATAGCCAGAGATGATAGAACAGTAGAGCTAAATCAAGGGATCGATTATAACACTGCTATCAATAGCCAAGGATACGCAAGACAGCATCGATTCTATGTACGAGATTATCACATCGGGAATACTAGAGCCACCATTCCTTGAGACTGCCTTCATTTTCGAGGTTCCATGCCTTGGTGATAATTTGCTGGATGCGATCCGTGTCTTGAACTTCCCCATACTTGGCTAAGGCCTTGAATTTGGTCTCAATCTCCGTCCTAGGACACCATCCAGTCAGCTTGAGTGCTAGCATTCACCATCATTGCGATATTGAATTAAACATACCTCGTCAGTGGATTTTGGGGATCTCCTTTCAAATATTCCACAAACTTTTCATAGGTGGCACCGGATTTGCAAGTTACGATGACCTTACCTTGCCACTTTTGTGGGAACGCCGCATTTATGTCTTCATCCAGCTCCATCTTAACACGTTCTTGGAATTGTCGCAAGGAAGCATCCTGCAGTGCTTCCTCTGTGAAATCCGTTATCATGGCCTGCCCTTTCTGCGCCGTTACTGCCAGAACAAATCCCATGTTAAATTTGCTTTGATGGACCGTTTCACCGCGTCCGCTGAGTCCAAGTACGTCAAAGGCCGCCTGATATGTTCTGGTTACGACCGAGTCGATATCTTCGAATTTAATACCATGGGTGGACAGAATATTAAGAAATGCGTCCACGCTTGGATGCGTATGCCGACATGACGCGTGCCATTTGAAACTACTTCCAAGTACTGCCCAGTCAACTCCTAGGTCTGCGTCAATTGCACTGGCGTTGGGTGTATCGGGAACGAGTGCGACGCCCATGCCCTTGGGCCCTTCCAGCACATCTTTGGGCCCCAATAACCCTGATTTCGCGGTGTACGCGGCGAAGATTCCATCGAAGCAAGCCTTACCAGTGTGAACTTGCTTTGAATGTGTGGCGTCCAAAAGGAACTGCCATAAGCCCGATGCCTGGGTGCCGGCAGTTCCGATCGATGATAGCATTGCCGCAGCGTCGAGACCCAAAAGACGCGCTGTTGCAGCTGCTACACCAATGACTCCACCAGTTGCAGTGGAATGGAAACGCTGTTTGAGCTAGGTTAACGTGACAGTCTGCGGCGCAAGCCTGAAGGTATCCACATACTGCATAGTGGCTCTTTCCAAGGAATTCCCCCACACGGCATCCTACCTCGTATCCAACCACGCAGGCTGTAATAAAGTCCCTTCCATTTGCGTCCAGATCCTGGGCAACTGCCAACGCAGCAGGAAAGATGACCGTCGCTGGATGCATGATACTCCGATTGTGCAAGTCATCCTGTTCCACAACGTGCGACGAAGCGGCGTTCACCATGGCTGCAAACGGCGGGCTTGTGCTGAACCCTAGCTCGCAATCTACCAACTCACTCCTCCCCGACGTGGGGCCCATCTGCTGCACAAACATCGCAATGGCCTTCACGGCGGCATGGTGACGACCAGCAATCGTGCACCCGAACCAGTCCAGGAAGAGGTCTTTGGTTCGCTGGATCACTTCCTGTGGGATATCATCATATTGAAGTCCTGAAGCCCAGGTGGCTAAACGCTCGGTTCGAGTTGTCATGATTATACTGTCCAAGTAGGCTTATACACCAACCATTATATTATGCCTTGGGGATCCAGATTCGATCGTGGAGGTGCTTGATCGGCGCATGTCTGAACATGAACAAGTCAACCCCACCTTCCGGCCCTCGGCAATGGTGGGCATAGCCGGCGGTGGGGTTAAGAAGCCTTTATGAACGATCGACAAAACAATCTTTCTTGGAAAACGTGTTTCTAGGGCAAGGAACATGGGATCTTCTGAACGACAGATATTAAGTGTATTTCAGCGAATCTAATCAATGAATGACGAGCGTTATGTACTAGTAGCGTCTTTCCTTCCATCTATATATGCACCCATGTCGCAAACTCAGAATTGCATGCTCCTAGACTGATCTCCCAAATGTTTCTCCAGAGATCAATCACAGCGGAATGGTGTAGTCACCGTCGTACTTGCAGTCCTTGTAGATGTGGTCCGACGGGTTGTCTACACAGTTCCACTTGCCATCGTTCTCGTCGAAATAGGCACGGCCACCGATCGGGTTGGGCTCAATCCGCTCAATGGCAAGGGTAAACTTGCCGAACTCGAAGCCATCCGGAAACCGGATCAGATGCTTGGAGTCGTTGCATCGGGCATTTTCTTCGGGTTCTTTCGCACTCCTATGTATAAAAGGCGCTGGTTAGGTTTAAAGAATCCCTAGTGTACGTTGTGTCAAAATACAAACTCACCAGATCAAGTTGCAGTCAATTAACTCGTCACCGTCAAGCAGCTTGAAGCTCATGGTGTTGGAGAGAGAGTCGCGCGCTTTGAGATCTTTGATCACAAAGGTGCCATCGCGTTTACTGGCAATGGGGGTGGCAATGGCCGAGGTGGCAGCGAGGACAATAGCAGCAAAAGAGAACTTCATTGTGGAATGATTGAATTGTAGACGTGTTCTGAGAGGTCTTCTGAGAGGTATTCTGAGAGGAGGAGTAGATCGTAGTGTATAGTGAGGCGCGCTGTTGATGAGGTTGATGAGAGCATATTGTCCGGGAATTGCGTCTGTATTTATAGATTTTCGCGACCCTTGATGATACTATTTTTCCCCGGGTGAGCTTGACCTGACAAGCGCAGGAACAGAAAATTAGCCGTCTTCGACGTAGGTCTACTGGTGTAGCTCGAGGTCGACTTCGCCATCTGCCAAGGAGGACTGGCTGCTGGCAGGCGCCCTGAGACCCTCTACTCTGGGAGCCTGACATCGCGATCCGCATAGGAGCACAGCCGCAATGGTAGAGAAAATAGATTTAAGGCCCCCTTCAAGTTTCGAACCCTGTAAGGCGACCAACTACGGAGCGGTCAATGCTCCTAGGCGGCATATTCACGACGGTCTCCTGCAGCCAGGAGCATCGCTTCATGGCTATGTCGATGCTCCAATCACGTACTTTCCTCCTAAGAATATAACCTCCTAAATTCTTTTAATAGTTCATCATCGAAGCAGTGTTCTGACACCCAACGGAAGTTACGTTGAAGCTGTTGGTAGCGCTTGTGTCCGTAACTACCACGAAATTCACAGGTAGTACTCTCAATGTTTACCAGAGTATGATTCCATACACAGTATGTACATGCTTTCCCGTTAGATACACTTCCATTCTCCTTCTATCAATTCTGTTACTCCTGTAGTATGTCTATTCAATCGTAGGAAGTAAATGGGAGGAGTTATTTGTAGATCCAGCCGTCGATTTAATTGCATTCAATTGGTATCATTGATCAAGGCATAGGATTGACTAGTCCATGTATATTAGAGCTATCACAATTATCTCCATAGCTCCTTGCGTTGACTAGACATGATGGATGCAGATGAAAGCAGGTCGAACCTCTAAGCGAGTGTGGCTAAGGTAGCCGAGTACCAAATCACCAAGCTTCCACTCTTGTGCACTTGGATCGGACGCCTTAAATAACACGAGGACGGAATCTATTGGGTCTTGCTCGAGGATGATCGCTGCTATTCTTGGGCGTCCCCACATTCCGCCGTGGCGATGCCTCGTACTTGAGCAGATCCTCCCAAAACCCAACCAACGACCATGACCCTCGTCATGTATTGGAGTAAATGGTGATCGCAGTTGACTGCTATCCACCGAGGACCTGTATGGATACCAGCGGCCTTGCTACGTTGATGATCACACTGTTACGTCTGCCTCTCCAGTGTCCCGAAATCGTCGCAAAGCTGAGAAGGACAATTACCTTTAAATTCCTATTTTTAGGGATGTTACCCTCAAGGACCATTCGAAAAATTCCATATAAAGCTGGGTGCCGCACTTGTCTCTGAGCAGAAATTAAATCAAAAGGCTTCTACTATCAGACGCAACTCCATACATACTCCAAACTGTTCATTGCTCCTTTGAGAATATCAAGGTCTCTCATAAAATACCCAGCATGCAGCTCTCCATTTTTACCGTGATTCTCCCTTCCCTTGCGGCGTTCGCTAGTGCTGCCCCCTCTGACAAGCGTCAAATCTCTTCCGTCTCAATCACATTCTACACCCCTGACGGTGAGAAATGGTCCCAGACATTCCCAACCAATATGGGCTCGGGTGAAGTTGGTATGGTTATCCCCTCCTGACAGCCAATCGAACAATCAAGCTGACTCACAAGTAGAAATCAAGAAGACGGTTTCTCATATCTACAACCCCGGTGGAGCGATCTGCGGATTTGGTGGTGTTCAGGGAGAGAGGGTGGATGTTCCAATTGGGGACCATAAGTTGAAGACTCCTCAGGTCTTGACAACCGGAACCTGTGCCCATCTCTAGGGACAGCTTTTGGCTTCCATTCATTTGTGTATTAGTTCAGAAGGGTTTTGATTTAGAGCAAGGTAGTACGTGTCACGATAGCATTGGCGTTTGAACGTAACATATATGTGTTTGAGTAATCACACCCTCATTTATACCTACTGGGCCCTCCTTCCATATCAAACATATGTAGTTCTAACGGTATAAGGATGGCTCGACTTCAACTTGACCTTCTCAGAACCCTTGCTTTCCTAACTCAATGGATTTGTGATCCTCCTTGAGGCACGAGACACCATGTGAAGTGCCCCATGCCCTTTCTGGTCATAATCAGAAAGGACTTGCTCCACCAGGCGTTCCAAGAGACGTCTCGATAATCCTGGGAGTTAACATTGCTTCCAGTGAATGACGCATGTACTTCTGTTCGTACGCAGCAACGTGTCGGAATACTGTTGCGCGTGTGCTGCGTCTCCAGGCAGAGTCTCCCGAAGTCGTATACGAGCGACGGAGGAAAACAAGGAACAGCATTGCTAGGGAAGTAATATTGTTATACATAAGACCCTTATAATCAGTCCTTCAGTGAAACTATTATGGCATTTGATACATAACCAGGAGGCATGATCCAATCAAGCTGTATTGTGCCTGTCATGGAGACCAAAAAATCGTCCAGCAAGAAGGGTTCCAATGCGGCCCCACAGCCGGAATGCTGGGGATTCCGAGTTCCGAGTAGCAGCCCTGATTGGACCGGTCAGTAGGATGATCCGGCCGGCATGTGGGCCTCAGGCGCCTTACGTATTAATCGTTGATAGGTCGATGTATGGAGGTCAACACAACGCGTTTTCTCATGAACTCCATATACAGGCCTTAGAAAAGATAGAAGATGAGACCTTTTGTAGTAATCGTATCATGGTATACAAGTCCATAACTGAATAAGGTGGGCCTGTGGGGGAGACGTCTCAGCTATAGGCACTGGAGTTCGGACTCTCTACTAGCTCTATCGCACGCCAGTGTGGGATATATATTTACAATAACCCTTACCCTACCAGACATCAGTGGGTCAAGGCTTCCCATGTAGCTGGCCTCCCTCACCATGCATCACTCGAGGAAGTCATTATGTCAGATGCTAGCTAGTTTATGGGAAGATACCGTGTCTTTCATCCGGCCTTCCCTGTTCTTGAGTTGACTCGCCTGGTCCCACAATGACAGGAACGTGACATCATAGCACAGGAACCGAAGGTTTTTATTTGTATACTTGTATGACGGATATCGTCAGCTTATATTTGTTGATCTGCCGGAGTCGTTCAACTGTACCCTCAATAGATACATCTCGGCAGAATATTGCTGGACGCAACCAAACACACAATGTCTCTGAAATCGGCGTCTAGCCTCCTAGACGGAGCCACTGAAAATACAACAACCGTAGCCGGCTCTCCTGTTACCGGTGCCGTGCCCGCTGCGCAACGACAAGCGAAACAGCTTGGTGCGACCGCTACCAAATCCATGAATCTAACAACACCTGGCGAGTTTCCAGGAGAAAAGACGCAAGACAATGCCACAGCACAAGACACATCGTCGGGTCCGTGGTATGCACCAATGACCGCGTGGTTCCGCGATGTTATCCCAAGCACATTGGACTGGTTCGAAGGCACTATGAAATGGCTACTTGCCTGGATATTTCCTCCTCCTCGCCAAGCGACGCTCTTTGAAGCCGCACTGCGAAGGCCGTACGCGACATCATTCCTGGTCTGTCAACTCATCTGCTGTGGAGTGCCGTTCCTTGTCTTTTTAGCTGGCACACTCGTGTTTGCCGCGGTAGCTGCACTGCTGTGGGCGATACTATCATTTGTCATCCTGGGCCCAATCTTCTTGGTCGCTAGCATGATGGGGGTATACGTCTGGAGTTGGGGCTTGGTTTTGTATGCCGTCATTAAATGGGTGGATAGCACGTTCCTGGGTGGAGTGATTAGCAAGTTCTGGCTTTCACAAGTGCCACCGAAGGACCAGCCCCAGGATGTTCAGGAGGACCGCGAGGGAACAGAAACACGAGAAGGAACAAAAGGAACCAATTGAAAGGACGCTCGGTCAGAGTGAGCCATACATCTCGAGAACATTACGCAGTGATCGGGACACGACGTGAATCGCCCCGGGCATCGACATGCAGTTTGCATGTAACCGTTTCTACCCTTGCTTATGCTCTTATACCTTGCTTTCCCAACTCTTCGTACACGATAGGGTTTCTTATTATCCGTCTCAATGAATATAATGGATCCCCGATGAACGGTACAATCGACGGGGGTAGCCATGGAGTCACCCGAATGCCAATTGGTAACAGACAATCAAACTAGTGGCGTGGTTAGTACTTGAAACAGAATGGCGGATGGCATGTTGCTGGATCCATTGTGTCCGTCTTTTTGCTCGCTGATCTTGGTGGCAACATTGGGGCTGGCTAAGGCAAACTGTTCATTTCAAGCGATATGCGATTCACACGATGGAGCTCTACTGTTCGTAGGTACACTAGTCGACTTTCTGGTGGTATTTAAAATGTACGCGGAATCTGGAATCTTGGCTGAATCGCGACGTTAACATTGAATCCTAAGGAAGGAAAGCGCAAGCAGTATTCACTGAGAAGGTAAGTGCCTGACGGGACGACCTTAGTAGTTACTCTAAATGTCCAATATTCGACTCATTGGACGATTGATCCGACTGATAACTGTTGAAAATTGGTGCAGGATGGTCAAGAGATGCATGATCACATCCTCACTTACAGAGATATAGAGAAAGCTTGGGGCCATTGCGCAGAAAGCCTCTACAAAAGGGATGAATTTGGTGAAGCTTTCAAATACGACGGTGTGAATGCGGGTAACAATTGATGTTACAATATATATTATGTTTGTAGATTAACTGCTATGGCTAGCTATGTCGTCGAGGAATCCCTCTGAGACGTACGCCCGATGCTCAAAGGGCTAATTGGATGGGTACCCTCCACACCTCCACTGAGAATGCTTCGCTGGGGGAATGTGTCATACATACAGCTGCATTCATTTCCCGAACAGGTGAATACAGACGGATTAGTGCAGATGATGGACCGGTGCCTTTCAACTGGAGTCAGACTGTGAAATAAACCATCCCCAGCGCCTCGCCGGCCCATCAGGCGATGGATATAACAACCATGAGCGGCCATTCCTAAAGGATAGTTGGCTAGCATTTCGTGGTCCTCATGATGTGTGCCCCTTAGACCGACAATACCACCGCCTGAGAAAACCACCTAGTCGCATCGCAATGAAGTTTAACCTCCAGCGTTATATCCAACCGCACCCAGCTTTACCAATGACTGACGTGCAGCTCCTCGGGTGGCAGCCCTGGATGTAACATTTGAGCACCACCTGAGAACGTACGCCAACCCGTTTTGAGTTCCACTCGACCCGTCTTGGAGCCAGTGCATATAGCCAAGCATACAACTACTGTGGGCACTCAGGAAGTTGAGTTGTTGTGAGTGGCTAGTCCATTTGGAGCTAATCAATACTTGGAAATTCCTGCTTGGAGAAAGCAGGTTGATGGGACAAATTAAAGGGTAATAGCGCGCCAGCACGGGATGGGAGGAACATTGTGCACGTAGAAGAAGAAAACAGCGAAGCCTGGTCGGTCAGAAAAAGGGAAATAGTGGCAGATCAACCTGCCGTGTCACAAGTCACCAATTCCGACTATGCACAGGCCCATTGAGTTCATAATGTACCGTGTCGCCCTTCTTCGCAACGTAGTCTGTGCCAATGATAAGCATCAGGTATATTTTCCGAAGTGCGGGGTGAAACCAGCCAGCTGATACACCGGTCGATCATCCCTTTTTCTTTGACCTTTGGGCAAGCTCGCTGAATGGTGAGAAAGTCCGAAAAACTCTGCCGGATGACCAGCTGCATGATGGTTGCCGACATGAGCGAATGCATGCAACTGCGGAGTTTTCACAGTGGTCTTTGTCCCTGATACACGTCTCACCTGGCAAATCGATCGTTCAAATAACCACATAACCATCTAGGTATTGCCTTGTGGGTTCTCGATGCTTTACGTCCTCCATGAGGGAGCCATAGCGTTACAGATGGCCAAGTCAATTCATGAGGAGGAAGAACATGCCGTGTAACATATTCGCCATCACTCGGTGGTCATCCAGAGTTCTGTACGCAACTCGGCTGAATGAACTAGAAAATGGGATAAAGCATGTGGCACAGCTTCAAGACTTTGCTGCATAGGTGGCGCACGGCAATCTCCATCTGGCGAATGTCAGGAGCCTCGCATCCCAGAGGTAGAGTTACACTTCAAACGTTTGTACAACACAGGCGGGATGGTCTGCCGAGGACTGGCTGAGAGTGTTGCAGTCGAGACTTCGTTCTGACTTGACCACAATGCGAGAAAGGGCGGGGCCAGAGTGAAATAATCCTCTGCCTTTAGGATTAATATATATATCCGTTCTGACGGCTAGAAAGCAATATGAACAAGTCAGTTACAGTGGAAACAGTGAGCCACCATGATTTGCAAATCTCTCTTTATCATTACAGGCCTGCTGGCAATAGTCTCTGGCCTCCCCGCGGCGACTTCGTTGATAGCTCGTGCAGAATCTAGCAAGTATGTGTTTGCTCACTTCATGGTGAGTTTGATGAGACCTTCCCCATGGATTGTTCGTGACGTAGCACAGGTTGGCATCGTTGAGAGGTATCAGTTATCAGACTGGATCGCCGACATGACCACAGCGCAAGCAATTGGCATTGATGCATTTGCCCTTAACTGCGCCAGCATAGACAAATACACACCCTCTCAGTTAGCACTAGCATACCAGGCGGCTCAGCAGGTCAACTTTAAAGTCTTCATCTCCTTCGACTTTGCCTATTGGAGTAACGGAGACACAGAGAAAATCACGGCGTATATGAGACAATATGCGAGTCATCCCGCACAGATGCAGTATAGTGGGGCTGCCATTGTCAGTACATTTGTTGGAGACAGTTTCAACTGGGGTCCTGTAAAGCAAGGGACCTACCACCCCATATGGGCCCTGCCTAACCTCCAGGATCCGGCGGCGGCGTCGAGTGGTGCTACGCGGTCCACCGATGGTGCCTTCTCCTGGTATGCATGGCCTACTGATGGAGGAAACAGCATCATACCCGGACCAATGACCACTATCTGGGATGAGAGGTTTGTTAAAGCTCTGGCTGGACAAACATATATGGCTCGTTTGTTTCCCACCCGTCTCTACACCTACAGATTTAACACCGCCTAGCGGTATCGCCGTGGTTCGCAACCCACTTCAACACCAAAAATTGGGTATTCGTCTGTGAGAACCTTCCAACGCTTCGTTGGGAACAGATGCTCCAGCTTCAGCCAAACCTGATCGAGATTATCTCATGGAATGGTGACTCGCCCTTCCAGAGACACCTCTCCAAAGCTAACGTATAGTAGATTATGGCGAATCGCACTACATCGGACCTTACTCCGCCAATCATAGTGATGACGGCTCCTCACAGTGGGCCGCAGGAATGCCCCACGATGCCTGGCGAGACCTGTATAAGCCTTACATAACAGCCTACAAGTCCGGTGCGATGGCTCCTATCATAGAGAAGGACGAACTTGTCTATTGGTACCGTCCTACGCCGAAGAACGTGGCTTGCACCGGGGATCCCCTACCTCAACCAAACGGGGTCAGCATGCTACAGGACAGTGTCTTCGTCGCTACCATGTTGACGAAACCAGCCACGTTGATCGTCACAAGTGGTTCCCATCAACCGGTCTCCATTGAGGTACCCGCGGGGATTGTCACATCGAATATCAGTATGGGCGTAGGTGTTCAGAAGTTCTCCGTGGCACGCGAAGGGAAGGCTATCATGAGTGGCACGGGTGGGTTGGAAATCAAGGACAATTGTAAGCATTGGAATTATAACGTTTATACTGGTTCGGTAGCAAGAGAGAATTAGAGCGCGGTGGATGCTCACGGTCAAGTGGGCACCAAGAGAACACAGCCATTGAGGATAATATATTCTGAGCCAGAGTAAGAAATGTTTGTCGAGTTCTATTAAAGTTGCCAGGACATGTGCCCAGACAAACACCCCAAACTAGACCAAAAGGTGGCATCATTCTGAATCTACGATTCAAATGTCATAGACCAAAGTACTTCTGGCCAAATGGACCGACGCAGGTGCCCAACGGCTGCCAAAAGGTAGGGCGCGAACAAGTGCGGGGCAGCCTTCATCGACTAGATCAGGATCTGACCTGGCAATAGAGTATGATCAAAGGACACCTCCCAGAGTCAGGTACGTCCAATCTTGCTCCATGAAGATCTCTATATGTCTCGAATGCTAACAATGGCTTAACCCTACAAGTTATCTACCACCTTCACCCCCCCACCCTTTTTCGGAACATTGTTTGCCGAGATGTCGAGCCTGTCAAGTCAAAAGACAGATTTAGTAAATTTTGGGTTCGACAATATGGACAAAGAAGCACTCACAAGATCGGTGGAGACCAAGGTTGGAGAAAAAGTCACATTTGACGAGCAAGAAGCGATGATCACGGACTTCGAGAGTGTTGCCTGGCCTGTCGCTGCCGCTCTTCTGATCAAAGAGAATGGAAGGGGTGGTAGGATTCAAGTCCATGAGCAATCGGGAAAGTGGGTGTTGACCGTGATGACGGGACCTCAGTTCAACGAGAAATACTCGCTCGTCTGGCTGAAAAAGGGTCAAAATCTGCGATTTTATGGGAAACCATCGGTCTGGTTTTTCAGACCTGCCAATCCCGGTGCATGAGCGAGTCTATAGCGCAACAGCCGTTCACTAAACGCCATGGACATGTTGATTTTCAAGGTGTCCTCTACACTGGGCCCACCATACCAAGGACAGATCATCTTCGCAGCAGATGAGTTCGCTGCTCGACGAATGATACGCCCAAGGCATAGATATCATTGTCCACTGCCTGACCAGATATTTCCCCGAACGTGTAGAAATCCGCCCCGTTCAAGTGAAACGGTCGACTCAATCGGTTGATCTGACGGTAGACCTAAGTTGAGTGCCTCTATGTGTTGTTAGTTTGGTCCATATTTACGCCATCTTGGGCATACCGATGGCTGTGCCGAATTGAACATTGGAATCCACTGTTTGTTGTCGATGCGGTATGGATGGCTCATTTATGCCATGGTGACCCATTATTAATCCAACCGGAGGGAGCTGTTTCCTTCATCGCGCTGGGATCGGCAAGGGCGATCTTCCAGAACAGCAACGGACAAGTCATTAGAACCACCCTCAAGCACGATACCACAGGGTGCGAGGGGCATGTCATTGAGCATGTGTAACACATAGAGTCTATCTCGGAACTATGCATCCATCGAGAAAAACTTATCTATCGAACCATACCCAAGAATCCTCATATTCTCGAATGTCTTGTTATCGGAGAACAAAGCCTCCGCTTTCCATTTATCGACTTAGAAACCTCCGTGACTACCTACAGGACAGGGGATTGACAATCATATTCGAGACCGATGGATTGGCAATGCTATCGACGCCATCAATTGGATACATACCTATGGTGTCATCCATGCTGATATCATCCTCACTTCGTCCTGCAAATTGATCCGAGGACAGCTTCGTTACATCACACCAGGATAGCTTTCGATCCCTTCTAAATTCCAATAAAAGGTACTTCTCCTGTGGTAACCACCGTAACCGTCTTCCTGGACTTAGAATTCTAAGATGCACGTCATTGCTATGTGAGATTCTGCAGGGTCTGAAGGCTGAGCGCAACAGACTTGCTCCGTCGCTTGCGCATCGACTTTGGGTATTTCCAATGGATCACCGGCAACCATTTCAGACTTAGAAGTGCAGTGTGGCAGTGCTCTTTCAAAGAACTAGGAGAGAAACTCCAGGGGTTCATTGGTTGGCAGTAATACAAACTGAGAACAAATGGTAGTGCGGCAGGTTTCGGTTGAAGTTGTTGCGTCCCATCGTTGCCGTTTAGAAGATTCTGTATTTGGCGTGCCAGGTAGTCGCTTGCTCCATCCTGGCTGGTTTGTATCGTCCGTGGAGCACTTTTGCTGTGGGCCTCCAGTAGGAGACTGGTTTGGCTCTGCATCGTTATCCCTGCGTGGATGGTTGTGAAGCGAGCTATGAAACAGAGAACTTCATGAGTTTCGGGATAAGCATTGGAGTGTGGGTACCGGGCAGGGGTGTCGTAGAGAAGGCCGGGGGTCAGAATACGAACAAATCGTCTCCGAGATAACGACATCGCCCACATGAATATGTTGGTTCTCATCTTCCATTCCCCAGAGCCCATTGTTCGCGAGGATCACTGGGACGATCGGAATGCCATTGGGTTCATGTGTTGGTTGAATGAGCTCTTGCCAGCTCTGGTCCGATCTGGATACACTGGGTCTGAGTATATATCTTTTGTTATACTCTGAGCAGAGGTTGCCTAAATCGGGTCAACAAGGTATCGTGCACATCCCGCGATGTGACTAGATTCAGATTTGATGATGGGTTATTTTCGTTTCTTCTTTCTGGCGACAATGCGGGAGTCGAGGAATGTCCTGGATCTTAATCTGTTCATCAGCAGCTGAGTGAACCTGTCGATTCGCAAGTCCTGCGAAGAATGAGAACGGCCATGGTTCGGTGTCGCTGATTAGGGTCTCACGATATTGCAAGGACGCAGTTCGAGGAACATACATATTGACTATACAAGCAGATAATTGTGATGGTAGCTGGTGATGACATATCGAGCGAAACGCCGCATAGATTGGCCATCCACCAGGGCATGGTTGACTTTCCAATCACACATCACGCTTTCCCCCACTTAATACGCCCAGCATGAGTGCCCAGAGAAGCAATGTGGGGAATTCGGTGAAGATATCGGCTTCTCTTTGTGTGACCTGAATGCATTCCAAAGTATTTTGTGGTAAGTGTCGAATGGGAAGTGGTACACTCTTGAACAGAATTTGATAGTAGCAGCCATCTCGATATCGACGGCCAGCTGCTGCCACACATCTTCAAACCGAATTAGGTCGGCTGTGTAGTTATCTATGGACCTGATCTCCCATGCTATCGAGGAACAGTATGCCAGACTCCATAGGGTCCCGAGCTTGGCTGAGCAACATGCCCGGCGGGAGGAAGAAAACCAGGCATATATCCTCCATCTCATTCTGATATTGAAGCTGGCGTTGAGCTAAACTGGTATCGACCAGAGTGATTAAACGCAGACGAGTCTACAGACAGCCGAGGAAAATCCCCAGCGGTCCCGTGGACGCCAGGTATGACTTTTGGAGGCGAAACCACTCGGAACGGTATGAGGGAATATTGCCGAGCTCCACCATGCTGACCGGATTGGTTCCGAGGGGTCTTGATCTCGGGAAGGAGACTCGGGACGAGGCAAGGATCGCCCACCACGAATACCGCAACCAGCAATCTACAGTACCAAGCTAAGCCTTCTTAGTAGTGGGGTAACATCCACAGTGAGGCACCCCGTGGGACTGAATCATTGTTCTCGGGGAAGTTTCCGACCCTGGAACCGGCTCGGCATCTGAAATCTTTGAACCCAATAGCCGCCTCCTCTGATGCCATACCGGAGACCTGCACAGGCTTACTTACGGGGGAGTTGAAGGCCCCTACCTTTTGCAAATATTCTCAAAGAACTATTGGGATCAAGTCTTTTAAGCAACCAAAGGCCCTCGCTCGACTCTAGTATGTAATCGAGTGCCAACCCGGGTATTGAGTAGGTTACCCAGGATCCATGCCTGGAACTCCTAAGTGGAGTTGGAAAATCAGCAACCTCCACATAGAATATGGAGGGTATTCGCTTAGCCTGCGAGACTGGGGATATGATGTAACCTGGTCGAATCCCACAGAGGGGGTGTTTTCCGGGGAAAAGCTTTCATGCGCTGCGTGGCTATATAGAGCGCGCCCTTTCCCTCAGAAATGCGTACGTCCATCTGTCGACGAGCATTCGAAGCACAGTCGTCCAACTGCGCCATGAACCTGTGGCTTCTTACCCTCTGGGTCACTTTGGTGGCTGCCTGGGTCGACAACCAAGGCACAACATGCGTTTTGTACCCCGAATCTCTTGCTCATCCCGGACAGGTGGTGGATGATTCCCCATCAATTCAACAGGCCTTTGATCTGTGTGGCACCAACGGGACAGTCATTTTTTCAGAGAATGTTTTCCACGTCAACACAGTTCTCAACACAACCAATCTGTTGAATTGTGATGTTCGTCTGCGGGGCGAGCTACGCTTCTCTACCAACATTCCCTACTGGAGAACTCATTCGATCAGCGTTGTTCTGCAGGATCAAGTCACTGCATGGCTCTTCGGTGGACACAACGTGAGCTTCTATGGCGAGGGCGGCTTCTACAACGGCCAGGGTCAAGCTTGGTACAATGCCAACCGGAATGAATCGAACCAGGCGGGGCGGCCGATGAGTATGACGATCTACAACTCGACCAACCTGCTGGTCGATGGACTGCGCGTGATTCAACCACAGTTCTGGGCCACATTTGTGTGGGCGAGCAAGAATGTGTCCTTCACGAACTTGTTTGTGAATGCTACCAGCGACAGCGAATGGGGCACAATGAACACCGATGGTTTCGATTCCTGGCAGAGTGACAACCTGCTGGTGGAGAATGCCACCATTATCACTGGCGACGACTGTATCGCAGCCAAGGGAAACACCACCAACCTACTCGCGAAGAATATTTATTGCGAGGGTGGCACCGGTATTACAATTGGGTCTATCGGTCAATACCCCGACATGCCCGACTATAATCTCAACACCACCTTTGAGAACGTGACAATCAAGAATGCCATGGATGGCGCCTACATCAAGACCTGGCAAGGCACACGCATCTTCACTCCCAGCAACGGCGACTGGGGTGGCGGTGGAACCGGGCTGGTCAAAAATGTCACTTTCCGCAACTTTGAAATGGACAATGTCGGACTTCCGATCCAGGTCTCCCAGTGCGTTTACTCCGCGGGATCCAACAAGAGCTGCAATACCTCGACGTTGCAGATTGAAGATGTGAAATGGGAAAATATCCATGGCACATCCCGTTTCAACATCGCTGCGTCGATCTACTGTTCGGATGAGCGCCCATGTCCCAACATGACTTTCGAGAATGTGAACATCACAAGCCTGAATGCCACCCGGGGTCAGGCTTATTATGACACAGATACTCAGTACGAGCTGTTTCAGTGCACGAATGTCGTTGGTCAGAACAGCTCCGGGATTCCTTGCAACCAAGCCGCTCCCAGCAACTTCAGCCAGTGGATCTATGGAAATGTTGATAGCTCGGGGCTGGCGACCGCGCTTTCAGGCCATGCAGGGAATTAATTCATTTCAATGTTTACCATCACCCGTACCTTATACTGCGAGATAGTTGTCTACATCGACCACACGATCAAGTTCAAGATGATACATGAACGACAATGAACTTTGGCCGCTCGACGATGCGGCAAAACTAGTCGAGGTATTACGAATAGGAGAGGCGAAAGAAAAAAGTAGAATAACGTTAATGAAGCTGTTTATACTATGACTCCTGTTTTCGTGAGCTTATCTTGCGATAATATCACCTGAAATTACTTACTACATGGTCGAGAGCATATGTGGTCGAAGCAGATATACTTACAATAAGTTGACCCATCATGAATTTTGATTCTTGTTCTGATCTACAAATTGAGAATCGCTATAGCTCTATTTATAAGATGCAGAAAGCTTTTGTTGATATCGCAGACCTGGTTCTGTGTAGTATCTAATTGCATGTCAGACAGGCAAATTCTCCTCACGGTTGCCTTTGTCACGAGGGCAGGTATTTAGCATGTACGTCGTCGCTCTGGGGCTGAGTCACAACAAATTTATAATGACAGGTAAATATTCAAGTGTGCTATACGGGCTTTTTCGGTCGGAATGACTATTGGGGTGCTTCTTCAAGCCCTCCGAATTCCTGGAAACGTGGCTGGTGTTCGAAGCGACCAATGTATAATAAATACAACGACACCTGTCAATGACATTTCTCTCCATTGTGGATGAGATTGTTGTCACGTAGCCACCCAGTCTCCTACACGTTGTTGAACACGTTACTCTGGCAATTCACCCTTAGAATATATAAATATCCATCATGAGCAGTCGAACATTATCGGTAAGATGCGGTATTCTTCAACAAGCCATGACATTCAAGGGCTTTTCAATCAACAAAGGTCTAATTTTCGATCTGTAGGTACAGTAATCCAGACCCTAACATGACTATTGCAAGTAGCATTCCAGTGTACACCGGAGTAGGAACCCACACCCTGCAGATAATGAACCTATGTTTCCGGGATGTGTACAAGAATCAGCTGCCTTATAAGAGCAAGTCCGGCTTCAATCAGAGCCACTGCGGCTTCCTCAGCATGGTCCCCAAGCCAGCAAGATTCCTATCCAGCGTTTCATACAGCGCCATGGCTGGAAGGACCACTCAGATGCCAGTGTGTTTCCCAAACAGACAATCAACCGCTACAGGGAAAACGTAACCCCCCTTCCCTCCCCACCCGTTCTACATCTCTCCCATACGACTGTGCGCTAACAACCATTAGTTTGGGGTGGAAGCAACCCGTAGTTGCCAGCAATCGCATGAAACTCAACAAATATCACAGAAAATGATGCGCTGCGTTGAAGAATATCCGCACGATAATCAACGTCTTCACGTACCTGAACGATGCCGAGGTTGACAAGATCTGGGTCAAAGTATCCCATGACATTTGCTTTGAACTTGGACTGGCAGACCAGGTGTGGCTTAGTAAATGGAACATGTCCACTCTGATTTACAATCACCGCGCTAAATGGATTCGGGGCCATATGGACCGCATGGTCAGCGAAGGTGAAAAATGGGCCAGGTTGCACATCGTGGAGATGAGGCACTATTGGGGGACGAGCACGTACAGGAATGCCGAACTCGTGCTCAAGAAACTGAACGAGCTGGGGGTGGGAGACGGTCAGAAATAGAAATTGTGAGGACGGGGCTGGAGTAGGGTGACGGGGTGTATATAGATCCAATATAGGCCGAGTGTGGCCTATCTCTGCATCACAACGTTGTTGGGAATTCTTGTACCATCTCAGTGTAGATTCTTCATGGGCATCGATCTCCATGCTGCCGAGTTAAGAATAGGATTCTCCTCGCGCGAAGGTCCCTCATTGCCCTGTGTCTGTTTGTCACGCTGTCCGTTTCACTCGACATCTCTTCCCATCGCAGACAAACACTCTGGCACTCTGCATCCACCATGAATCTCAATTTACATATGGAATCATTCGGCCCCGGCGCTGATTCCTATATCCAAACACAGCCCGCCCTTTCAGCCACGTCCAAGTCGGGATCAGTGCGGAAACGTACGACCAAGCCAGCTTCGCCCTTTACGAGGCCGATCTCTACGAAGGCCCGCAGATCCACGAGACCATAACAACATACGAATCTTTCACATCCAGTGCCCGAGATGCGATCCCACCTGGGGATACTTCGTCTTCAAGGTCGTGGAGGTCTGCTTTAGTGAGGATGCCAGTGATCGGAGTGACAACGATATGACGACGACGGCAACGAGGATGATGAATCAAGTTACTGCGAGGTGGGATACTGCCGGATCCCATCGCTGGGCAGGGTTTGTATGATTCTAACGATGGACTCGAATACCAGAGCCATGGAGGATTTGCATCCCATGGATGACAACTTCCCCCAGCTTCGACAACATGTAGAGGACTTTCCATTTACCGGTAGAGTAGTTTAATAGGAGCACTGGACCAATAGATGGAAAATATGTGTTCAGAGGCTGTTACGTTGTTTGAGGGGTAAGGACCAAACCCTACCTGGCATTGGCTCCGATACAGGAACAGAAACACAGAACGGTCCATAATATCTGGAACATGACCAACCCGCGCGTTCGTCCTAGTAGAAGTAGCGGTCAGAATGGGAGGAGCGTCTTCTGCCAAGTGGCCACAACTTGTCCTTCCTCCGGATTGTTGACACGGCCAGAGATGTAAGGGGCGTAGTTCGCTTTGGGATCCACTCTGGGATGGGGCTCTCTTCCCGGCTCTTCCGGCTCTTCCGGCATAGGAGATTCGATGATGAAGGGGCCGAGGCTCCACGTCCAAGAGGGGGCAAACATTCAATGCTTGTTCGTATGCCAAGGCATAGTATTACTGGTCCGATCCAGCTTCATTGGAGTCTCTTCTTGATAACAGTACTCTTCTGAGATGAGTGCCTCTAGAGTATACACGCATTTCAATGATGTAGTACTTTGGAGAGTGATTGTATAAAATACAGTAGGTACTCTGTTCCCTCCATCTGTGATATGGGATTTCTTCTTACCGGGTTTTCACTGCCGGGGGAATTTTGTACTAGACCAGGAGAGTATTAGCCTAGCATCTCAGTTCTTCACACTTTCTGGTCAACATCTTGTATACGGATGTGGTAATCGAGATGCTCGGGCTAGCAGGTTAACTAGATCTGGTGCTGTTCACTACTATCATTGGGTCCCACTTAGTTGTGGAGATCAGCTTTCCTCTTCTGCAGTCTCCACTTGAATTTATGACTTCGACATTGGTCAATCTTATCGTGGGGGCCATATCTTAGGAAAAGCTACGTCTAGCTGCATATACGCCGTACAGCATGATGATGCACCCCATATTATCAGGTCGGCGACAGAGAAAGGGGCTCCAGAAGGGTATAAAATGCAGCGTCCTGACCTGAGGATTCGAGTTATCCAGCTTCTCCAAGACCACTTGTTCTCTATCCCGACTGTTCATTATGCGCTTTACTTCTGCTTTCCTGGTACTCGCAGCCGCCATCAGCGCCGCCGCAGACGGTGCTATTGGCATTACGGTGTGCGATGGTGCCAACTATGCTGGGGACTGCATTGACATTCAAGTCTACCTTCAGCACCAATGCTGTTTGTGGCCTCCCTCAACAAACCTGTCATTGTTATCGCTAATTCACTGATCACGTATAGACAATTTGAACGGCACTCCCGTCTCAGGCAATGTCCGGTCGGTTAAAATCCCTAACGGGTACCGCTGCCGCTTCTGGACGTATGTATCCTCCCCTAGTGTTTGAGTAGGAAGATCCTAGCTGACTTGTACTTTCTTTCAACAGGTCAACCGTATGCAATGGCGGCGGTACAGGCGATATCCAGTACCCAGGTCAAGGTTCAACTAGTCCACCGAGCGTAAATTCCGTCAAGTGCTACGCGGACTAGTGGTGGACTATATAGAAATTGTATCAATCTAGCTATACTCCAGCGATTAGATATCACGAACTCTATCAATATAACCTAACCTGTCCACACACCAGTCTAGTTGTACTATACATCGCTAGCCTAACAAAACAGACAAGACCCTTCAATGGACTATTTGGTTTCTCACATAGCAGCTCGAAGTTACAGTAATACTCTGCACTACAATTTTGATGTACAGTGATCTGCGAAATCAGCCTGCCCCCCTAGAACCTATGTCACTATGTGTCGCTTTTTAAATGTATTCTCTCTAAGGTTCATAAGCTTGGTAGTAGGGTGAAATTTTACATGCATTGTAATGATATACACAGCGACAAAGAGCTTTGTGAAAAGCCATAAAGAATGATTCTTTAGGTGCTAGGTGTCACATAATCGGCTATCGTCTCCTTGCAGCATGCTCCACCTCGCTGACAGTTTTATATTCACCGACCACCCCGATTGAATCCTTCTAAGTCCTGTGGTAGAGCGCAGGCAGAATGGAGGTCTTCCAGAGACCAGGTTTCTTGTGTCTGTTGACGACAATCGTTGAGCTCAGAAGAATGACTCCAAGCAGAAGTTCCATAACGGGAAGCGTCAACCAGGGTCAATTGACCATAACATAGGACTCTTCGTTAGAAACGAATCGAATGGCCACTTTTATCGGAGTTATCCCGCGCAAGTATCGACAGCGAAGTAGCTAAACTCTGGGTTGCTTTGCTGTGAGGAATTATAACTTACGGCTTTATTTCTGCAAGCCTATCAGAGTGCCTGGTTAGGTCCCAACTGGAGTACCCCAGAAGTTGCCATTTATCAATGCCAAATGAGGAAGAATCCCCAACGCAAAATGCTATGTCAGCAGCCTTGACGTATTGTCCACCATTGGTTTTAAAGTAGTCTCCAGAGCCACCATATGGTGACATGATCACAGGTTTCCAACATAATGGCCATCCAGGCTGATGATGTGTCCTCATATTCTCGTATTAGCCATAGTCTTCGGACTGAGCCAAGTGACCGTGTGCCACCATATAAAATGGGTTCTCAACCCCCAAATACGTTTCTTGGTAAGGGAGATGTTGAAACCCGTTACCCGATTCCCTTTATAGGTGAACCCAATACTAGAACCTTCAGCCCAGTGAAGTGTGTCGACACGCCAAATCCTATGGATTAATACATTGTATGCACCGGGATCGTTCGCATACATTGCGTGAATCTCTTCCGCAGCCCACGAGCCCTGTGGTAGAGAGACATTGTATGAAAGAGTATGGTCCCTGGTCAGACTGGTGTTCAAAGAGGCCATGTCGCACGCCACCAGAGTAGCGTCAGAAGTACCATCTTCACATTTACTACACCATTCAGCTGATTGGGGGAGTGGCCATGAACAATTCCCTGATGAACAGACCGGGTCAATGGCAAAGTCATTTGACCAGAGAGGAGCATTTGAGGCGTATGTAAAAGCCTGATTACCTTCTCCGACGAAATATGACTGTTTGACGCTTGTGCCGGGCGAAAGTCTCATGAGCCCGTGAAGAGGATACTCTATGATCTGCTGCACAAAGGGATCAAATGCATGAGGCAGAATCGTGATGAAAACCCCGACCGTCACCAGGGTGCTACACTTGTTTCGAAAAAAAAAATCGAAACGGAGCCCAAATGGTCCTCGACTAGCATGGTCGTAGGCCTGGAGGTAGATGATAGGCCTCAGAGTTCGAAAAGCAAGCCACTTTAGTTGAACGAGACATTTCCCGGCGCGTAAGGCCTAGGTCCCGTCGGAGGAATAGAAATAACAGTGTTGACCGTAGCCCCATATAGAAGATCTGTTACTGCCTGGTTTGCGTACACACGCAGAACACAAATCATTGTGGCGAAGCAAACGATCGAGAAGCAAAGACTAGCTTATCGCGTAGAATCACTAATCAAGAGCTATCCGGCTCCAACCCGATGGTGAGTTATTGGCCAGCTCACTGCCATTTTTCTCCTGTTGGCTGCTGGCTTGCTGGAGGCAGGGTGCGTATTTGGTCGACGGACGTCGTGTTTTTCTTAGGCCGAAGTAAAAGATAATGGCAAGGATTACACAATTCTAGATTGACACATCACTTGTATGAGGAGATCGATAATCCCAGTAGTGCTTGTTCCCAGGTACGTCTTATCATCTGTGCTGCTACATCATGCATCAGCAAAATGGTTTCCTTTATTTCTCATTTGATCTGGGACAGTAGAAATTGAACGCACCAAATTCCTTCTTGCTCTCCGCAATGTGACTGTTTTGCTGCGCCTGCTATACCGAAGGATACCGATTGAGAGACGTTGTGCCGGCGAAAGTATAGGGTGGAGCTCGTTGGTGGTCGACGGACCGTAGTCATTACTAGATTCCACGGGCGGCACGAGAAAAGTGCCCAGCGAGTTCTCGTTCGCATCTGGAAGAATCTTGCTGCGCGCTTGAAACTCATCTGAGGTAGACGCGATGAACTTTGGCAAGCCGTAGATGTTTTGACAGATAGCGTTTCTCAACTTGAAATGCGCCGGCTTCATTTTGTCACTCAAGAATGAAAGATACATGTAGATATATCAAGATATTGGTAAGGTGTTCCGGCCGCTAAGCGGTCCCATACCACTTGGTTGTTCAGGCTTAGATAGCTTAGATACTCACCATCAATTCAAGGATTCATGACCAAGGAGCCACTATTACCTTGGCAAAAGAAGAAATAAACTCAACGCTACGTACTACTTGCGAGGACACCGCCCACCTCTCGCTTGAGCTTAGCAACCATCCTGGGGCAGTAACTTCGGATCGAACGCATGCAAAGTGCCCGTCCAACAATTCAAGAAATTAAGCCCTCGCGGGGGGATCGGCGTTACCGTCGCATGTTTGGTCATCTCCACAAGTGGCCATGTCGGCGAAAGCCGCAGCGCGTACGCTCGGGTTAGGCGAAATTCATCAAGCGGCAGCGGACGGTAGATGCGACGGCGGGACTCGGCCAACTTCATGTAATCGGCCAGCCCCCGGGGTGTATTGATATGGTACTCAACCTTGTTTAAATAGGATTTAAATCGGGACTTGACCGTGTCCGGTGACGGTGGCGAGCGTTCGTCGTATACAGCGAGGAATTGCAATTCGGGTGAATCGGTCTCAGGGGAGTGGCAGGAGGCGCGAATGTTCGCCACAAAGGCAGCTTCCATGTCGTATTTCCCGTTGACGAGCTTTTTGGTGCGAGGGAGATACTGCATGAGCACACGATGACGCCAGCTATAGACAGGGTTATAGAAGTCCAGGAGGAGAATAGACCAGAGGAGCCTTTGGCTGACTAGAGTGTTGGGTAGATTCATAACCCCGTGGCATCTTCGACAGAGGTTTGCAAGGTGGTAAAGTAGATATCTTTTGCCCTCGTTATCCTGGACTAGCAGGGAATTTCGGACGTCGTACGAATTTGTCTGCTTGCCGCCCCCCAGAGTACCCTCGTGAAGTTTCACCAATGGCACGCTGCCTAGTGCTGGAGCTTCGGAAGGCCATTCCTGCAACAGGCTCAGGCGCAAGTTCTTAATGGCGCTTTGATAGTCGTCATACCTAAACTCGGGCGAGAAGTCGGCTAGGGGACGCTGGTTTTCGTCTGTCAGTAGGGAGCAATTGGCAAATGATAGGAAAACCGAAGAAACGTACGTTGAAATCCGAGAATGTGTCCTTGAGCAAGAGCTCAAAGTTCATAAATAGATCAAGGGGGGCTAAAGTCAAGCTCCCTGCTGGTGAGAATTTGTTATCTTCTGTGGTGGCAAAGGCAACCACTTTGGAACCTGTCGCGATATTAATGGTGGTTGTGAGGAGCAAATGAGCCATCCAGCGATGAACATTGGCTGGCTCCGGCTTATACTGTCCATTAGTCTTTTTGAAGTCATTCTCACAGCGCTGCTGAAACCAGCTGGAGATCAAACCCGTTATAATGTCTTGCTCGAGCTGCTCGGCACTCCCTGCTCCACCCAGGGGATTCCATTGCGCGGGGGTGAGATAGTCGAGTTCTGTGAAAAGCTTCAACTGCTCATCACTCAGGCATTGCGTTATGTTGGTCCCGCGTGACTTCCAGTGGCACCAAAGCCTACACAACGTCATCAGTTACCGCTAAAAAACTGTGACCCAGGAATATGATAGTCACCTATGAATTTCTTTCATAATGCATGCTCCATTAACATGACCATAGAAGGGACCAAGATACGACATGTCGTAATCTGATCCATCTGTGAACGCATTGAACGAGTTTGCTTGATACGTCCATTTTCTGTTTATTGGATTACCGTTATTATCTTCAACCTATGACCGTGGTTAAGGGCTGATCCTCAGAACGGGGGGAATGCCTCTCCTACAGCGTAGTAATAAAAGGCCTTTCCATTCCACGAGGCAATTTGTAGGAAGCGATCCGGACTGTGCACCTCGTCTAACCCCACTATGAAGATTACATCATTTGTTTGGCTCTTGAAGTCCACTACTCCCAATATACGGCAGTGGGGATTGAACCAGCAATTGCCTTTATTGTGTAACTTCGATCGGTCAACATGAGCACCATTTGCAATCATGAACATGCTCAGATTGCATTTGGCAGGGATATTACACAACTCTAGAAATAGTCAATATAGAGTGGGCAAATCATCTCTGTAAGATGGCGGCAGAGCTAAAACACACAGTAGTAGTAGGAAAGTACCCCATCAAGTGTATTGAGCGTCCAATGTGAGTCCTGCTGCAGGAATTGTCCAAAACTGTCTTTCAGCATCTGCTGCTGCCGCTGGATCGTTATCAAGGTATCTATGTCTGGGCTAGAGACTCGAGTGAACTGGCGATGCCAGATTGCTGGTGTCGTCATTTCCAGAGACGGACTGAGAGGAGGGAGGATGTCTGACGAATGCTCTGTGGTCGCACTTGAAGACGTTCATCGGGGATATATATGCATGTTCTTCCACTCCATGAATGGGCTTGCGGTGAGTATCACCATATGGGACAAGGTAGTCGATCAGCCTCAACCAGGGGTGATGAGTTGTTCTATCCCGTGAACAAGTACACAGTATATCCAAGATTGCCCTCAGTTCTGGCCATATTCATTCTCAGTTTTCGCGCAATATCTGTCACGGCCAATGCCTGAGGGTACAATTACCCCCACTGTCTGTAAGCTTCCAGCCACCGAAGTGGTGGTAGAATCAATTGATGGGTGGTAATTAGTTGCTTTATCCAGTGAACAAGTAGGCATGCAGTGTATGCAAAGTTGCCTTCAGTTCTTGTGAGACTTTTCTTTTCTCTTTTCCTTTTTCCTTCGGATTTCAGCTGATAATTTTCAAAAGTCAACCCAAGTGAAGAAGGCAATTGTGCATAAGCTGAGTTGTAACTGGGCTTGATATGCCAATGAGTTGCCCGTTACAGTAACATGCATGAGTGGTTTTTGGCAAACCCCTCACGCCCATTCAGCTGCGCCTTTTCCTCCTATACGACATCTGGGCCACTGGATAGCCCTAGCCCTCTCGCCAGAAAGTGTTCACATTAAATGAGAACCGCTCTCATTGAGAGTGATGACATGGGCTTACGAATCAGGTGGTGGTCTTTCTAAAATTCCATTGGCCCAATTTGCAAGGCGCGACGCGATGGTAGATCGGGTAGGGAGATCAGCTTCATCTGTCGGGCAAAGATGCAGCATCTGACAGCTGCTATGTGTTGAAGCAACATCTAGAGCGTCGCATCATGTACTCTGCCTGAGTCTCGGGAAGTTGACCCATGCCAGACCCCGACGAGACCCGGCAGGGAAAGTCGGGGTCTGTACAGTGACAAATGCAGCACGCTTCGGATTCGAAAAGAGTGCCTGATCCACCATACTAGACACAGTGATGGCCTATAAATAGTTGCACGCGCACATTTACCTTTCATTCTCAATCAAGAACCATCAGCTACGAAAACATCATGACCACCCCACCCGGCACGAGCCACCAGGCAACCTGTCTGACCTTACCGGCGATAGCAAGGATAAATGGTCTAAGGGCTATATTTGCCATTGGATGCAGGGTGAAATCAAGGCTGATCCTCGCGTTGTCGGTGCTGGCCGTACGCCTTTGACCCAATTCTTTGATGGGACTGTCACACCGTTTAATCAACAGGACAAACCGCTACCTGACTCGTCCCGGGTCGTCCAGGACGAGTATCTGGAGTGGTCGGTGAGCCGGGGTCCCCGAAAATACACTGGAGATATTTACAGTGTGACCTTTAGTGCGGAGGGGCCAGAGGTATGTGTGTCATAGTGCATCTCGCTCGGTGCTGTTGAGATCACTAACGTTGAAACAGTATTGGCAACTTCTGGCTAGTTTCCAGAAAGGCGACTTTCTCAAGCTGACGAGAGATTTCAACTCGGGCTTTACCAGCCAAATGAGTGACAGCGACTTCTTCCTCACCGACCCTATGACCAAGAACGAAGTCTACAACCCTGGAAATCAGTGGAATTTACTCAGTATAACGGGCACCATTGCCCATCTCATCCAGGCCAAGAACACCCTCTCGGCCGGGATTGATATCGGCGTGCAGGCAAGAGTGATCCGCAAGGATGATCAAGGCAATGTCATCGAAGACAAGGACGACCTGATCAATTGCTCCAAATACGGCAACCCAGGCAGAAATTCCGATCCAACTGTAAGGCACTCCTCTGTTTTGTTTATTGTGGGTTTCAAGTCGGAGGTTTGCTGAACATGGTGGCCACAGATCGGAAAGGCAATCAATGACTTGGCTTGCAAAGGTGCAAGCCTCACCGTCGCTGAGCCAGCTGCGCTTTACATCCGCAACTTCGACACGAGGAACTTTCAGTTTCACGTCAACAGCACATCGGACCACGCCCTACCTGACCCTAAAGATCTGAAGCCGATTGAGAGACCGGAATAGGTGTTCCAGTGGCAGCGGGGCGACATCAGCACCAAACACGGCCTTCGGATCAAGTTCGAGGTCCCAAAGGACCGATTGGATAAACACGGCAAACCGCTCCTGGTCAGTAACATCTACGATACCAGAACCAAGTGGCACATCAAGTACGGGGCTCAGTTTGCCGACTACTTCACCATGGGAATCAGCGCCATGGGTGTGAAGGGCAAAGCGGCGAACCCTGAGAAATGCTACCAGCCTTCAACGAAGGCCGCTGCCTCGGTGAAACCATCTTGTGCGGAGTTCGATGGCTTTGCCCATCCCGGATTCGCGGGTGCCCCTGGTCCGTCTCGTGCTTAGGCCAACGCTCTAGTACATGAACAGGAAATTGTAAACCGAAAAGGGTAAGTATAGGATTCTAGGGCAAATATTATACCAACCTATGGCATCTATTTTTCAAGTACATTGTTCTGATCAATATATACAAGTAGTATATATAGTAGTAATTCTTTGCAGTTATAGACCCATATATATAAATATACAGGCCATGGTCCCTTGCTTCGCTCGGGCGGCTTAATATTTAACTTAGTAATATCTAACATATGATTGTGAAGGTACACTAGACAACGGTCTGTAACACCTACGTGGAGTCACGAACACCAATACCCACGGCGTCGTAGTTTGTTTAATAATCCCGAGAAAAGGTTGGAAGCGTATTCAATAGTGTGTTAACCCTACTGGAAGCATATGGAGGAAGAGGGGGGAGTATGCGCGATACTGCTCTGCGAGCCAAGACGGTGGAAGACTTTCCTGAAACATCCTAACGGTTCCGAAGTCGCGCGCCATGAGGGCAGCAACCTAAAAATAACAGCTATAAGGTGCACCAGGCCACAGCGAGGCTTTAAGTTCGGGTAAGACGTGGTAGACGACACGTGTACATACGTTGATATATAGTTATGGTAGGCTGCATATCCATCCATCCAAACTGTATGGTTCCGTCTCCGGGAATTCCACATTTTGCGGTGTCCAACTTTAGGTTTTTCTCCTTCTCTCCATTGGAGGATATTTAGAATCCTTCCGGGGACATGGCGCGGGGTAGTGTCCGTCCGGGGTAAAGCTGACCGAGCCCTAGCCCGCAAATGACATGACCCGAGCCGTGGCCAACTGTCCAAGATCGAGAATATTTATCTTGGATCCTGCACGTCCAATTGCCCCCCAGTGAGAATGGTATTCTATAGAGATAGAGGGATCAAGCATCATAAGCAGCCGACTTCATGTTCGGAGGCCAGCGTTTGACGACGTTCTGAATGGGTCACGTTTGCTGAACATGTGCCCTCCGTACTCGATACCCGGAGCAAGCCCAGCGCCAACTAAGAATTAGCGCTTATCCTCACCCAGCTCCTGGGTTAAATTGAGTCGCTCATGATGATAGGCTCAAGCAGAGTTGAACCCCTTGGTAGGGAATCAGGAGGGTCGGATGACTCGCACTAACTGAAAGGGGGATTGTGGACTCTTCCCCCTACAACCCAAAGCAGGAATTTTCCGGCGAGTAGAACGCCACCAATATGCTTAAGTTCAGCGGACCCCGCAAAGGAACCAGTACATTTCCTCCCGGCTAATATCTAGGGGCCCAAGCATAATCAAGCGACGCGGCTACCGTAGTGCCAGGAAAAATGACCCTCCTGATTGAAGAGGTTGGCTCGAGGAGGTCAAGGTCCGGAGCAAGCTTCACTCAATTGAGCTAAGATCGGGATCACCATCACGAGGCTATTGTCGCAGGTATAAAGATCTAAAACTCCCAGTCGTGCCTGCATCTCTTTCATTCCACTCGTTTCGCCCAGAAATCGTCGACATGAATGCTGACACAGAGAAACAGACCGCAGCGTCGGAGGTTGAGGCGCAGCCTACCTCCAACCCCGGGCCTGTTTACGATGTCGACAAGAAGGTCGACTACGACAGAGTCGGCGCTCTGGAGGCTGAGCAGGTCGAACATAATATGACTGTGCCCCAGGCTGTCATGGCCTATCCCGCTGCCAGCTGGTGGGCCTCGTGATGTCATGTACTATTGTAAGCTCTTGCCCAATGATAGGCAGATCATTTCCCTAACGTGTGCCATAGATCCTGGAGTCATACTGTGTTTTCCTAATGGGTCAGTTCATCGCCACAAAAAAATTTGCCGAGGACTTTGGGGTATACAGCGAAAAAACCAATACATGGATTATCGAAGCTTCATGGCAGTCAGCATTCCAGTGTAGCGGGCCAATCGGTTGCATCATAGGTGTATTCATCGCAGGTCCCATTACCAGTTGGATTGGATATCGATGGGCAACTATCGGCGGTCTCATGGCCTTGAACGCCTTCATCCTCATCTTCTATTTCGGCAACAGCAGGGGATGTTTTTCGCGTCTCAGATCATGGAAGGCATCCCGTGGGGCATTTTTATCGCTAATGCACCCGCCTACTGTGCTGAGATCGTGCCGATGAGATTGAGAGCTCCAGCGACGCAGATGTTGCAGATGTTCTGGGCGATTGGGTCGATCATAGTCGGCGGGATCACATACCACTACCAATCCAAGTCTGATTCCTCAGCGTACAGGTTCGTCCGCTCGCATAGATGCCATCGAGGAGCACTGTACTAACAGTTGTCCTAGGGTTCCCATTGCACTCCAGTGGATGTTCCCTACCCCCCTCGCTATCCTACTCTTCATTGCGCCTGAATCCCCTTGGTGGCTCGTCCGAAAAGGCCGTCTGGCCGAGGCTGAGAAGGCTGTCAAACGACTTGGACGTGCGAGTGCAACTGATAATCCGGCTGCCGCAGTGGCAATGATGCGTCGCACGATCGAACTCGAGGCAACCGAGAAGAAGCCCAGTCTCATTGAACTGTGGAAGGGTACCGATCTCTACCGCACATTGATTGTGTGTGGTGTGTATGCATCGCAGAACCTGACAGGCAATCTGATTGCAAACCAAGCGGTGTACTTTTTCAAACGTGAGTCAGCCATGTCGTGCAAAGCCATACCAGACTAACACCAGCTCAGAGGCCGGCATGGCAGACAACACCGCCTTTGCACTTGGTCTCATCACTTCTGCCCTCCAGATGATCATGGTCATGCTCTCTTGGATCCTCACCTCTTACCTGGGTCGACGCACCATCTATGTCTATGGCCAATTCATCAATTGTGCATTCTTGGTCGCGCTCGGTATCGCGGCTTCAGTTGGCAGTAGTACCGCGGCTAGCAATGCGCAAGCATCACTTGGCTTGATCGTCTCCGTCCTGTTCTGCTTGGGACCCGCCCCTGCCTCATGGGTCATCATCGGTGAGACAGCTTCCGTTCGTCTCAGGCCACTGACAACGGGTGTTGGACGAGGTGCCTACTACTTGGTCAATATTCCTTGCATATTCCTTTCCAGCTATATGCTCAACGATGATAAGTGGCACCTGGGTGGCAAGAGCGGCTACGTCTGGGCTGGCACCGCCTTTATCTGCACCGCCATGGCTTGGCTCTGGGTTCCAGAGATGAAGAACAGGTCCTTCCGTGAGATCGACATTCTGTTCCGGCGTCATGTCCCAGCTCGGAAATGGAAGCAGACAGTCGTCGATCTCCACGATGATGAGTAGATATGACCTGTTGTTTGGAGAAGCCTGAGTGGTACTGCTTGTGCGGGAATAGGTGGTAGTGATTAGATATAGCTGACCCCATTAACCTAACCTAACCTGGCCAAATGCCAGTCTACCAATTGAAAATTATTACCCTAAGTATCTAGTAAGGCACTCATTTCTAGGCCCAAGGCCCATCGTGGGCCCTAGACTCGGGCCCAAAGCCCAACCCACCGTGGGCCTGGGCCGGGATGGGCCGTGAAGAAGCCTACCCACTGCCAAGATGCTAGCCCAACCATGGAGTGCAGGCCAGTGCACTAAGGTATGCCGTTTACCTATTCTAATTTACGCTCACATGCTAGAACCTATGACTTGATACTATATGAAAGTAAAATATTAGAGCGAGATCTGGGAACATATGGTTTGAGCATATCCATTTATAAAAAAGTAAATAAGATACTACCTGACACGTCATTTCAATAACCATTACCCCACAGGAACCTTTATATTTTTAAATATTATATCCAATACAGTCCATCGAGTTCTGATTTAGATTAAGATTTTTACTAATAGAACCCGATTTTTAAGATCTATCTAGTTCTCTTAAAGTATTTACTAACTTAGTACCAGACCTAGTCTTTTTAAAGAAACGCTACACGATATTCGCAGTACTCTTACCCTTACCCTATATAACGTTATTCTTCTATCCAGTGACTAAACCAAGCTTAATATTAAAGACTACTCCTCTATAGATCAACCCATTTTTTAATAGCAGCGGAATTAACTCTCTACCGATAGATTCTTTATAAACCAATAGTAATACAATACTTGTCTCGAGGCCACTATCACTCTAGTAAAATAATTAAAATATTAGCTTGGGTAATTATAGATATCTTTCTATTGGGACCGAGTAAACCTCCCACTTCTAAAATAGAGGAAACTTTATACTATATCCAAAGACTACGGTTTTATAGATTAGAAGAAACTCGGGCAGACTATAAAAACTATAGATAAAAAATTTAAGAAATTTTATCAATAAAAGGATTTATATATAGTTATAATATATCCCTCTAGAAACAGTTTTATAGTGATAGTTTTTAAAAATTTTATCCAGGCAATATTAATATATTCCTGTAAACAACTTCCAAAGACACTGATTATTATTAGGATCTCTATAAATACTCTCTATTATATCTTGAATAATAAAAGTGGTCGTGGCTAAAAGATCTTCACCCTTTAATAAAATAGCCTATCAATCACATCGAGCTCTACCCTAAAAAATATTTATAATAAAATCTAGCTAAACCAAGTTAATAAAATACTCTCTACCAAAAGCGATTACTTAAACCGTATCTATAAATTGGAGTATTTCTCCAAAACCCACACCGAAAAAGATAATGGCATTGATAGCTTTAATAAGATTAACCTATTTTAACTTAATATCACGAAGCAAAGCTACTTTAAAAAAAAGTAAATCAACACCGGTCGCTATTTACTAAAAATTCCACCTTTTGAAATATCTTCTCAACGATTTATAGACTTTAGCTCCAAAGCCGTCCACTATTAATATATTAATCTATATATTAAATAGCATATTCAAAATTGTATAAATATCTCCGACTAAATTTAGAAATTATTCTTATATCTTTTATATTTTTTAATTTATCTTCGACAGCTCGTCTCCCTTTTTACTTATCTTTTCCATAATTTTATTCCACTTCTTATATATCTTAAGATTTATATTAGCTCTATTCCGAAAGATAGTGTTTATAGTAATCTTTCCCGTATATAGAGTATTTAGCTCTTTAATATCAGCTTCACTAAAAAGAATTTCGCGCTTAATTTTTTTACAATAGACTAGACGGGCGCGGACGAGGTGCAGTAGGATATTTAGATTATCGATTAGCCAGATCCAACAGTCTTTGCAATTATAAAATATAATAAATTAATCCTCGACCTATTTAAACTATTTGTGATAGTCGATTGTTTTAACTACCTATATTAACTTGTCCTTTTTACTAATCATAACCAAGCTACCCACACTGATAATCTTTTCTACTAATATAAATAAACGATTAAAAGCGAACCGAAAATTAAGCTAACACAGTCCTATTTTATAGATATTATAGTTAGCGTCTCTAGAGCCTTAATCCATGACCATTAGTACTAAACCTAATAGTAACATTCCCAGGTTACAATTAGAAAAGGATACAATTTACCTATATAATTCTATACATATTCGCACCAGTCGATAATATAACGCGTAGTTTCGACGCTAGAAAGTGTTAGATATTTTAAAAGATCGAAATCCTGGATAATTTTACAAACACGGGAGTTTATAAAAAGAATTTGGTTTCCGTCTTGATTAAATAACACGTACCAGTGCACTGTGTCCTTAATATACTTTGTCAAAACTAATATAATATAAAAACCTTGAAGAAAGACCTTCCCGTAGAATACAGCGATACGTCGGGTCTCTATTAGTAGAGCCAGTATAACAAGCGAAATCTCGAGACCAGGACCTTGGTCCGGCCGACGATATTATATAGAAAAGCCGAGAATAATAATAGAATTTTTAAATAGATCTTGCTAGCATTAGCCAATTAATTATAAAAAACCATTTAAGTATTGTAAACAAATAGCAAGTTTATATATTTAGTTACTGGTTTTAGCATCACTATTAATAATAGGGGTAACAGAGACAATTAAATTACCTCGTGTCGAACAAAGTACCGCTATTATAAATACGAATACTTTTCTAATCTTAACCAGGGTTTCTACTACATCGCCTATCTCCAAAGAAAA